CGGTTGTGATCACTCCCATCTGGAATCCCGTTTCATCGAAGTTATATATATCATCATCCGTAATCCCATATTTCGCCCGTATATTCTCCACAAGTTGAAACCAGGCTCGAATGATAGTAGGATCTTCACATTTCGCTCGCTGATAGTCATATTTACGATTAAATCGTGATTGTAAGGTTTCGTGACGTCGTACGAACTTATAGACCCAATTCTGGCCAACTGTAAGATCTTGATGGTCCGTAGCCGTTAAAGTCGAGCTCCGTTTGTCGCGTCTTTCAAGGAGTAAATTGGCCATTTGTCGTACGGTATTAACTCGAGGTGCTAGACCACACTCATCCATTGATAGGATCCAATTTATAAGGCTAGATTCCTCAGTCTCTGTGAGTTTGCGGTGTACGGATCGTAACTCGGTCTTCGGAGCGCGACCGTGAAGACGATCGCTAGCAGTTGAATAAGGTACTCCGTACACCTTCGTAGCGGCTCTAAGGCTCTTAAATTGGCCTTTACGGAAGGCTTGAATAGCTAGGAGTATTCTCCCTTCTTTTGAAGCTAACTGAGAGCTCTGATGTTGAGACATATTGTATAGTTTACAGGTTTACGGATGGTTTGTGGGTTGATTTTCGATGCGATTACCGGCTTACGGGTGTTACCGGCTTACTGGTGGAATACGTTATTCGAATAGTCAAATATTACATAAGCATGATTATCACATGATGTTAGAATCACATGGCCTAAGTAATTATCTATAACATATTACATTATACCGAACCCTTGCAGCTTTGATTGGCTACAAAATGGCAAAATTCGTGATTGGTTAATGTCTTTCTTAGGCCCACTTCTTACCTCTCTAGGCCTACGGTGCAGGGTTTTCTTCTACTCTCCGCTTTACCCCTTGGTTTTATGGGTTAAGCCAGCTGTCCGTAGCTTACCGTAAACGTTACCGTAACTATTCTAATATGGTTATACCCCCTAAATCTAGCCACAAATACATATTACTGTCCTTACTTTCGTGGTTTTATGTGATATGAGTTCATCGCCTCCAATTCGGTGTTCTCACTGTGGTACGTTCCGGGAGTCAACGCTCTTTCGGACGAATCGCCTTGGTCGCCGGTACGCAACCTGCTCTCTCTGCTCTAATTCTCGAACTTCTCGCCGTAGAGTCCAGCCAAATAGTAGGGCTTCACCACCTACAGTATAATTGCCCCTTATATTGTGTGGCTGCTAGCTTACTGCCCTTATATAGGTTCCTACGGACGCTCTGCCGCAACGCCGCGGCCGCGGTCGTCCTCGACGGCAGCCTCCTACATCCCTACCAGCACGCCCTATTGCTCCACACGGTACGCAGTCTACGCCTACGGATGACCATATTCCGCCTCGCCCTACTAAGCCACCTGGTTTCCTCTCTCAGTTCGTTACGGCTGCCGCGCACGACCTTGGCCAGCTTAACCATGAGTGTGAATACTGTACGGCGCTACACTGGGTCGAGGAGGCTACACAGGATAAACAGTACGAGAGCTGCTGTAAAAAGGGGGACGTTAACTTACCAGCCTTACGGAGGCCCCCCTTATATTTAAGAAAGCTGTTTACGGACCAAAATCCGCTTGGAAGAGGCTTCCGTAAGGAGATCCGTGAGTACAACAACGCCTTAGCTTTTACATCGGTTAGCTACACTCGCGATTCGCGCATTCAGCAGAACGGTGGTATACAGAGCTTTCAAATCCATAGCGAGTTATTCCATTATCAGGGGCCGCTACAGCCAACGACCCAGGAAACGCCCGCTTTTGCTCAGCTCTTCTTCTACGACCCATCGTATGCAACAGAGGCCCGCTGTAAACAGCACCCGCAGCTTGATACTACGATCCTTATGCAGCTCCTACAGTTGCTTACCGACCATAATCCATTCATCGCGATCTATAAGACAGCTAGGGAGCACCTTGCGGCTGTTACGGACGCAAATACCCCTTTCCGCGTTATACTCAACCCGCAAATGAGGCTGATAGTTGAGAGCGGGGCTGATAAGCGCCATGAGAACCTACCAACCTGTGATGATATTGCGGCTATTATTCCAGATGAGCTAGGAGGAGCTGGACCGCGAGACTTGGTTTTAGCCCTCCGTAACACCCTAGGTGGGCGGCGCCAGTTATCAAGGGTTCATGTTACCCATGCTTCTTATATGCCTCTCCATTACGTCCTCCTATTTATATTTGGTGAATACGGGTGGCACTGGGTGTTACGATATCAAGTGCGCCTTGCAGCTCGAGTGGGGGTTCAGGGGTGTGGGGAGCTTTCCGGGGTTGGAGCGAAGTTTTCAGTTGTGGAGTGAATTCTCAGAACTGGTCTCACTAAAGAGAATTCACTCCACAACAACATAGCTATATATAGATCGAGCCACTGCTCGAGTGCTCCTCTTCTCTTTCCTTTCTTCTCTAGATTGAGTTTAATTCATAATACCCAACTGGCGCCCTATGCCTTGGTGAACTGTGACAGGTTGTAGAGATATGCTATGTGGTCATATCGGCCCAGTAACTAAGGAGCAATGACGTGTAATGAATCATAGAGGGTTGTAGCAATCGTTGAGTAGTATTGCTCTTGTTGTTGGTGTGACAAGCCAAAATATGTATAGTGACTTGTAGGTTTGAGGAGAAGATTTCTAAGTTTGCTCTTGAGTTTGATAGCAAACTGAGTGCAACGAATGTCAGTATGACACCTTAGTTACTGGGCTAATACTACACATGACATATCTCTATCAACTGGAGGCCTAGGAACATGAACGATAGCTCCAAAAGCTTCTACAACCATCTATGATTTAGTACACGTCATTGCTCCTTAGTTACCCACAAGATTGGTTAAGTTATGACATAATTTGTCTATAGGGGTACTCTGGCCTTGGACCTCCTTTCACTTCCTATAGGCTAGGAACCTAGCAGATGGTTCTATGGGATTCTCTTACGTCGACTACAGCTACCAAGCCTGGTTAGTCATGGAAAGTCTTGGAAAATAAGAGAACTACACTCCTTTAGCATAAATAGGATTGCCCTTTCCTGAAGAAAGGGCAAGCAGACAATACAGTAAATCGACTATCACATACTTCCACGTCTTTTCCAAGCTTCCAAGCATTGATCTTGTTACTCCTTGTTTCTGAAAAGTCAGTGAGGTGCTAACCTCTGACTTATCCCCGAGTTCTCAGACTCAAACATTTGTTACAACTTGTCTAAACCACTCCACTACATCATACACCTGATTGCTGCATTGTGGAATAGTCTAAGCTACGACCCTTTGGCTCTGTTTTCTAAGACAGTGTGTTGTCTTAGTAAAATCACCCCTTCCTTGGTTGGCTAGATTCTCACATCTGGTGCACCCACCATTACATACCACCACCAACAGTAGAGGAGTATCTTTGTTATAATAGCTAGCTACGATATATACTAATTACTTGCTCTACTTCGTTGATCCCATTGTGCTGTGAGCTCTCAACTGGGATGCTTCGCCGGATAGGCCCATGAAGCGCTTGCTCAAGTAACGATATCATCGTTGACTGGCCTTTTTTGATTTCTTCCTGGCCTTCCTGAAGCTCCCGGATCTGGTAATCAACTTGCTGAAATTGCAACTCAATACTACTCGTATTAAGTCCTCCGTTCTCACTTTCCTGCTGTCTATCCTGCCGGTCTATATTACGTTGAGTATATCGGGCTTTTAAAAGCTCAACTAATGACTCAATACTAGTCGACGTCCGGTCTTCACCCTGTATATTCAAACGCTCGTCTAGGATCATTTGATTATAGGAAGGGGAAGATATTCGCAGGCGCTTCTTGCGGCTTCTTCCTTGACTGACTGACTGGCCACGAGCGGAAGAAGTGCTTTGATAAACTGGCGTTGAGGTTTCAAAAGGAGACAAGTTGATAGAGCTGATGTCCTCACAGTTATCACTTTGTAGCTCTTCGTCATCGTCTACGTCAAAGCCTGAGAGCTCCCGCGCTCTTTGGCCAATAGACTTATCACGACTTTTTGGAGGATTCCTCTGGTATTTCCTCTTTGCCGCAAGGGCTACAGAGAGTGAGTCCCGGATATCCTGCGCCCGCTGTGACGAAGTGAGAACAGTATTTGCTGCCTCACTTCGCTCCTTATTAAGTCGCTCCTCCTCACCAACAACGTCAATCCAGTTATCAATCTGGACAGTCAATTCGCTCTCGCTGTCTGGCTGACCAGTCCCAAGACTGTCAAGGTATGCCCTCCTCCTTTCAGTTTCCCGGCGTAATACTCGGTGAAGGCTCTTATGCTGCTTGCCGGTTTCCTTTGCAAAGTCCTCTTGAAGATGGGACCAAAACCCAGTCTTGCTACCTGGTCTATATGCTTCGGCATCTCGATTTGCAAGCCGGAATAGGACCAGCACTTCAGCCTTCGTCAAAGGGGCAATCTTAGTTGGAGAGCCTTGAGGATCGCAGCTTTCTATACGCTGCTGGGTTGAGAGCTGCGATACTTCTGGTGTTTCGGCTTCGATTTGCCCCTCAATCGTAGGCTGGATAGGCAGAGCAGGGCTTGCTCTGCCATCTTCTTCGAAGGTAGAGTATTGGCGATGTCTTTGGGGTAAGGATTGGGGCTCATAAGCCAGGAATTCGAGCGGCTTCGAGGCCATTATCACTTATATAGAGTGACGTATGTAGATACTGCTATACTACTGTATTCGCCTTACAATTACATGACGTCTATCCAAGGTGATTACTAACTTATATTCTAACTACAATAGGAATCTGGCTGGCTGTTAGCCTTGAACAGATAACTGTCTGACGCTAACAGTCTTACTTCCTATTTAGGAAATAGTGGGGTTCACGGTGAGCAGGGTTTGTACAGGGTTTATACAGGGTTCCTGGTCAAATTTTCTACACTAACTACATACAGGACTGTCGAATGAGGTGTCTAACACCTGCTGAATCGCTCTAATAGTGTCTCTCTACTCTCTAGACTTACTCGTACTTTGGGTCAATAATTGTTAACAGGGGATCCATGTACGTAGTTCCACCTCGTCGCTGTTTTAAAAAGTTGCGAGGAATAACAATCTATATAACGCGTCACGTACGTACGAGTGGTAAAGCAGCATAACATTACTCGGGTTTTTATTGGACTATACTTCTACAAGGGGGAAGACGATCATTGCACGTTTAACAATTATTGACCCAAAGTACGAGTACTCCCAAGTACTGAACAAGCCACGCCGGCATGTGTGTCGCATGCACCATCGTGAAAAATGAATTGTTCATTGTTACACATATTGCATAACATCGGCGAGGACGGCATAACGAGTTATCCATCCCGTGACAGTTCCACCCCCTGAAGCCGTTTCATGCCCGCCGACATGCCCGCCGACATGCCCGCCGACACACCCACCAACATGCCCGCCGACTCTCCTCCGCAGTTCACGCTTTTCCCCCTCCTCCCGGCGGAACTCAGGGCCAAAATATGGCAAACTGCCCTTTTCGAGTGCAATTCCATCGTCGAGCTCAGCCTGCTCAACGGTGCGATTATCCCTAAATCGCGCCCTTCGATCGTCCTTCGCATCAATCAAGAATCAAGACACGAGGCTTCTAGGGCCTATAGGGCCCTCTCAAACAGTATTTCCTTCCATAAAGATGGGCCGACGCAGAACCAACTGTATCTCTTGCCAGAACGAGATATCCTCTACTTCAGCAACGACCATCAGTTCGCGGCCCCATCTACCGTTCACTGCAAAATGGCTGGTATGGCGGGAACACTGTCGTTGCTTGCCGCATCTTTGTCCGAGATCGACAGGGCCAAAATCCAGACTCTAGCTATTGACATATACGAGTGGCCAGAGGTTGAGCACGTAAGGGGGGTTATGGAAGGACTCATTCCATTTGAAGGGTTGAAGACACTAGTTGTAGTGATGAGGGATTCGCTGGAGAAGAAGTCCGACACCAGCGACAGGATATTTGTTAACTGGCCTTCGAGCCAGAGAAAGCCAGCCTACGACTTGCAGACGAAGCTATGGAAAATGTCTAGGAGCACATTACGATACCACCCGCAGTGGAAAGAACCTGTTGTAGAGTTGGTATGCCTAGGAGGCGACTGATGGACACGGGATGAATTTTTTACTCCATATTCCTTAATAGCAAGCTTAAATAAATGTATTTTTTGGGTTTCAGGTACGAGACTCGGCTTTAAGACCAACCAAGCAAGGCGCCTCGGTAAACGCCGTTTGGCGCCACTGAGCCGTAGAGGACATGTTGGCGTCCCGCCACCGACGCGCCTGGGTTAAGCTTGATACAAGGAAAGGTGCACCCTCCTTCCATCATCACTACACTGTCAAGATGGATATTCTACAGGTATGCTCTGTCGCCCACGCAACTGACTCTGATGAGCCATGCTAATAAATTATAGCGCCTGGCACATTTCTTGGATAGGCCACTCTTCCCATGGAAGAAGCTTATAGTGGGCTTCTCCCTCGCTCAGTACCTTTTCGAAAGCTTCCTCTCCCTCCGTCAATACCAGGTCTTGAAGAACACTAGACCACCCAAGGTTCTCGCCAACGAGGTCTCTCAGGAGGTCTTTGATAAATCCCAGGTTCGCCAGCTCCACCCCACTTGCTATTTATCATCAAGCTAACCATACCCGAAGGCATACGGACGCGCAAAGGCGCAGTTCAGCTTCGTCTCTTCTCTCTACGGCCAAGTCCAAAATACTGCTTTCATCTACTACGATATTCTCCCGAAACTCTGGACCCTGACTGGATCATGGCTCATTCAATTTGCACCCACCCGCTTCTCCGGCGAGATCTCCCACTCGATCGTCTTCGTCCTGACATTTATCATCATCCAACAAGTTCTTTCGCTACCTACTTCGATCTACAGCACATTTGTCCTGGAGGAGAAATTTGGCTTCAACAAGCAGACACCTAAGGTCTTCGTTACCGATATCTTGAAATCTCAGATGCTGGCGTTCATCCTCGCCCCTCCTATTCTCGCTGGTTTCCTCAAGATCGTTCAGAAGACGGGCAACCAGTTCTTCTACTACCTCTGGCTATTCGGAGCCGCCCTCCAGGTTTTCATGATCACCGTCTACCCCATCACCATCCTGCCACTCTTTAACAAGCTCTCGCCTTTGGATCCCGGAGCCCTCAAGACCGGTGTCGAAGGCTTGGCAGCGCGCCTCAACTTCCCTCTCAAGGAGCTCTACGTTATCGATGGAAGCAAGAGAAGCGGCCACAGCAACGCCTACTTCTTCGGCCTGCCGTGGAAGAAGCACATCGTCATCTACGACACCCTCATCGGGAAGAGTGAAACCGAGGAGGTCGTTGCCGTTCTCGCACACGAGCTCGGCCACTGGAGCCTTGGTCACACGACACGTCTATTCGCGATCTCACAGGTATGCATGCAAAACACAACAATTGCTCAAAGTGGAAATATATTAACAATTATTCCCAGGTCCACTTCTTCTACATCTTCTCTCTCTTCTCCGTCTTCATCAATAACAAGTCCCTCTACCGCTCCTTCGGCTTCCGCACCGAAATGCCCATCATCATCGGCTTCATCCTCTTCTCCGACGCGCTCGCGCCCATGGACACCGTGATCAAGCTGCTGATGAACATCCTCTCGCGGCGCTACGAGTTCCAAGCCGACGAATTCGCGCAGAAGCTCGGCTACCGCACCGAGCTCGCAAAGTCCCTCATCAAGCTCCAGATCCAGAACCTGAGCACCATGGACGCAGACTGGATGTACGCCACGTACCACTTCAGCCACCCGATACTGAGCGAGAGGCTGGGCGCGCTGGGGTGGCATGGCGATAAGAGCGGTGAGAGCGTGGTGGATGAGAAGAATGATGGCGCGGTGAAGGCGAGCGGACGCGACGAGTTGTAAGGGTTGTAAAAGCTGTGCAAGCAAACAGGCGCGCACTGGGCAGATAGAGAAGGAGGAGGGGCGCAAGGAAGGAGAAGCGCCGCCTTCTTTGAAGCGAGAATAAAAAAATGTTGTCCTTCACGCCGCTCTCATTCTCCCCTGGTGACCACCCCAACACCCCCCAAATGTAGTATCCAACCCATGAAGCCGTGACCACACTCACGCACTAGCGCCCTTCCTCGCCTTCTCGGCCTTCTCCCTCTTCAGCGCCTTCTCCTTCTCCTTCTTATCCCTCTTCCTCGCCTCCTTATCCTGTTTCTGCCCCGCCGCATCCGTCACCTTCACCTCCAGTGCCTCCCCTGCGCCCTCCTCAATCGCTACCACCGTTTCCCCTCCAAGCTCCCCAAGACCAACACTTTGCTCCCGCTGATACTCATCCAGATCCTGCCACCCATCCGTTCCCATCTCCTCATCCGCGTTCTTCCCCTCCTTTGTGTCGTCGACAACGGCATTGGCGTCCCCTTCGGCCAGATCAAGTGTAGGCGCCAACCACTCCCCTCTCAGCCCGGCTTCGACGCGGCGGAGGTGCTGGATTGTAAGGTTGGAGGCTGCGTCGGAGGGGGCGATGGGGCCGGTGGGTTGGAGGGTCGCGTTGGGGAGGAGGGAGGGGGATGTGCTGGCGGCGGTGAGGTAGGTGGTTAGGTGGGTGAGGGCAAGGGAGGGAGAGATGGGGTGGGAGGGCTTGGAGTGGTGGGGGGGGAAGGAGGTGGTGGACATTTTGGCGAGTGTGGTGGTTTTGGTGTGGGTGTTGGGAGTTTTGTGTGTGGGCGGCTGTATATGTGTATATTTGGTTCGTTTGTCCCAACGCAGTTATTGCCGCTTTAGAAAGAAAGAACGTTGTTCGTTGGACTTCTCGTAGAAAAATTGAGGGCGGATTGGAACTCTAATCGCCCGGATGATTTTGGCTCAAGAAATTATTTGAGGAAGCGGAACCTACTCCGCTAGCGCGGATTGGAATTTGGCAACGGCCGCCGACGCACAACCACGACGAGCCCAGCACCACCCGCGTCGTCTGCGCAACAACACGTCAATTGACACCATGTTCTCCCTACGCTCTTCAAGAGGCGTTACTGCGGCTCTGAAGCCGGTTATGCAGGTGAGGGCTGTTAAATCCGCTGCGTCTCAAGCTTCGAGGTTCGTCTACTATCCCTCCCTTCCTTCCTACTCTCCCGTCACCTTGAGCCGCAACAAATACCACAGCTCCACCCCGTTCAATATACCAACTCTCCCGCAGAACCTTCAGCATCCTCACCCCCCTCCGCCCCTCCCTCCAGCCCCGCGCCCTCACCCGCGCCCCTACCTCCGTATCCTGCGCCGCCATCGACAGCACCACCACCACCAGCGCGTCGAGCAGCGAGATCCTCGACCTCCTTCCCAAAATCAGCACGCACCCCTCTCTAGTGGGCATTCAAGTGCGTTGCGGGCCGCGGAATACGTTTAGCCCGTCGCATTTTGTGAGGAAGAGGAGGCATGGGTTTTTGTCGAGGTTGAGGACGAGGAAGGGGAGGGCGACGCTGCAGAGGAGGAAGAGTAAGAATAGGAGTACTTTGAGTCATTAGAGGGGGAAGGGATGGGCGGGAGCGGAGAGGAGAGGTGGAGGGTATGTGTGTTGAGTATTGAGATGGGAGGGAGAAAGAAAAGATGGCGATGTGATCGATTCTGGGAGGATGTGTAGTGTATACTTATGGGCATATTGGGGCATAGATATTGGGAAAGAAAACAGAATGAAGGAACAATATACTCCCAACGAGCATGTTTCCTACAGTGTTATTTCACTTGCCAGTGGATTGTGAGATGTCGTCCAGAAGCACACCAGCAAACTAGCAAGCACGAAGTGTAGGAGGTCCACAGCCAAAATCAGGAGCAAAACTTGCGGGCTCTTCCCCAACCTCGCATTCCCACCCAATAGCCCTCCTCAGAAAAGGCACGAACCGTGATCTCAGTAGTTTGACAGCTAAATCAATACCATCATTTTGGTAATACTGTAGACGCCAAGCGGAGCTGCGCAGTACTTATTCTAGAAATCCCACAGTGGATCACGCATCTTATTTCTTATTGTGACGTCCCCCCCGGCTCCGATACCACCCCCCAAACCTGGAAACCACCTCGGTCGGATTCCATTAAGGAAGGCAGAGGACAGGACAGGGTCAGACATCTGCCCTCTCAGGGGCCAGGTCGGAGGGACAGGCTTTCATGGTATGTGAGGATGGGGGTGGGAAAGTCGGGGGCCGCGGCCAGAATGTCGGCCTTGTATGGAGGTATGCAAGGAGCGCTTTTCTTTCTCTTCAGCAGCGTACAGACGTGCCACAGGCCTGAGGCTACCCTACGATACTCAAATCCCCCAAGTATCACCAACGTCAGCCACGTCGGAGGTCGGAGGGAGGGAGGGCATCCTGACCTCGTTCAGACAGTTGTGTTGCGGACTATGCTATACTGGTACGGCCATGATTGCCCCACTTCACCCCTTTTTCTGTTTTTCTGTTTTTCTGTTTTTCTGATCCTGGTTGGAGATCGCTGGGCGGTGGTGGGCGTGGCGGTATTAGGCGCGCAGATGGAGGAGGTAAGCCTGTCTGTATCGAAGTAAGTACCTCCTTACTGCTCAACTACCGTCTACCAGCATCTTGGTGGTATAGCACGGAATCCGAAGTCAGTTTCGTACTCAGATCAAGAGGCAAGAAACAAGAAACAAGAGGCAAGAAACAAGAGGCAAGAAGCAAGAAACAAGAAACAAGAAACAAGAAACAAGAAACAAGAAACAAGAAACAAGAAACAAGAAACAAGAAACAAGAAACAAGAAACAAGAAACCCGGAATAATAAACCCGGACTAATACTGCCATGATGCATGATTCTATTGTTGGTAGTTGGTAGTGGTGCCTGTTCGGCCCTCTCTCCTCTCCGTCCCTTCACCCTTCACCATCGCCATCGTTCCCCATCACACCCCCCGTCAGTTTAGTGGCCGCAGAGGAGACTGGGGGGGAAAGAAAAGACTGGGGGTGTTGGTGGTGGTGTACTTGCTGTTACAGTATATGATGTGGTACATACAAATGGCAAGTCACTAAATAGGGTGTTTGAGGGGCGTATTTGGGGGGGCCTGTCCTATCGGCACATCTAACCCTCCACTAGTCCTTCCCCACCCTTCCACTCTTCCCTTCCACCCTTCCCTTTTCCACCCTTGCCTTTTCCACCAGTCCACCAATCCACCAATCCACCAATCCAAACTCCCCTTTACCCTTTACCCTTTACCCTTTACCCTTTACACCACTACCACCACCACTACTACTACCACCACCACTACCACCACCACTACCACCACCACCACCACCACCACTACACTACCACTACCACCACCACTACCACTACTACCACCACTACCACTACCAACCACCACTACCACCACTACCACCACTACCACTACACCACCACCACCACTACCACTACACCACCACCACCACAACCACTTCTACCACCACCACCACAACCACTTCTACCACCACTACCACTACTACCACAACTACTACTACCACCACTACCACTACCACCACCACCACTTCCACTACTACCACCACCACCACAACCACTACCACCACTACCACTTCCACCCATCCTAAACTCTCTCTCCTTACACAATTCAAACCTACTTTTGCTCACTCAGCTTTTGGCTTACCCTTTCGAAAAAAACAACTATACAACCTTCTCCCCTCCAGCTACGGCCATTTCAATCTTGTGGTACGTCAATTTCCCCTTCAGCGTCCTTAGTCTGGGGTAGTGCGGGTCGCTATTACCTATCTGGGCGTGTTTGATTTCGCTTGCCCAGCGACAAAGCGACAAGGAGCTTGCTTCGGACATCCGCCTTTTGTTCTTTCCTTGTACACTTCTGTCACCAGCGCTTCTTCACACGCTGTGGATGAGTTTGGCGATATATCATCACGCTCACAATAATATCACAAAGACTTTTGGTCGCCCCTTACTAACACACAATCTCGTCAACAGCCACCACCTCCTGTCGCCCCCAACTTCCCCACTCACATCGCACGACAACATCCTCCCTTCAGTCATCAACACCAACACAGTGATCACCGCAAGGGACATCAGCCACGATGGGTTGCGGTATGAGCACAGAAGAGAAGGAGGGCAAGGCCCGGAACGAGGAGATTGAGAACCAATTGAAGAGAGACAAGATGATGCAGCGCAATGAGATCAAGATGCTCTTGCTAGGTCAGTCACATCCACCGACTCCGATCTTGGAGTGCCACAACCCTCTAACCCCCTCCAGGTGCCGGTGAATCCGGAAAGTCCACCATCTTGAAGCAGATGAAGCTCATCCACGAGGGCGGCTACTCACGCGACGAGCGCGAGTCGTTCAAGGAGATCATCTTCAGCAACACAGTCCAGTCGATGCGCGTCATCCTGGAGGCGATGGAGTCGCTCGAGCTGCCACTCGACGACCAGCGCGCCGAATACCACGTTCAGACTATTTTCATGCAGCCACAACAGATCGAGGGTGACAACCTGCCTCCGGAGGTTGGCAACGCCATCGAGGCGCTTTGGAAGGATGTTGGTGTCCAGGGCTGCTTCAAGCGCTCCAGGGAGTACCAATTGAACGATTCCGCACGATAGTAAGTACTCCTGTACAACTGTGTCGCCCAGCACGAACAACACTTATGGGACTACAAACGTCCTATCGTTTGAGGCATATCCAAATCGCAATACTGACTTCATTCTTAGCTACTTCGACAACATCTCGCGCATCGCCCAGCACGACTACATGCCAAACGACCAGGATGTCCTGAGGTCTCGTGTTAAGACCACGGGTATTACGGAGACCACATTCATCATTGGCGAGCTCACATACAGGATGTTCGACGTCGGTGGACAACGCTCTGAGCGTAAGAAGTGGATCCATTGCTTCGAGAATGTCACCACCATTCTCTTCCTGGTCGCCATCTCCGAATACGATCAACTTCTCTTCGAAGACGAGACCGTGAACCGCATGCAGGAGGCTCTCACCCTGTTCGACTCGATCTGCAACTCCAGGTGGTTCACCAAGACGTCGATCATCCTGTTCCTGAACAAGATCGATCGCTTCAAGGAGAAGCTTACCGTGTCGCCAATGAAGAACTACTTCCCCGACTACGAGGGTGGAGACGACTACTCGGCGGCTTGCGACTACATCTTGAACAGATTCGTCAGCCTGAACCAGCACGAGGCAAAACAAATTTATACCCATTTCACTTGCGCAACCGACACAACGCAGATCCGCTTCGTCATGGCGGCTGTAAATGGTACGCTCTCACCCGATTTCTGTCTCTAGATGTTCGTTTACTAACAATCCCAGACATCATTATCCAGGAGAACCTTCGCCTCTGTGGCCTGATCTAGACGCACGAACCATCCGGATACCCAATCTCGTTTTTATCAAAGCACACATCGAATCCACACACACGGCGTTACTGCGTTCTGAGCATGTTTCTTGGTGTCCACCCACACAGCGCCTGACGCGACATTTGGGTCTCTCTGTATTTGGCTACTATACCAATCATGCGTCCCCTTACGAGCGAATAAATCCACCTGAAATTTTCACACCAATTGCATATTGCCTTTCACGTCTGCCGCCCAAAATCCACTCTCTCAAACCTTCCATAACGACGAGATTGACCGAACCCACTTCCGAACCGGTTGATTTATAAAAGAATACCTTTCAAAATGGCGGGCTGGAAGACAAGTTGCATTGGGTGCGATAATTTCACGTGGACCTACAATTATTCATCCCTCAAGAGCGGGTCGTCGTCCCCTTGTTGTATGAAATGTTTTTTTCGCCCACCACAACCCATTTTAATGTGTCTATTTACAACCTTTTCATTCCCTTGTTTCCTTTATAGTGCTTTGTGTCATCTTACGATCTCGACCGGCGCATGACTGAGATTCTTTCCCCTTTGATTTTTTTGCCAGGGATTTGGCGGAAGGGGAGGATCAACCATGTTCTTTTTTGGTTTCTTTGTTAGTATTTTTACATAATGGGGATTTGAGAGCCAACTGAAAAAGAGGAAGACGGAGGTGGGAGAGGAGGGATGAATGAAGGGAAGGGAAAGGGGGGGATTATTCACGATGCGTTTATGTGATGATGGTTGGAGGGGGAGGACTGTTATGGTTTCGGGAGATAGGAGAGCAATGTGCGTTGGATCTTCTTCTGTTGGACTTGTGGCGATGTGATGGGGGGAGAATGAATAGGATTTTTGTACATGTTTGTGTGTGTGCATGGGATGTGATGTGATCTGATGACTTGATATGGCTTCTTCTAGACGGATGTGCACGAACTTGTGACGGTGTATATGAGTCCCATCCGTTGGTGTGCTGACATCAACTCCCGTCGTAGCATCAGGTTTTGTTCACGACATCAGGTATACACAGTTCCCACAAGCCAAATGAAAGGTTTGGCTTAATGAATGAGTCCCTTGCTATTATTCATCGTTCAGTAGTAGACAGTCCAAACTCGTATGCCGCGATAGTGGTGCAATACCTTACCGTGCAAGCAAGGGAGAAACTCACCTACTTTGCGACATCCCTCACCTCGCCTCAATATTCCTACATAAACCCCGCCATCCCCCACAACAGCAACGATGGCTCCCAAGGGCAAGCAACAATCCCGTAAGTACCACTTATATTCACGTCCTTTTATGGAAACGGCACTTTTTCAAGGCTGGCCTTTCCGTAATTTGCACAACCTATGACGTGGACTATGAGCTCTAACGTATAAATTTCTACAGAGAAGCAAGCGGCGTCAAAACAGCCTCAACCGACTGAGTACAAGACTATAGGTGAAAAGCGACGTGCTGAATATCTTGCCTCGAGAGCTCTACAGGTTCTCCACGATACGAAAGGCTGGGACGGGCTCACGGCCGCCGAAAAGACTGCATACTCCACCTTCGCCCTGCTCGAATCCGAGGCCTACACGACCTGGAGCGCACCACTCCAAAAGGACTTTCTCAAGCTCGTTGACCAGCTCAAGATCCAGCAACCACTGCCGGAGCCATACCCGCTAGGCAAAGACAGGAGGGGAAATAATATCGAGGATTACACGCTCCCGCAGTACGAAGCGTGGAAGGACGACGAGGAGAAACTGAGGATACTGAAATGGGAGAGTGAGACCTTTAGAGAGAAGTGGGCGAAGCAGCATTACAAACCCAGTACGGAGCCCAGTAGCGCCGACGCGGAGTATATCAAGAAGTGCATCTGGGAGCCGGAGACTACGGATTTGGATTTTGAGAAGGTGGATGAGGAGACAAGGCGCCCTTTGACGGAAGAAGATAGGCTGCACGAGCAGAAGCGGAGAGCTGAGATTGTGAAAATGGAGTCGGGAAAGCAGGTTGGGAGATATGAGGGGGATCCTACTTGGGATGATGTGACGCCCATTCCACAGGACGATGGGAAGAACCCATTAGCAGCTATTGCCTACACCGACGAGTACGCGGAAGGTATGTCGTGCCAATCCCAGCCTTTTTACCCCGCTAACTCGTCGTAATAGCTATATCTTACCTCCGCGCCGTCATGGCATCCAAAGAGCACTCCCCGCGAGCTCTAGCACTAACATCCCACATCATCAGCCTCAACCCCGCCCACTACACCGTCTGGCTCTACCGCGCCAGCACGCTCTTCGCGCTCACCTTCGTCCTCTCCGACGAACTCGCGTGGCTCAACGAGGTCGCCCTCAACAACCAGAAGAACTACCAGATCTGGCACCACCGCCAGCTCCTGATTGATAACCTGTACCCGACCATCTCCGCATCGCGCGAGAAGGTTCTAGAGCTGGCGGAGTCGGAGATGACGTTTCTGACGCAGATGTTCGCGGAGGATAGCAAGAATTACCATGTTTGGAGTTATCGCCAATACCTCGTCCGCAAGCTCGATTTATTCCCCAGCCAGTGCGAGGACCCCTCTGAGCTCAGGGCGGTGGAGAAGTTGATCGAGGAGGATGTGAGGAATAACTCCGCCTGGTCGCACCGGTTCTTCCTCGTCTTCTCGGACCCGGGGAACTCGACACAGGGGTCGAAGGCGACGGAGGTAGACCCGAAAATCCCGGCTGAGATACTCGATCGCGAGATCAGGGTCGCGGAAAACGCGATCTATCTCGCGCCGCAGAACCAGAGTCCGTGGAACTTTCTAAGGGGGGTGTTGAGGAAGGGGGGGAGGGAGTTAAAGTCTGAGGAGGGGTTTGCGGGGGAGTTTGTTAAACTTGGAGACGGGGAGGGGGAGGAGGTGAGGAGCTCGCATGCGTTGGATTTTTTGGCCGATGTGTGGGTTGAGAAAGGGGAGGCGGAGAGGGCGGATGCGGCGTTGAGGTTGTTGGGGGAGAAGTATGATGGGGTGAGGAGGAATTATTGGGAGTGGAGGCGGGCGGCTTTGGGTGAGGCCAAGGCATAGGTTATGTCCTCGAGAGGTTCAACATGGCATGGTTGATGACTGGGGCGTTAAAGATATGTTATTGTTAACAGCTGAAATTGAGAACGATGGTTTGGAATAAGTTGAGATTTGGGTTTCATTGAGATTAAGTGAAATTGATTGAATTGGGTGTTGTTAATTATGCTGTTTCTGTTCTCCATGCCGTTGCTAAGCTTGCGTCCGTTTCCCAAACTTGTAAAATCCAGTTCCATCCCCCCTCCCATAAAGCAATGCAGACACCCATTCCCCACCAGAAAGAAATCCGTCGAGTGCCTGGTCATACCTACCCCCAACCGCAGAAAGCGCTCACGACTCCAGATTGGAAAAAAAAAGGGGCGCAGCATCGTACTCTTCTCGAGGACAACATCCCCCAATGACCCCAATCAACCACTACCCGCCTGCTTGTCCAATCCATTGTCGGGTTTATTCGACTCTGGTTCTTTCCAATCCTTCGGCATCACCCCCCTCGGCTCCCCCCTCACCGGCGGCACATACACGAACGCCTCCTCCCCCCCCCTCACCCCATCCAACCTGCAATCCCAGTCAATCCCCGCCTTAATCCTGAAGAACTTCCGGAACTGTCGGAAGGCGACGTCGAAGGTGGAGGGGACCATGTATTCTTTGATGTAGGTGGTGGCGGCGCCGGGGCGGTTGAATTTCGCGCCGACGGTGTAGGTGTAGGGGGAGGCGTTGGATTCGAAGAGCTGGGGGGGTTGTTAGGTGGTGGAGAAATGGGGGAGGGGGGTGTGGAGGGACTTGGGTGGGACGTACGAGGAGGGTGTATTTTTCGACTCGGGTTTTGGAGTCGATTTTTGTGAGGCAGCTTAAGACCACGAGATATTTGAAGGCTGTGGTGTCGACGTAGACATGGTGGAGGCCTAAATCGTCAGTCTCAGTTCGTAATTATTGTTCTTCACTCTCTTGGACCATCAGCTGTGAATTCCATGATTTGATAACTGGAAATAGGAACGCGAAATTGGGAAATAGTTGTTCGACTATGTAGTCTTTATTTCAATATAACGTGCAGAGAGAATAAAAGGGGATAGAGGGGAACAAAGGGGCAAATAAAAAACCACCTACCCGGATCGGCCAATCCCTTCATGGAATTGGCATCCTTAATAAACGTTTTCTTGTAAATAGCTTTTGCCTCGCTGAGACGATTCTGTCTCTTCAACACACTTTGAATCTCATGAAAATTCGCCGAAATGACTCTCGGCTTCCCATTCTTGGTGAAAATGGAATCTTCCACATAATCCCACTGAACGATTCTGCATCTCGCCTTCCCCAATGAAATTGCCTTCTCGACTGGAACCAGAGACCAAAAGTCAGAGGGGGGTCACTGAGAAGTAATGAAATAAAAATGAAAATGAAGACAAACTTACTCGCAGAGGATCGCTTCTGGAACTCCTCGATGGTGGTTACGAGGAGGGTGGTTCGGTCTGTTACTGTGCTGTCGACGCGGCCGCCGTGGCGGGCGATTAGACGCGCGATGTTTAGGTGAGTTCGAGGGAAACGCCCAAAATCGCCTTGTAGGACAAAGACCTTGCCAGCGAATATTTTGTCTGCTGGCGGCACTGCTGATGTCTTGGCCATCTTGTCTTACCAGTGAAACTGACTGCTCTTGGTGAGGTTGTTTAACCCGACTGATGTTGTAAATCAATCAGAACGAATTGAGTTAGTTCGAGCAGTCTCCAAGGGAAAAGATGTAGAGTGAAGCTAAGTGAGTATGAAATGTTAATACGGTGCTCAAGTATATAATTTGAAATGAGGAAACTGAGTAGAGGTAGGTGTTGAAGATATGAGCAAACCTATACTTTGTCTCTGGTTGTGCTTGGAACCTACACGGAGTCTAAGTGCAAAGTGAAGGGTAGGCTCTGTCTGAATGTTGTAGATGGAGAGTATGAGGCTGCAATCGACCTACTTATGTCCGAATAGGTTTGTTAAGGTGACGAGTGGAAGAGCTTTGTCGACGACAATTTCACATGGCACGCAAGACGACGGCTGAACCTTTTTGTAGTATTAAAATCATTGGTCATAAAGACTTCCTGATGAATTTCTCCACCTTCACTCAACGAATACTCTTTGCCGCCTTGATGAAGGATACGATCTTGTCAAGATCCTGAACACCGCCCTCCTCAACACCGCTGCTGACATCAACCCCGATAATCCTGCTGCTCAACTCGCCAACCTCACGAACAGCCTCCACAACGTTATCAGCGGTGAGGCCACCGGCAAGCATCACGCGAAGCCCTTTGTCTTTCTCCAAGGTTTCCCTAACTTTGCTCATATCCAACTTTTCGCCCGATCCGCCAGTTGCAGAATCAAGCAATGGTACTGTATGGTAGCCTCTGGAGCCGATGTTGACCTGTTCGGGTGTGAAGCTCTTAACGACCGGGACGGGGATGAGCTTTGCCCACTCCAATGGCTCATCGCCATGGAGTTGAACAATATCCAGGTTGAATAACTTCTGGAGTCGCAAAACCTCTTCAAGCGATTGGTTTTGGAAGACACCAACCAGTAGAGGGCGCGCAGATGTCAAAGTAGATGCCGCCGCGGCAAAGAAATCAGAGCCAGCAGTTGCTTTGATCTGTGAATTGGTCTTGACAGTCCTTGGTGTCGCTTTGTGTACCACCTCAGAAATTGCCAACCCTTCCTCCTCAGACACAGTGCGTTTACGGCCAGGGACAAGTATCATGCCAACAAAATCAACACCAGCTGCAACTGCCGCTGCAGCAGCTTTGGCAGATCGTGTTCCGCAGATCTTAACCAGAAGAGGCTGTTCTGGCTCATCCTTAGGCGCACCAAGGGAGCCTCCAAGGAGTTCCGCAATGAACTTGGGCTTGTCACTCGCCCGCATAAGCGCCTCGCCAACAAGAACAGCCCCAACGCCATTCTTCTTATAGGACTCCACATCTTGAGGCCCAGAAATTCCACTCAGAGCACAGACGATTGTTGTTTCTGGGACTTGGCTCATCAGACGACTCGTAGTTTCCAAGTCAACCTCGAAGCTTGCCAGGTTTCGGTTATTGACACCAATAACCTTAGCTCCAAGGTCAACGGCCACCTTCATTTCGTCTGCGGTGTTGACCTCAACCAATGGCTCCATCCCTAGAGTCAGGGAATATGAGTAGAGCCTTTGGAGAGTTGCTTCGTCCAGCATCTTCACGATGAGTAACACCGTATCGGCTCCGGCAAGTCTTGCTTCGAGTATTTGGTATTCCTCGAAGATGAATTCTTTTCGGAGTATAGCCGGTCGATTAGGCATGCCTTCCAGCGCTTGGCGGACATAACGCAAATCGTCAATACTCCCCTTGAACCACTCAGGCTCCGTAAGTACCGAAATAACACTCGCCCCAGCAAGTGCATACTCCATGGCCTGGGCAGGCGCACACGTCGAAATGGATATTATACCCTTCGAAGGTGATGCCCGTTTAACCTCGGCCATGAGAGATAGTGGGTATGGGGACAGCCTTAATCGATCCACAAATGATATGTTTGGCAGAGAAAGGTTCATATGATAAGACGCCTGAAGGTCACTCGGGCGCTGGGATGGGAGTTGCTTTTGCGCAGCGACAGCAGCCTTTCGGTGGGCAAATATTTTGTCGAGAATGTTCTCTTTCGGGGAAGAGGCGGCCCCAGGCGGTGTAGGTTTGGACGCAGCTTCTTTTTGAAGCCGTTCGTTCTCCGCCCATGTACCACCACGCATCTTCAAGAAGTTCTTCAGCATAACCCGGCCCTCCTCAGTTAAGATGCTTTCCGGGTGGAACTGGACTCCTTCTACGACGTATTCTTTGTGACGCACACCCATGATGACACCTTTCCCATCATTGTTCTCAGGGCTCGCTATCCAGGACGTCACCTCTAGGGCCTCTGGCAGAGTTGGATGTGTTCCGGCTAGCGAGTGGTATCGTGTAACGGGTAAATCCTGTGGAAGTCCCTTGTACATTCCTTTGGAGTCATGTCGCAAAGGCGACGTTTTTCCGTGCAGAATCTCGCCTGCGTACGAGACCTCACCGCCGAAGACGGAGAAGATGCATTGCCTGCCAATTGTCAGTTTTCCATAGGTATGAATTGGCAACGTAAAACCCACTGTCCCATACAAACCCCAAGAACAGGAATCTTTCCTGCGAAACGCTTAATAGCATCTCTGCTTACTCCGGAGTCGGAGCTTGGGTGACCTGGGCCAGGGCTGATGACCAGTTGCGTTGGCTTCTTAGCAGCGAGTTCCTCCACAGTTATCTTATCATTACGGTAAACTGTAACTGTTGCGCCCTCGAGCACCAGGTATTGGTAAATGTTCCAGGTGAACGAGTCGTAGTTATCGATCATAATAAGGTTGGAAGCATTTTCGAGCGGCGCCACGGTGGCATGCCCGTGGGGCGAATGGTCGATCAGTTCAAGAGAAGGCATGTTGATCTTATAATAATTTCTCGCACAGTTTCTTCCAGTGGCCGGCGACCTAAAACCGGCTTGAGAGAAGAGTTTGGGTCATGTACTGGTGTTGAGTGAAAGTGGTATTCTTATCGAAGGCAATTGTCCCGAGATATTATTTAGCTGTAGCCTCTAGCGATAGAGTCATTCGGCCCCACATTCACCCACCACAAGTGCGGCACCCTAGGGTCCCTTGTAAACGCGGTTGCACTATTTCCCGACGCGCCAAATAAACAGCCGCGCAGCACTTGCGACCCTATCAAGACATCGAAGAGCGTTTTGAAGCTCCATGCCATGCTGCTCCTGCACAGCATACATTGCTGTGCCCGATAGCAATGGTGTCAAATAATGAGTCGAATTATTTCCCCCCGTTGGAGGAATGTTTATCCAACAAACAGCTCCTCATGTATGCCTATCCAAACTCTTTGAACTCAAAACCACTCGTACTGACTTCAGCGTAGCTCCTGGGGGGCAGCATACTCGTGCCTCTTGCACCTTGATAAATTTGGGACATCGGATTCCCATTTAGAGAGCTTCTTTAGTGACACGCAGGTTCAAAAATTGCTGTCGCGACCTTTTCACCCATTTTCATTCTCGCAATCCAACACCAAAGCTGCCTTCGAAACCAAAACAGCTGCTATCAATGTTGCTCCGACTAGCAATTGCGAATACGATATCAACAAAATAAAAGAGGATGCGCTGTGGCTCAGTAAAGAGGTTCAGGTCGATGAGGTTTCAGCGTTGAGGACTATCGTTTTGGAATACCAATCCCGGGCAGCTGCGCAACTCAAAAGCGAATTCTCGAATGAAGAAGCCGTCAGCCTCAAGACAGCTGCTGGGAATATCAATACCGAGTCTTCGAATCTTCTATCTCTTGCTCTCAGCGCGGCGAAGAATGCTGCGGGCGGAAATAAATCAGATTCGGAAGAGGATAGACGACTTCGCGCCGTTCAGTTATATCTTACGGAACGCCAGAGTATTCTAGCGTGCAGCAAATTGATTTTTCATGTCGGCTTCCGCACGTTTGAATCGAAAGGCAAGGGCCTTAACGCTGAGACGACATGGATAGACCGCGTGGCAGAAGCCTTTGTCACATCACAGGAGCAGAACCCGGAAAGGTTCTTGCATTACTGCATTACATCCCTGAAGGCAAATTTTGATACCCTGAATGATGGAAGCGGGTGGTTCAAATGCGAGGGTGGCCGACCTAACTTCGAATCTGAGTGGCTCCAAGGTCGAGTTATTGAGGCAGTGCACTCCCTGGAGATCTCTCTGTTGATCCTGGACTATCGGAAAGACACTCGTTCAGGTGCAAATGTGCTCGAATGGTTTCAATTCATGTCTGCTTATGGCTTTTTTGAAAACTTTAGCCACCCCGATCCGTCGCTACTCACCCTTACGTCCTCTATCCAGTCGCTTGTATCGGTAGTATCGCTATCAATGCTTGATTGCCAAAATACAGTATTGCAGATTTATGACGAAAGCCAAAACGAGGCCCCGGAGACCGAAGATGGCACGCCATCATATATTACGGACCTCCAGACTATCCTCAAAATACACGAGGTAATTTCCATGGCTGCATTCAATGTGTCCACTATCGCTAGTCCAGCAATTCTCGCATGGGCGCTTATTTTATTTGCCATGGAAGACTTGACAAGAAAGAAGGAGGAAGCTCGATCCCGCGCCCTTGAGGCTACGGAGGATGACGACGAAAACTATGGGTTAAATTCATCAACTGGACCGAGCGCGACAGCTGATACTGGAATTTTCGCGGAAGTGATAGCTACTATCATGACCGGACATGAAAAAGAAAGCCCTATACACTACTTGGCAGTCTGTGCGGTAGACCAGATCAAAGTTTTTAGTGTATTATCAATGCTGGCAACCACGTTTGGCGCGAGCTCTGGGCAGGACCTGGCGGACATTTTTGACTCAAGGATACGGATTATTATCTTAGACGTTATTCGATGCACTACACCCCTGGTCCAATACGGCGAGGAAGTTGTATCTGCAGCATTGTCGTGCCTGACGGGCGCCACTGATTATTGGAACCAGAACACGTTTCACTCTGCTCGGATTGACGAAAATCCCGTCACATATTTTATGCAGGATGATTACCTCGTTGAAAGGTTCCTATCTGCAGCAGCGTCGAGATACCCTTACGAAAGCCTTCCATTCTTGAGGTTTATCCGTGCAATTTCAAGCTGCGAGTACGAGGCAGATGATGGCACGCCTGCTGCCGTCCAGTCTCTCGACAATCTCACATGTTTTATGTTTGCTTTACCACACGACTTCCGAGACTACCAGACCACACAGGAGGAAGAGAATTTGAATATTGTCGAACTAACAGACAATGTAATGCTATTCAAGCCTCGTGCGAACTTAAGCTTGATGTACAGACGAACTGGCTCGGGGGGCGTTTCAACTGGCATAGAACAAATTACGAACGAATTTTGCATTCCAGCTGGCACCCAAGGACGCATTGTTTCAGAACGCAATCCTAGGGTTGCTGTGTGGTTCTACGAGTACTCAGGTCTGAAATACTTGGGAAAATTGCTCGAGGCTGGGATGGGTGCTGGAGAATATGTCGACGCCATCAAAGACCAGCTTGCCTCTCAAGAAGACCTTGTTGAGATTGTTTCGATTTTGGCCACTCTTGTCAGAACAAGCATCCGGATAAACGAGTCGAATGGCGGGACAGGTGACTCGAACGGGGCAGCCCATCGGATACTTGAGCAAGCCAGTGACGGCCTCGACCGCAACCGCGATATTGTGTTGGTTGTCTTCTCAATTTTCGAAGAGGAGCTGGAACGACAAGCCGGCGGGTCAGCTTCCGAAGCAAACCTTGATCTTCTCAATGCCTGCGTCCAATTCATTCACGCGTTGGTACCTGTTCTTCCAGGAAGGGTGTGGCCTTTGATCGCTCGCTCAGGTTTGCTTGACCAAGAAGGCCGTAGTGGTCGTCTTACGACCATACTGTCTGGCATCGAATTTGTAAACGCAAAGTTTGACTTCTTACTATCGTCAGTCCATCTCTTTGGAGTGTTAGTTGAAGACTTGGTCACACACGCTGTCCTCCGGAAAGGCGGCTTGAAATCTACTACACAGACTGGCAATACCGATGATTTAGGAACTGGTGTCCCAGATCATGTTCTTTCAAAGGTCACCACATCGTATACCAAGACTCTTCTTGGGGTGTTTGAAAGTGCTTGCAATTGGCGTTATGCGATCCCCGAGCAACGCCTCTTACTGTCGAAACATATTTCATCTATATTCGATGAGTTGCTGCATTACAACTATGGCATTGGAGAGGATCCATCTTCTGGTTCAAACCTTGCATCGTCACTGGGCCCCGCAGCAAGCCAAGTTGTGGAAACCTTTCTATCGCCAACATCGGGTCTTCTCCGGTTCCAATCTTTATTCAGAGGTTTTCTGGACGGATTCGCAACTCCAGAGTCGACGGTCCGGAACCAATATTGTATACTATGGATTGCACAAGTAAAGTCGATCCTCGGCTTCACGAAGACCTTGATAAAAGTCGGCACGCTACTTGAACGATCAGGTTCGCAGTTAGAAGGCCAACTTTTCAAAGTTTCACCGCTCATTGCCAGGCTTTACGCTGTTAATTGGGCCTATCGACTGCCTGTTACAACTCTACTCAAGGAACTTGTAATTATTGCATCTGCAAACACAGGAGAGCCGCCTTCGTTACTTGCTCACCTTGGACAAGAAACATCAAAAAACTTCCTTCACATGCTATTGCAGTTAGGAAAGCCACTAAACAGCGATGACCACGTTATTCCGATATGGAACTTGCTGTCTGCTGTTGTTAGCAACCGCCAGCAGTGGTTTGCCATTTATCTTCTTACGGGCAAAAATCCCCGTGATAACTTGAAAGGGAACGCAAATGGCACAGCCACGAATTCGAAATCTCTGATAAGCATTGCCTTAGGGGAGCTATCAAACATCAAACAAATTCCCATGCCGCGAGCTCTGGCTATTCTACAATTTATTTCTCTGGCTCAGAATTACTGGCCATGGGCTATGAAAGACGCTCTGAAGAATTCAGACTTCAACACAGCGTTGCTGGATCATGTTAGTGGCTTCGAGGCACTGGCTGCATCTGCAAGCACCGATCGCTCGATCGAGGGCGCATTCCAGGCACGTATGGCTGCATATGTCGCTGAAATTTTAGCCATGCACCTCTATCATTCGCGGCAGTTGAGAAATATTGCCCCTGTCAAAGATATACTCCCCAAACTGAAATATTTCATACGATGCGGAGTTGCAGCGCCAGCTTATAATGCCTCACTTCAGACCAATCTTAAGAGGAACTTGGAAGCTCGTTATCCTGGCTGCAACCTGCAGAGCTTCAAGTTTACCCAACTACAAATCCAAACGCTTGGAAAAGACTATTTTTACAACATAGAACTGGCTAACAAGATGTTATGTTTCCACCAGGCGTGGAAGGGCAAGAAGGGTGACGGCATTATTCAAGAGCTGATAAAGGCCAATGTCAACCTATCCGTGGTTGATGCGCAAATAGTACGTTCTGCACCACTCTATACTCGGTCCATTAACTAACAGAATTTAGTCTCTTCTTCGTGGTTGGGAAATGCTTGCCATTGAGCTGAGCCACAACCTTGGTGGAACAGCAGATATTGGTCCATCAGTCGCCACGATCTCGTGTGAAATTGCTCGGGACTGTCTGATATCCAATACTAGGAGTCAGCCTCCGGAGGCTATATTCTCGCGAATTAACCAGACCCGGGCAGACTTTGCGTTGACCTTGCTACAGAAGCTGCTGCAGACAAACCCAGATACACCAATGTTGAAGGAGCTTCTTCCAATTGCTTGGAGGGCCATTGGCGACTTGCAAACAACCTTTGAATTGGCCCTGTCGGATGGACCGGAAGCCGCTCAGTATTATAGGACGTTGCTAAAGGTGCTTTTCCTGTTATTACGAATCCACACACGGGAGGACACGACAGATCAGCAATTCCGTTCGTCGCTGAATGCCATTCCCGCAGCCGCCCAAGCAAACCTAACTATAGCCTTGGACATACTCGATAATATTGTTGGGCAAGGCTTCCGAGACCTAGCGACGGCCCTCCACCAGCAATCCGGCTCAATCATGCCTGATGATATCGCCATAATCACCGCCATCCTGCAAAACTGCCTCCTCATGCCCGGCATGGAGGTCCGAACAGTCGAGGTACAAGCCATTCTCTCCAAGCACGGCACAGCCCGCATGGCCACCGCCCTCTTCTCCTGGGCAGACAAACTGGCCATCGACGGTGACCCAGTTTACGGCGAGCTCAGCATCCTCTTCCTCCTTGAGCTCTCCACCATCCCTGAGATCGCCGAGCAGCTCGCCGTCGAAGGCGTCCTAGGCCTCCTCTCCTCCGCCCCTCTCACAGTATACATGCGCCGCGCTAACGTCGGGCCCTTTGCCGATTCCGCGGGTGCGATACGCTGTTACAGCATCTGGGCACGCGGTATTCTGCCACTCCTTCTGCATCTGCTCGCGCGCCTCGAGACTAGTATCGCGGCTGAGGTTGCGGTTTTCCTGAGCCAGTTCCCAAATCTGCTGGAGCAGGCGGAGCACTCGCTCGATTCGAGCGATGACGAGCGACGACCTGGCAGGCCGAGGAGAGAGACTCGCGTGGCGCTGTTAACAGTGTCCGAGGCGCATTCGCTGGCACTGCTGACGATGATATTGAATAGCTGCCGCGGTCAAGTGTCGGGCGTCTTGCCGATACCGTGGGATGCTACTACGGTGCTGGAGAGCGTCGAGTATTGGTTGAGCAGCAGGGTATTGCTGAGCCAGCGGATTGTGCCGCTGGGCTTGACGGAGTCGGAGCTGGAGAGGACGGGGAAGCTGGAGGAGAAGGTCGTGGATGAACTGCTGGGGCTGAAGGATGTGTTGACGCAACTTAATGAGGGTTGATAGGGAGGATTATGGGGGAATTGGTTGGCGTGGGGTTGGAAAATATCTGTGAGATACAGTGGTGTTTTTATATCGTGCGTAAAGAATGTTGCGTAACGGACCAGGCGGGGTCATCTGGGAGTTGTGGTGCATCATCTTCATAGTTTGTACACGCATATTAAGTTTATTGATGATATATGTGTTTTTATATCCGTACAATTCGATTTGCTGTAGCCGTCTTGAAGTCCCCTGTCCTCATAGTCACTGAAAATCATCAAGTGAACCTTCAGACCGTGAAATAGAGTTTTTATACTTCTAAACAGATCTATCCTACATCGGACACCCGACTTCTCCGGGTGCTTTTACTTCACAACCCATCAAACCCCAGCACCCCATCCCATTCCCGCCGTGTTCCTACATCCCATTCGGCATCCCAGCCCATCTATATGCGGAACAAACACACATCATATCTATCGTACACGTCCCCCCTCCCCAGGGCCAATATATGGCGCTTATTTGGGGGCGTTCATCATCTGCGCCTGCTGCTCCGAGAAGCGCTGTCCTATCCTCTCGCTACCAGCCATGAACTTCTGCACGCAGCGGTTGACGCAGCCGGACTCGCGGGAGATGAGGGACTTGGTGGTGAAGTCGTCAATGCAGGAGTCGAAGCAGCGGTCGACGAGGCCGGAGAACATCTGTGGGTTGCATGTTAGCAGGTGTATTGGTGACGAGATCATTGGTGGTGGGTGGTGTTGATGGTCCGGCTGGAGCTGGTTTGGGGATGCGAGAGAGAGATGGGGGGTAGACATACGTTCATGAACTCCTTCATCTGCTTACGCTCCATGCGCGCCTGGAATTCGCGCTGCTCCGAGGCATTGAGTCCGAGTCTGCGAGAGAGAGAGGCTGTTAGTAATCGGCTATGTAAATTTCTGGCCTTCCTCTGCCCGACGGCATCGATTGAGCGAGTAGTAAGTTGGCTGGGTGAACTGCTTACCCGTCCATATTGCTATATTGGTAGCGGGTATTATATTGGTGGGTATGGTGTGAAGAGGTACGTGGTCGGGGATGGTATAGATGGTAGTGTGAGCTTTGTTTGGTGATATAAATCCTGTGAAGCTTGAAACATTCGTAGTTCCTCGAGTTTAGCGGCGACTGAGTTAGCGGTACGTACCATGGCTAGCGTTGGGACATTTTAAGTTGCTCTTTGGACTCGCGAATGGAGCCAATGGGAGGGTTGGGGGGGGGAGGGGGGGGAAATAGGTATGTCCGTCCCCGGCTTGGGGTCCTCAGGCTGTAATTCAGGCCGCAACTAAGCAGTATGCATCACTCAGAAACTCCCGTCCTTCTGATATTTCAAATTCTTCATATTCTGCACCATGATGCTGCTTTCATGCAGTGCACATCATGAGTTTGTGTTTCCGTATTTCATATCCTTTTCCCTCGCCTTCGCCTTGGCGTCCAGTTGCAGTTGCGCTTTCCCTGTTATCACCTCTGCCTGCGTTGACCCCGCCGCCGCCACAAACACAACACACTTCCCCTCAAAGCGGTCCCTTCTGAAGAGGTACAACCCTCTCCAAATGGAGGTTGAATGCGTGGCCTTGTATTTATACTTGTATTTATATATGTATTTCATATATAGATATCGTTCGGTGACTGGGATGTTCTGATGGGAGTACAATCTCTATGGACGGCGCATAGCTTGCTTGATTGAGCGGGCAGGCAAGCAATCAGGAGGTAATGTAACTCCGCCGTCTATATTAATCCTTGGGCGTCATCTTACAGAGGCATTCACAGTATATATATGAGTATATCATCCATATCAATCACAATTAATATCCTCACTATACCTCATATCTTATTTGCCTTTCTTCTACTCGTGCTTCTTCTTGGATCCCAAGCGGTAAAGCCGTTTTTTAAGGTATGGTACACCTACCGGTCTCTCTCTAGCCGCCCAAATCCGGCTAAGAGTTCTGTAGCGCCTGGAACTTCTATCCCACAGCGTCTACTCCTCCACATCTCCCCAATAGCCGCAATCACAAATAGGAAGACCATTCTTTTCTATCCCATACCTTCAATCATACCACTTACTCTATACCCAGCGGCGACCCTACCAGTCTCTGATTTGAACCTTTCTCGCCTTGTCGCATACATACCGACCCCACGCCAACGGCACACGGAAGACGCGACACTGACTCTCCGCCCCCCCGCAAACACTCACTCTACACCTCGCAATCCTGGGGGAACGACCTTCTGCGTTATCGCGTGGCTCTGAATCTAAGAATTAAACCATCTACCCTCCAGGCGACACAGTTCCGCATGTTCAAAATCCACACAGGCGGTCACATATAAGCAGCGCCAAGTTTCAATTTGCGACAGCGCCATACCAGCCACACACCAACATTCGATATCCTCTTCATACCTGCGAGTGATTGTAGTTTTAGCTATTGCTCACCTCAAAGCTTGAGCAAACGCCACCATGTCCTCCGGCCACAGCGCGCAATCGGGGCAGCAGCCATACTCACAGCCTCAGCCCAAGACGCTCCGACACTTCCCACTCACACATCAGAGCGCCCCTGTCCCGCCAGCGGCCTCGCCCCCAACGAAGAGAGACCTCAAGTCATGGTGGAAGGGTTTCAAGAGCCAGAAGAACCATGAGACTCAAGGTACGCACCAACTGCCTCACCCTCAACCTCCCATTCTCCCTCAACTTGTTCTGCGCATCGTTATCGCGCGGGCAAGCGCTCCCAAGTGGCAGCGAGGCAATTTCCCCGCGGCGCCTTGTACAGTTACAGCGCGGCTCCTTGCGCATCCCGCGTATTCTTATAAATAAGGCATTTGACTAATCGCATGAAGCAGAACAACCGGCTGGCATTTTTGGTGTACCTTTGCGACAAAGTATTACATATGCGAACGTTGCAATATCCTTGGTCGATGCAGAAGGGAACAGCTATATTTACGGATATGTGCCTATAGTTGTGGCGAAGTGTGGTGTATACTTGAAGGAGAAAGGTCAGTTTATTCCCCAGCAACTTTTAAATTCTTGGCTGATTGTAATGTAGCCACCAATGTGGAGGGCATTTTCCGTATGAGTGGCTCGGAAAAACGGATCAAGGAACTGCGCGCGATTTTCAACGCACCTGACCGCTATGGAAAAGGCCTTGACTGGGATGGATACACCGTTCATGACGCAGCAAATGTGCTCCGGCGCTATCTAAACCAACTTCCGGAACCGATTGTTCCTCTGGATCTATACGATCGTTTCCGTGCCCCTCTTCGCAGTGTCATGGGGCAAGAAGTAGTCTCGCCCGAGGACACGAATGGCAAAATACAGACCTATCAACAACTAATTACAGAGCTACCACCTCTGAATCGCCAGTTACTGCTATATATCCTCGATCTATTAGCTGTTTTCTCATCGAAGTCCGACGAGAACCGAATGGACTCGGCCAACTTGGCCGCTATCTTCCAACCGGGAATGCTCTCTCATCCCCAGCACGACATGGCTCCAGAGGAGTACCATCTGAACCAAAACGTCTTGGTTTTCTTGATCGAGAACCAAGATCACTTCCTAATCGGCATGCGCGGTACCGCCGCGGACGAGAAGACGGTGCAAGACGTGCAGAAGGGAGGAACCCCACCACCCGCGACGCCGACTTCAATCACCAAGAAGAGCGGCATCAGCAGATCGCTGTCCAATGCCAGCGCAGGCGGCGATAACCCCAGACATCCCGGCGGCGTGCGCAGGAATGTCTCCGTCAATTCGGGGCACTCTCGGCGATCCAATGGCGCGCCTGCAAGCCCTGGATTACGGCCGCTGACGCAAACTTTGGTCGAGAATGGTGGAAGTGTACCAACTTCAATCAAGGAGGTTAAGAATGCGGAGTCATAGCACGGTTGAGTGGATTATTCGGACATTTACAAAATGGTATCTCTCCTGTAGCGAATGCGCAGGAGTGATAATTCTCGTCCTTCCTCATCATGGGAGCTTGAAAAGAGATGCGGCATCCCGACGCTGTATTGCGACCACATACAGCCCTTCAAAGTCAGGGCTGAGGCGTCCATGGGGTTACTTGGGGTAGCATGGAATAATGGGAACAATGAGAACAAAGTGAATGTTTGAACAATACCAATCAGGGAGGTGAAGTTTAGACAGGTAGTTGCTGAACAAAGGCCGAACGGCGGTTCATGGCGCCGTGCAACTCCCCCAGCTCGGCATGAAGCTACTTTATTCTTGTTGATGGCGCATATATTTCAAATGTCGAAGGTGGCATATACGGAAACTCAGAAAGCAAAGAAAAACGGAGAAACTGGTTGTATTATGTTCCGCGCACGAGAGACAATAAGACAATAAATCAGGAAGACTGATAATGAACAAAGCCCGATACCACTGATCTCATCCTCTACCTTGATCGAAACAGCCATGTTCCTCCTAAGCAATGTTCTTTGTCTCGCCACCCCCTAGTTCACCCAAACGACGACATATATTCACAAGTCTCAAAACTCGAAACACAGACCAGAAGCCCGCCGCGTGTATAAAAAGGGCTGGAAATCTCCCCTCTTCTTCTCTTCCTCGAATCCCCAAGAAAAACAGACAGCTCACCTACCTCCTCATCCTCCGCTTCCCCTCGACACCTTCGACAAGCAAGCAGGTAAGCGCCAACTCCAGTACACACCGCCACCTCACAGCTACTGACAATGTGTACAGAGGTTGACTGGCGCTGGAGCCGCTGCGGGCACATCACACAGACCACCGATTGGTGTCCCTTCTCCCTCACCTCCAGGACTCCCGGCCGCGACTGCCCGGAGTACTGGTTCCGGCTTCGGCACAGGCAGGGCTTCTGCCCAGCTTGTGCGAGGAGGAGATGGAGTTGGCTTTGTGGGTTGGTGTAGACAAGACCTTTTTTCAGATAGGTGGGTTGGGATGGGATGAGATGAGATGTAGGACAAGATTTGTGGCCTTTTAGTTGGAGAGAGAAGACGATGGTGTGTAAAAAAGGGTTGGGTAGACGGATTAGACGGGTTCTATTCAATGGTTCATCCCCGTAAACCTTGTTCCTGATGTTATGATGTATGAAATGTGACCCCTTTGCAAGTCAGACCAGTAAAGCACGTGTATCCAATACTTCGGGCTCCCTCCTCCTACCTCGCTCCGAGGAAACCACTCCAAGAAACTCCCCAGAACCATATCTCACTTACTCTTCGTGCCGCTCCGTTTCCCGAAACCGGCCACCCATGGTGACACCGGATACGAGACCCCCTCCCTCGGCGACCTTTCACCACCCCGAAAGCAACAGCGTGGTCCAACCCTTTGGTTGGTCCCAGACACGCCAACGCAGCTTATCTTCCTCCGTCTCCGTTTCATGTCTAAATATATATACCACCCCCGATGCGGCGGAAGCACAGCCATGACGTTGTGTCTGGTGGGGTCGCACAGTCTAGTGCTCCATTGGATGGGGTGAGGTGCACGGCAGGATCAGGACAGGTTCTGGATGGCGGGTGGAGAGCGGGTTGGTGGATGAAGCTGCCCGGGTTTATCACCTCGACCAGGATGCCTTCCTTTCGGCATTTCCTCATTTTCTTGACGATCTTCACCGTCTTCGCAGTCACATGTACCTCGGCGGCTGTAGGACAGACAGGTCCGGAAGCACCATGCGCCAACGGCGGACGAAATCCAGTTCACCAAGCTCCTACCTACGATTTCCGATGACCCCGAGCTTCACGGTGCACTAGAGCAGTATATTGCTAACAAATACCAACCCGGCAAGAATGGGGAGGGTACAACGAGCACTATCACGGCCTCCACCGTGGTTCCTGCGAGCCAGCCTACGGAGAATGCAGAGCCGACTGTTTGCAGGGGAATGCGGGTTCTAATCGACGTGCTGGTGTCGTAGGATATGGATTCATTCTATTCGTCGGCATGATGGCTGTATTGTAGTCGCTCGATAAAGCTGTGGTCTTGCAGCGGAAATCGCAATTGTACTTTATATTTGGGAAAAACAAATCATATTTGCTCACAGCATGATGAGCTTGTGCCACATGGATATGCTGAGATATGCTTCGTCCCAACTATCCATGTTTTTAATCCCCCAATACAAGGTAAACTCCTCATGATGCGCCCCTCGTCCATAACCCCCCCCCACAAACTCCATCGCACAGCCAGCGCGCAACAGCCCCCAACATAACCACCGCCCTCCTCCTGTTATCCCGGTCCGATTCTCGGCCTGTAAATCACCTCCATTAGCAAAACCCCGCAACACCACTCCCCCAAACACCCCCAAGGAAAGGACAACAAAAACATACATATCATGATGCTCACTCAACCCACTCAAATACTTATTCAACTCCTCCACCCTCTGCTTATGCGTCCTCCCCCCCCCTTCCCTCTTCAACCGATCCTCCAACCTCTTCCTCCTCATCTCCTCATGCCTCTTCTCCGTCGGCGTCTTGTAATCCTGCTCTAGCTCGCGCTCCTCGACTTGCCGCCAGAGCGCGTCTTCTTCATCTTTTGCGGATGCTGAGGTGGGTGTGTCTTTGGAGTCTGTGGGGGGAGGAGGGGAGGCGGATGATGGGCGTTTGGTGAGGGTGGTGGAGGTGGAGGCGGCGGCGGAGGAGGATTTGGAGGACTTGGATTTCTTCTTTTTGATGCCAGAGGGTTTGGAGCCCTTGAGCTTGAGGCCGCCGCCGATGGCGGAGGAGTAGTCGTCGCCTCCCATGGTGGGGTTGGGGTTGGTGGGGTGAGGTGAGGTGAGGTAGAAGCTATGGTTAGGATATGGCGGGGAGAGCTTTGAGGCGGGAAGAATGTTTATCCGGTGACTGTAACTGCTATATGATATATCAGACATCGGTTTGTAGAGAAGATAAAATGGATGTTGTAAAGTGTAATCATACAATATGTGGTATTAATATAATATCTACTGCCCATATCCGTATATTCATAGCCTTGTGAAAGAGCTCCTATATCCTTAGACGCCAACAATCCACCGCCTTATATTCAATCCTCTTTCTACAAACCCTCCCATAGCCCCGGTGCACCAGCAGCAGACCTTAAATCCTCAACCCCTTAACACACAACCAAAACACCACCGGCACAACCACATTATCATTCCCCCCCGTCAACACCGCCTCAGTCGTACTCGCCATCCCCGCCGCCAGCACCGCCTTCCCCAACGTCCTCCCCCACGAATCCCCCACCGCCCCCCATCCTCCCACCCCCCAACACTCAACCACACCTTCGCCGCCATCAGCGCCACCGTCACCGCAACCGCAAACGCAAAGCTGCCTTCCAAACTCTTGCCACCAGGCCACAGCCACTTGCGCCGGCCGTATCGCCGGCCGATAAGCGATGCGGCTGCATCACCCATCCCGACGCAGATCACGCCGGATACCATACTCACGTCCCGAGTCGGGACTTCCCATCCATCATCGGCTCTTGTGACGGCGCCGAGGCTGAGCAAGAGAGGCACCGCGCACCCGATTAGGAGAAAGATGTGGCTAATCACCACTGGCCCGCGCAAGTCCCTACCATCCACATAGGGCGTAAGGAAGTAAGCGATTGGTTTGCTAAGCGGAGGTAGTTGAGTTGCGCGGAAGAGGTCGAGGAGGAGGAAGACAGCGAGGATGAGGGAGAGCGCCAGGGCGGCGAACGTAGGGTCGATGTAGGTCGCCGGCAGGAGCATGGCGACCATCATGAAGTGGAAGACTTTCCTGCGGGTGTCGACTTCGACGGTGGAGGAGAGGTTGATGACGATTGTGAGGCCTAGGATTATGATGGCGAGCCAGTAGGCGGAGATGAGGAGGCGGGTGTTGGCGAGGCCGATGTTGGAGCGGAGGTGGGAGATCCAGGGGCCGTGGAAGTATGTTACCGGGCCAGCTGGGAGGCGTTCGGGGACGGGGATCCACTGGTCGAGGTTTAGGGTGACGACTTGCATCCGGAGCCAGGGGTAGTTTCCGAACATGTATGCTAGGGCCCAGCCAATGGGTTCAGCGCCAGATAAAGCGACATTCCCGACGTACGTGCGGATTCCTGCAAATATGATGAGGAGCACGCAGAGGTAGACGTAGGCAGCATAGAGCCCCTTGCGAATAGTTGCTTGCGCTACGGTGAGATTGTAGAAGCCTTGGAGGCTAGAGGTCGCCGAGCGCCTCTTTCGACCCGATGCAGTGAGAGCGCTCTGGCGCTTAGGTGAACGAATCGATGGGAACGTGTTTCTTCGATTCCTTTCCCGATTTGTCAAATCGGTTAGAGCCCCATCCATACGGGAGGCGAACTCTTCTTTTGGTTCCTCAGATACCGCAGATATTGAACCTTTCTCAAATTGAACCGTATTGGATTTCGTTAGGTTTGTCTTCAATCGCATTGGCCTGACTCTCTGTACCGCCGAAGAAATATCGTCCTCACTGTCCAGCGTAAGGGGCCGATCGAAGTGTAGGATTTCGCTCAGCTTTCCCAAAGGCTTCTTTAAAATCGACTTTGACGTTGATTTTATTGGGCGTCCAAGGGCGTTTCCACTCCGTTTAAACCTCCATCTTGGAATTCTTTCCAGCGCAATCACCCATCTAAGGGCGAAGCCACAAGAAATGAGCAACGACAGCCCTCCGCCCCACATGAGAGCTTGCAAGATCACCATTTGCGGTGAAGTTGACAACAGCAGTATATTAATAAGTGAAATAGAAAGAAGTTGAAGCTCAGTCTCCAACAAGCTGGTCGTCGTTAAATATCTCAGCACCGAGCAGGTGGCTTGATGTAAAGGACATATCAAAACAAGTATCTCTGGGCTGATATTACTCTCAGGAAGCAACCTTTTATCTTGAAGAAGATTCGATTGCGACTGCCAAGCAAATAGGGGTATACAAGACAAAAACCAACGTAATGTAGCAACATCTTCGCCCTTGGCAAAGGAAGGTAGTAACTCGGGCATAAGTGATGAAATGCCGAGGATTATATTAGGGAGAACTATCCCCTGGTTGGAAAACGACAGGAGAGTGGTGACAAAGTTCGTGAGCAAGGAGGGATAGAGAAGCGGAGCTGGGTCGAAAGTTGCCGGGATACGGAGTGACGGCCATTTCTTGAAGGAGTTTTGACAAGCCAAATAGTATGATAGTCGAATAGGGTAGAGCACCATTAATGACCCCATAGTGGCGGCCTGGTACGTAAACTCTGGAACGGAATTAGTATCTGCCAAATTATAGGCCGTCATACACATACCTTTCTTCCACAGAGAAGCAGTAACTCTCCCGTTTCCGGAATATACTATTTGTCCCAGGCCAAGCAAAAGGGCGACCTCCAAAACTCGACGTAGAACCTCCGTCTTCCTTGTTGCCCTGAACTTATCCCATGCTTCCCGAGCACGCCGCTCCTCCTCATTTTTAAGTGTGTTCAAAACATCAGATATGTATTCTTGTCGCCGCGCGGATTGTTGGAGGTCAACCATGGATAACGCGGGACTTGGTGATGATGAGCTCGATCTCTCGAGGCCTCGTAAGCCTTTCCGCGGCCGCGAGCGGGGTGCCGGCAACCCGAGGAGGAAGTGCTCATCGTCTGCTTCTGTCCCGCTGTCGCTGTCGGTGCTGCGTCTGTATAGATCCTCGGAATGAAGAATCGGTCCATCGGCGGCAAAGCTTTCCGGGGTGCTCAGGTTGTGCCTGGCGGGCCGGAGTTCGGGATTATGTCGATGATAGGGATGTGGTGATCGCGATAGTGCCCTCAAGGCATCTTTATCTTGTGGCGCGGGATTGGCAATGGAAAGCGATTCCCGATTCCATCGTTCAGACATTGCCTGGAGGCCAATGTGCCACTTCTTGCGTTGGGGACGGGGGAGGACGTCATCTATCGGCTCATCTCTGGAGCAGCGGGCTTGACAACATAGCTCTGTGGTGTCGGTTGGTACTCTGGCGGTGGCAAATTATCATAGGTAAAGCGAGTGAAAGGTCAATAAATGAAGAAATATGAAACTGCCCTATTCACATGTAAATGTTGCCGGCGAAGCTCGTATTTACAAAAACGGCAACGTATCCAAGGTATGGTACGTACTCGTTTTGAGGCTCCTTATCGTTTGGTTATCGGCGGTTCAGGAGAAACCGTTTTGGGTTGCTACCGAAGCAAGTTTTAGTTGACCTAACTCCCTCCCTCCAACAGCTATATTTTGTAGCAGATCAGAGAAATAAAATCATTGTAGTATTGCTATGGATAGATGTAAACGTATATTAATTATATCAATAAGTGAAGCTCCCCAACTTGGATCAGCGGCTCATCCGCTGATCCCAAAAGGTTCTAGACCAGGTCTCCAAGTTAAAGAAAATATGAAAATGTTCGGAGTCGTCGACAGCAATGGTTTGTTCGGTCACAAGTCATTGCAAAGATTCATCGTCTCCCAAAACCATCTAGCACGTAAATTTGACCGATCGGCCAGTTGGAAATACCTGGACGACGGTTGATTTAGTCGTGCTTACCATGAAAAAGAAGAGAACCAGATCACCGAGCGAATTTGGAATTTGTAAATGAAAATCGCGGTCACGTGGCACCCGTTCCCGTTTCCATAATGAACCACGCTAACAGTTTTTCGCTTAATGCTCCATATAAGAAATTCTCCTCCGTCTGTGAATCCTCCATTCTCTACTGACAATGTCACAATCGACAAGGGAAGCCCGACTTCCTTGCCATATCTGAAGGAACGGATCATGATGCAAGCCGCCTCTCATGACACCGTTCTTGGGATACTGCTAAGTATCAGGCCAAGTGTCGTCTTTGCCTCTCCATGGCAAAGCCAAGGACAATCCGCCTGGGCCAAGACTGGCCAACTCTTTCCTTTTTTGTATGAACTCAAAACCACATATTGCCTACCTCTTATCCTTTTCATGGACATGAGCGTCACTTATTTAAATATCGTTCGTGGAATAAAGAACAAAGGGCCTAGACAGCCCGTCCCATCCACCCTGTTGGCGTAGACCAGTGCGCCAGGAGGACTAATCAGGACAAACAAACTATCCAATAGCATATATATTCTGTATTATAAATTACTCGGCATGATCATCACATACATTTCTCGTCCAGAAACTGGCACTGCCTGCAACCCTTTCCCCCCGGTCCGTTACGTACTCGTCCTCCAATATATGCTGGCGAGAAGCATATTCAAAATGCTACTCTGGTCATTCGAAGTCGGCCAAAAAAAGGATTGGTCAGCCTGTAGTAAGCCGTCCACGAGTTGAATTCGTGGGAGCTTTATAGCAATAAACATATGAAGTCTACACCGAGACATAGAAACCTATCAATGCACCTACATCCAAACCGCCCTGCAGTCCCCACCGGTGGATCCGGATGCGGTATTATGCATCCGCATAGCTCTTATCATTTCGTGATGTGTTTGCAATGCATCAAACGTGCAGATGAGGCGAACAACAACGTCGACGGCGATGCAGGATCCTCAGCCCCTTTGGGATCAGCAGTATGAACTTTCGGTCACAAAGCCTCAAGTCAGTTTATCGAGATTTAATTAGGTAGATGGGCGATCTCTAAAAGTGTACAAAAAGACACGCACACATACTGTAGCCAATGGATAAACCCGCCTTCCAGTCTCGTCATGTGCAACTTGCTCCTTTCAGCAAAATCTCCATCCGTGGATCAACCTCGGCACATATTGCTGAACTGAACGGCCAACACACAAAACCCAATACTCCAAGCGCCTTCAACGCGTAAACTGCTACTCCAATAACACCTCCACTGGATGGAACCGTAGCCTTGGGGATATCGGCGCAGCTGAGTGGCTCCTACATGGTCCTGCTCATCGGGAATGAGAGCACTGTGGTCACTGTGGCGGGTGACCCTTCCAGCAAGTGTCCACTGAATCCTAGGCTGGATGCCAAATTTAAACGTGGTCCTGAGGTATTTAAAATTCGAAGAGTTCCAATAATCAACGATAGCGGCTGCTATGGCTCCTCTCCTGGATTTGCTTCTCTGTGGCAACGTATAATTGGTCCAAATAACACATCGAGTCCGCATCTCGCAGTAATTTGGCCACCTGGATTCCGGCTGATATTAATTGCAAGATGTTCCGGTCATCCTTTAATGGTCTGGACTGGTTCCTGGCGGCATGCCTCATCTCAAGGGAGTTCTCCAGGATGGTGACAAATTGCTTGATCTGGCCGTTATATAAAACGCGAGCCGGAATGCGACGCTTGGTAGCAAGACGCTTCAAGAGGTATACCCATTCAGTCCACTCACGGTCCTCTGGGCGCTCCACGGGTCGCATCTTGGAGTCTATGGGAATGGGAAACTCGTATTTGGCAACAAAATCAAACGCACAATGCGAGAGGCGCTCATTAACCCGGGTAAGAATAATGTCCTGTTCCTGGACTACCAGGTTGGTGGGAAGATGGGGTAGATCCCTGTCTTGCTCCAGATATCCTGACGGAGGGCGGGGTAGAAGCTGGTGAGGCCCATCAAACTCGTCCCGGTTGGACGGACGCCTTTGTGGATGAACTCGGTCCGTGTTGGGAGGCCCACTCAGAGGCCGCCCTGAAGCTTCAAGTGCCGTGTCGGTTACAGCAGTTGAGCCGTGGTAGTTAGTGATGATGTATTCTGGTGTTATACGCCCACCTGCTTCCCGCGTTGGAGATGTACGGTTGCTGTAGGACCCGTAGTTTGGAGCGGCTCCATTTCCATAAGGGGCAGATACAGGCTCCTTCTGGTATCCGTTGGGTGAGTAGATAGGTTCTGATCGGTCCATGGGATCGCTGGGTGCCATGATGGAGGTTGGACTGTAAGCGGATGTCACCGAGTTTGAAACGTATGTGATACTTAGGGATATGGTTCAGTAAGACTCTTTATCTTGGGATATCAACACAAATACCTTGAGGAGGGATAGTATGAGGTTGCTGGAGGTGGTGCTCGCCCACTTCCATGCCCATCACTTGACCCTTGTCAGCTAGCGATCTTAATACTGTCTATGAAGTCTCGTACCTTCGGCGAAGATCATTAGGACCAGTCGCTATCGGACGACTGTAATCCATATAGTCCGGCTGGACATTTCTCACGGAAGAAGAAAACATCAGGGCGAATGAGAGATCCAACCGAATAAGGAGTCAGACAGAGAAATTGGCAAATGTACCACCAACGCTGCGGTTTGCAGATAGGTATACCAGTGAAGTGAAATATCCGGATCTTGGGCTCGTAATAAGGAAAGTTGATACCAGCAACTCGACATCCAGGTGGGTCGGTGAGTATAAGCAAAGGACCAGGCTTGGAAATGTAGTCTTGACTGCAACAGAACAGCTTGGGACAACGTGCTTTGACTTTTGGGGAGGTATTTGATCGGAGGGGAGACCGAGAAACATAAATACCCATTCTCGCAATTATGATGGGGCGGTCAGCGCTCCTACCATGACGCCGCATGTTAATTGCGAGAGAAATTAGGCCACCACTGGCCTAACACCATTGCTGGAGCTATAGCCCTGTAAAACCTGCTTGGGGTTTCGCAAACAGCGTGCTTCACTGGCCTCACTTCGCGCAAATGATTCGGAAATGGCAACCTCTTGTGGAATCGACCGGGAGCTGCGGTCCACTACGAACCAGCGTATTAAACATGGCACTCAACGTCAGGGTGTCCACGGCAGCCCGCAATGACCTTCGCTAGGCTCGTCTCATACCGTAGCCCATTTGCTACGCCAGAGTCGACTGACTTTGAGGCCCGAATCAATTCAACGCGCCAGGCCACTAGGGCCCCTTAGGCTGCGTTGGGCAGACGTGGTTGTGCAGTGAGAAATCCTGCCATGACGATTGGAGAGAGCAGGGATGGTTGGAAAACATCGCCCAAGGGACGTGGAAACTCGAGAGTAGTTTAAGTTACATCGAGAAGCGACCTACATGTTGTCACCTCTACCGACCCAGTTGATGCCCTTGATGGCAGCAAAGCCGGGCGTTGTGCGAGCATTGGGCATGAATCCAGGCCTCCTTGGGCATGGCTTAGCTCATGCCTTGCTGCCCACCTTGTTGAGAATGGATTTGCTGTCCTGGCCACCGATTTTTGATGCAAAACCGGTCTGCCATACGAGGAGAAGACGCCTTAAAGTAGTTGGCTGTTGTCCGCAAAATGATTGTCGAATAGGGTGGTTGAGGGAATCAAGTTCGCTTACTACTCACCGGTTTCTTCTCATCATTATCAGCTCACGTGACCCGCACGACCATTAAGTCCCACAGGTCAGCCGCTGCCACGTCTCTTCTTCTGGCATGATATCAACATGTCGCCTGAACCGAAAAGGGACGAATCGTGCATCTCCGGACTCTGCGATACATTTCAGGTCGTCGTCAGCATGGCAAACAGAATATCCGACATGGAGGAATAGGTCCGGTTAACTCTAAATTAAAAAGTGTCAATCAGCTGGAGCTATTTCTTACCGTAGACTTCGGTGCAAGATGACTGACTGCCTTATGGCCACTTGTTCGGTGTTATCACGTGTTAGTATTAACGTTCTGGAGTTTATCCTCTTGTTGGGAAGTTGCGATGGCCCATTTTTGGGGAAATATCATGCCTCGGCACGCTTCTCTACATACCCCACACTTTCTGTATCCGCAAGCAACCGAGCTTCATGAACCCCCGGATATTCACATCAAGCGCAAGCGCTTATATAGAGGATACCTTTGTAAATCATGAGTTTTTGAGAATAATACCCTTCATCTAGCAAGCCATTCAATCTGCCAATCACCCACGAAGCACCTCCTCACAATGGCTCCAATCACCACCCCCCTCACCACCCTCCTGGGTATCCAGCACCCCATCCTCCTCGCCGGCATGGCGCGCACGTCGGGTGGGCCCCTAGCAGCTGCCGTATCCAACGCCGGCGGCATTGGCTGCATCGGCGGTCTAGGCTACACCCCCGACCAGCTCCGCGAGATCATCCACGAGCTCAAGGAAAACCTCACCTCCAAAGACCTCCCCTTCGGCGTTGACCTCGCCCTCCCCAAGGTCGGCGACGGCGCGCGCAAGACCAACCACGATTACACTCACGGCCAGCTGGACGAGCTGATCACCGTCACGATCGAGGAGGGCGCAAAGCTGTTCATCAGCGCTGTCGGAATTCCGCCGCCACATGTGATTAAGCGCCTCCACGATGCCGGTATCGTCATCATGAACATGGTTGGCGCGCCGAAGCACGCAAAGTACGCTCTCGATGCTGGCGTTGATATCGTATGTGCTCAGGGAGGCGAGGGTGGCGGACACACGGGCAACATCCCCAACTCGGTGTTGATCCCGGCTGTTGTGGATGTTGCGCGCCAGTACAGGCCGAAGCTTCTTAAGGGGCAGACGGCACTGGTTGTCGCTGCAGGTGGTATCTACAATGGACGTAGTTTAGCGGCGAGTTTGATGCAGGGAGCTGCTGGTGTTTGGGTGGGAACGCGCTTCGTTGCGGCGACTGAGGCTGGATGCAGTGAGCAACACAAGGAGGCCGTTGTATCTGCTGGTTTTGATGATACCCTGAGGACTCTGGTGGTCAGTGGACGCCCGTTGAGAGTCAAGATGAACGATTATATTGCGAAGTGGGAGGCACAGCCCGAGAAGATCAAGGAGCTGACGGAGAGTGGTGTTGTCCCCATTCAGAAGGACTTCGAGGATGGAGTGGATATCGATATTCCTTTCTTGATGGGCCAGGTTTCCGGGGCGATTAATGATATTAAGCCGGCTGGAGACATTGTAAAGGAGATGGTGTCTGAGGCCGCAGACATGTTGAAGCTGGGCGGGACATATCTCAACGGTGATAAGCAGAGCAGGTTGTGAAGAGTGTCACATATGAGAGGAATCGGTTCTTGCTACTGTTAGCATGTCAACCAGGCATGAGTACAGTAACGTAGGTCGTGGTGTAATAGGGGGGGAGGTGTAATGGGGGTAGTGGGGTTGGGTCCGCCCCATCAAAACCACCACTACCATCACTACTACCATTGCCCATAATGGTTCAAAAAAGGAGTATTAAGGCTCTAGAACGCGAATATTAGCTGTTAAATCAAATCAATACAAGTCTATTTATGCAGCTACAAAAGCCCTGAAGGTGCCAGAGGAGACATTGCGACGTCGCCTACAAGGGGGACACACGCTAAGTGGCTATGCTCCTAGCCACCGGATTCTAAGAGAGGTTGCAGAAGAAGTGCGCTCAAACAAGTGCCGGGTCTTCTAGGTAATTTGGGTAGATACAGTAGTCAATTAATCAACTCAATTCCTGAACTCTGCTCCTAATCGTCGGTGTTCGCACCGACCCAACCACCTTACAGGTGGTCGGCAAAAGCGAAGTGCATCCGGAAAGCGAAATTGCATCCAGCCAGCCAGATATCATTAGTATGTAGAATCTAATATAACCACTATCTAAACAACTAAGTTATACAACCAATTAAGTGATTAAATTATTAAATAAAATTGACGCTATTCTCACTTTAAAACAACCCTGAATCCAAATTCTCTTCTGTCCTGTCTGTAAATATGTCCTCATCCAAACCACTAAATCTTATAAATCCAGTCTCATCATCACCGTCTACCTGTGACCCAAACCACCACATTGTTGAAATCAATTGAATATTGGCTTCTTCTTGAATCTCTAGCTCCTACGCAATTTTTTCAGGATCAGGAATTGGATTAAGTAAATCAGGAGGCACCTCCTGCTTTGCTTTTAACAACTAGGTAACCTGCGGCTTTCTTGACAGCTCGGCTTTGCAGGCCTCAACACCACGAATATAAAGCTCCTTTTTGACCTTATTCAAGGCTATTCATGCTCTGAATTTTGACTTCCACTCTTGAGTTTCCTTCTCCTTTTTAGCCTTGTCAGCTATTTTTTTTCCAAGCATCTTTAGTGTAATGGTGGGTGCACCAGATGTGAGAATCTAGCCACCCAAGGAAGGGATGATTTTACTAAGACAACACACTGTCTTAGGAAACAGAGCCAAAGGGTTGTAGCTTAGACTATTCCACAATGCAGCAATCAAATGTATGATGTAGTGGAGTGGTTTAGACAAGTTGTACAAATGTTGAGTCTGAGAACTCAGGGATAAGTCAGAGGTTAGCACCTCACTGACTTTTCAGAAACAAGGAGTAACAAGATCAATGCTTGGAAGCTTGGAAAAGACGTGGAAGTATGTGCTAGTCGATTTACTGTATTGTCTGCTTGCCCTTTCTTAAGGAAAGGGCAATCCTATTTATGCTAAAGGAGTGTAGTTCTCTCATTTTCCAAGACTTTCCATGACTTACCAGGCTTGGTAACTGTAGTTGACGTAAGAGAATCCCATAGAACCATCTCTTAGGTTCGTAGCCTATAGGAAGTAAAAGGAGGTCCAAGGTCAGAGTACCCCTATAGACAAATTATGTCATAGACAAATTATGTCATAACTTAACCAATCTTGTGGGTAACTAAGGAGCGATGACGTGTAATGAATCATAGAGGGTTGTAGAAGCTTTTGGAGCTATCGTTCATGTTCCTAGGCCTCTAGTTGGTAGAGATATGTCATGTGTAGTATTAGCCCAGTAACTAAGGAGTGATGTCATGTAATGAATCATAGAGGGTTGTAGAGATATGCTATGTGGTCATATTGGCCCAGTAACTAAGGAGCAATGACGTGTAATGAATCATAGAGGGTTGTAGAAGCTTTTGGAGCTATCGTTCATGTTCCTAGGCCTCTAGTTGGTAGAGATATGCCATGTGGTAGTATTGGCCCACCCCCTTAAGGAGGAGATTTTCTTAATAACTTGTTCAATGAGTGTTCAAATGATATGCCGTGATGTATGTAGCATAGACAGATGTAGTAGAAGAGTTTGCAGCAATCGTTGAGTAGTATTGCTTCTGTTGTTGGTGTGATAAGCCAAGATATGTATGGTGACTTGTAGGTTTGAGGAGGAGATTTCTAAGTTTGCTCTTGAGTTTGATAGCAAACTGAGTGCAACGAATGTCAGTATGACATATTGCAATTTTTGGTCCTCTAAAAAGTCGCCTTATAACAGCTCTCTTACATCTTAATGAGGCACAACTACTACGTATACAGAAAGCAGAGTGGCTAGAAGCATACATACAAGCAAGAGAAGCTACATTTGTAACTTAAACATTACTTCTGCTTAGAGAGGACCATTTCAACTACAAACAGTCATTTGTACAGCTATGCTTCCTACTACAGATGTAGTAATAGAACGCCCAAAGACTCTAATGATATTTTTAAGAAGGTATTCTTAAATAGCAGTCCACCTAATTTTAATACCCTCTAAAAAGCGAATTCTATGCTCTTAACAGCCTTAAATCAAGGGGTTTTAAACACTCCTACAAAGCGATATATCCACAAGTTAGCAGATGAGACAGAGCGGCTAAACACACGCATCCTTTAACAAAGAGAGACAGATAACTCACGCTTAATTATCTAGAAACGCAAAGAACAGAGCTAGGGCAAGAGAGCAGTTTTGAAGGGTCAATTCTATATCTCTACTAAGAAGCTGCGGTCGCAAGTAGCAGAAGCAGAAGCAGCAATAGCAACACAAAAGTCGAAAATATCAACAACACCACAAGTTACAACATCTATAATTGATTTAATTGATGATGGGAGTGTGGAGGATCTATATGATAACTAGTGATATAGATGAATTAGGATGGTAGTAATTGAATTTTTTCGATTTTTTGAAGGTGGTGGTATTTTGATGGTGCGGACCCAACCCCACTACCCCCATTACACATTACACCACGACCTACGTTGAGGTCTAGATTTGGTATCCGCTAGTAACAATGTATATACATTTATCCCAATTACCCAGCATGGCGAGCACTTCGCATGCACGTATAACGCCTGACACCTTTCCTTGTTCCCTAATACACCTTGCTGGTTCCTCCCAAATCATACTCCAAGCCCAAAAGCAAATAATGATTCCCTAAAATCGAGGTAATCTTGCCGGCACAAAATCCGGTTCTGCAGTTTCCTCAGAGTCAGACGTAGCTTCATTTGAAGAGCCATTCGTGAGTCCATTCGTGACAGCAGGTTCTGAGCTGGGATTTGTATCGACCTCTGCAGCGTTTGCTGTTTTGGGTGATAGGTGGTCTTCGGAATTGCGAGTGCGCAAACTCTGGCGCATGGGCGTCTGCAACCCTGAACGAAGCTCGCCACTGCCCAATCCTCGCTCTGAAGCCAACTTAAGAGCAGCCTCGCGTTTTGACTGTAGCTCAGCTTCTTCTTGTTGTCGGAGCCGTTCCTCCTCCTGCTGTAACTCAGATAGATGTGGTATGTTGCTGTCCTCCTCATTCAGTCCATCCAAAGGTTGCGCAGCCGACTCGTCTGTTTTAGAACCTAGTCCACTGAGTGACTGGTTCGAAGAATGCGATGTTCCAGAGAGTGCCCTCGACATTGCCGCCGATCGCTCACGGCTCTTTCCTTTGCTGCTGTTTCTTGTTTTACTGCTGCTGTGATCCTCCAAGGTGGTGACGGTACCACGCCGTCCAAGAGCGGTCGCAAATTCGTCGCTCAGTGGAACAGCATCATCTTCTCCATCACTAGGGAAGAGGTCGCCCCTTGACCTAAACGAGTCTGAAGTGTCTCCTGAAGCACTGGTAGAACTTCTCGGCCGCGTCTTTTTAATGTTTAGATCTCCAGCGTCGCTATCATCGCTATGATCATCGTCTATGAGAGGCTCCGCCTCAGCATCATCTCCAAGCTCTGCCCTATGCGTGCCGGGATGGTCCTGCAAGTCGGCTGCGCTTGGCTTGTATCTTAACGTTCCACCAAACTTGAATGGGAGACGTTGTAAGAATCCGAGGGCACTTGTACTCGGGATAATTGTCGGATCCGGCAAGCCATCAAGTGTCCCTCTCCGCTTTGTGGTGCGCCTGGTCCCGTAACTCATTTTCCTCTTCCTTCCTGATGGCTGATCGTCTGGCCCATGACTATTCGACCCACTTCCAGCCAGCAGCCTGTCCAGCTCATCATTCCCCCATCCTAAAAGACCACCACTAGCGCCAGCGTCCTCATCATCCCAATCGTCGTAGAAGTCGAAGCTATACTCTGCCCTGCCTCTAGCTCTGTCGCGCTCGCGTAGTCGCCTAGCCCTCTCTTCGCGATCGGGGAAGCATTGTGTCGTGCATTGTTCGATGCTCTCTCCCATCGACGCAAAGCATGGATTGATGTAATCGTGCACAAATGACCATATTCCAGCCGCCGCAGTCTCCGTCGCGGTCTCAGCATTGTGCGAAATGTTGTTCCACGTCTGGCGGATTCGGGGATCTTCGAGGAGGGGAGCCATTGTAGGTGCCGAGGTGACAGGTGATCATTCCATGAGTGGAGTAAAAGTAATCGCTGTCACTATCGAATAGCAACTACAGTATAGCGGTATTCTTGAACCGATTGCTGTTATCATCGGCATTCTGTGCTTGTTGCATAACCGCTTTGCGGGATGATGGGCTAAGAGCTGTTCGTTATTGACCTCGTACACGTGACGTCAGCCCACCGTAGCGCATCAAATCGAGGCCAAGGCGGCCCCCACTTTTGCGAGACCCCTGCAGCTTTATGTGTGAACCCTCAATGACGCAAGTGAGGCTTTGTACGACAGGAGGCACGGAGAGTATGCGCAATAGCGTGCCTCATTGGCGTTGCGGTTACATCTTCTTATCACGGGAACTGAGTATCTTGTTGTGCCGTAAATCCTGTCTCAGGAGATCCCTGCCCAACATCGCATCAACACTTCACCACGAAGAGACAATTGGCTGCCAACATATATAATTTGCCTTCACACGCTGTCGATAGTAGAACCTAGGTAATAGCACTAAACAATACACGCATCAATGCTTGACACCATTGGCCGTAGAGCCATTGGTTGTCCCTGCGGCGGAGGCGGTGGAGGGGGAACCGGGCCAAAAGGTTGAGGTGCCTCAGGGTGCAGCTCTTCCTCCGTGTCCTCATCGTATTCCCCCTCTTCACTACCTTCCTCCTCGTCCTCGTCTTCGTACTCATACTCGCTTTCCGTTCCTTCTGGATCGCCTTCGCCCTCGGCATAGCTCCCTTCTACAGCCCCCTCCATGCCAGCCATGCCTTGTGCCAAACCCCTGCCTTGTTTCTGCATCTGGTTGATGATGTCGGTTAACTTCTCGTTCTTTTTACGGAGAGTTTGCAGTTCGCGAGTTGTCTTGGTTCGCTCTTCCGCCATCTCAATAATATTGCGATTAGTTAGGTCATGCTTGCGAGTCAGAGTCATGTTTTCCTTCTCGAGGCGTTTCGTTTTCTTGGACATCTCCTCCATTTCCATACGGAAAGTCATGAACAGATCATTGCTATTGTTCAACGTGTCTTCGACCTGTTAATGGTCAGTATAATCAACTTAACTAGAAATTGGCGTCCTGGGTAACGCACCTGCTTGAACTTGTCGACATAGATGTTGAGTTGGCTCCTTAGCTCAGACTCAGTCTTCGAGAACGTTAACACCTGCGTATTTAACGTCCTAGACCTAGCCATCTCTTGCTCGGCGGCTTTCCGTTCGCGCTCGTACCGTGCCATATTGTACTGCACCTCGAGTTCCTTCGTCCGCATGAGTGAGTGGAAATGGAGCTCTCGAAGTTCGTACTGGTCGATGAGAGACTTGAAGCGTTGTCGAAACCTGTGGCACGTATGAGCTTATAATCCCCTAGCTTTCTAGATTCAACATACAGCTCGTCAACTTCCACGTTCACAACCTGGGCTTGAGGATGGTCTATGTCCTCTTGGTAGTCCTGTAATTGCCAAAGCATATCCTCATACTTGTTGTCCCAGTCCTCATGATTGCGCTTTTCTGCATCTTGTAATGTCTTGTTCTCGCCCTGTAGAGAATGTCAGCTTCGAACATCGTAGTCTCACACGTATGACATATACGGCGCCACCATGCGAACGAAATTGCGCACCTTTAGGCGATTGTTCTCTCTCTGGAGCTCCCTGCAAAGTTTCTCCAGCTTTTCTCTCAGAGACACATTCTTGCTCAGTTCGGTCCGGCTGTGGTCTTTCTCCTTTTGCAGCTGGTCTCCTCGCTTCTTGTTCTTCAAGTTGTCCCGCTCCAAGCGCTTCATCTCCGCGAATAAGTCGGCGCATCGTTTCTGAAGAGCCTCGATTTTCTGGATGTCATCGAGTTTTGACGTCTGGTTGTTGAGTTCTCGACTGGCCTTCTTAACCTCCCGTTCTGTAATGACGCGTGTTAGCAAGGGGACGCAAAATATAGAAGAAATCCAACTGGTAGCGTTCTCTGGATAACACTGTGTGTTGTTTGCCTCATATTATGCGACTGCGTCCCCAAACAACCCGACACTGTCGGCGTTGGTGAAGCGCGGTAGGCAAATCGTGCATTGTGGGCCTTGGAGCAGCATAACAGTGTAGACAACTTGACGCACCTATTTCTGCCTCTTGATCTTTCTCTCCTGCAGCATCTAGTTCGAGTTGCGATATCTTGGCAGCAATAAGCTTCGAGGCCTCGTTTGGATCCGTGGTCTTCTTCATTTTCCCCTTCTTCGACGCATTCGATAGCCCTGCTGGATTGGGGGTTGTCGAATGGTCATGCACATGACTGTGATGACCGTTCACAGCTGATGCATCGCCGTGCATATGTCCACCTGCGCTTAAGGACGAACTTCGAGGAAGAGGGGCGGAGGTTGGGATCGAGGGTGTAGTCGACATCCCGGTTCGAGGGACCCGATGCAGCACAGTAGCATGAGATGCACTTTTCCTGCAATCTGCAATGCTCGTAATAGCCAGTATTGATGTCGTCAAGTAGGATTATATCGAGCAGGCTGCACTGTTTGCACTAGACGACTCCAGACACGCCTGGAGTTTGGAAATTGGTAGATAGGTACGAGACAGGCTACGAGTACTCGAGTCTTTCTGTCTCGGTTAGGCCGGTGCTTCAACAGGCCAAACAAGTCTCGTGACTGTTGTTTACTTGTTACAGCCTGGCATCAATATGGCACATCTAGCTAATCTACAAATATTGGGTACAGATAATTTGAATCTGCGCAGTTATATGAGATGTAACGGATTATTTTGTTTCGATATTGGGATATCCCTTTTGGAATGCCTGGCAGGCCTCGACATGAACAGCTTATTAGCGGCGTTTGAGGTGACCACTCACAGGCGCGTATGGGAATATCCGTTGCCGAGATAAAAATGCCCGGAAGAGCCTCAACTTCCCCATACTGCACGTACATATCGGCACTGCAGCTTTTTCGTTGGAAGGGCCGCAAACATGCTTCGAAATGCATCCAATGTCGTCCGGAAGGCGGTTACTGAGCTGGCTCAGCTTCCTAAGCCTGGCGAGCAAATCCATGGCTTTACTCTCCTCCGCGCCAAACATATCCCTGAGCTGGAGTTGACAGCATTGCACCTGCAACACGACAAGACCGGAGCAGACTATCTCCACGTTGCGCGCGACGACAAGAACAATGTCTTCTCTATCGGATTCAAGACGAACCCTCCGGATGATACGGGCGTGCCTCACATTCTGGAGCATACAACGCTCTGCGGGAGTGAGAAATACCCAATCCGTGACCCTTTCTTCAAGATGCTCCCCCGGACACTCTCGAATTTCATGAACGCCTTCACAGCATCAGATCACACCTTTTACCCCTTCTCAACAACAAACGAACAGGACTTTAAGAACCTGATGTCGGTCTATCTGAACGCGACACTACATCCTTTATTAAAGAAGAGCGACTTCACACAAGAGGGCTGGCGCATTGGTCCGGAGAACCCGCTGGCCATTAAGGAGAAGTCTGAGGGCACAGCAGAAGGAAGCAACCTTGTATTCAAGGGTGTTGTTTACAATGAGATGAAGGGCCAGATGTCAGATGCAAGATATCTCTACTATATCCGATTCCAGGACCACATATTTCCTGCCATCAACAACTCTGGCGGAGACCCACAGAAGATCACGGATTTGACATACGAGCAACTAAAGGATTTCCACGCCCAGCATTACCACCCTAGCAATGCGAAGCTCTTCACATACGGAGATATGCCTTTGGCTGACCATCTTCGAGAGGTCAATGCCCAACTGAGCGCATTCGAGCGTATCAAGGAGGACGCGGAAATAAGGAGGCCTATCGACCTTTCGGATGGACCGAAACATGTTGTTATGCCCGGCCCAATAGACCCAATGGTGGACAAGGATATGCAATACAAGACTTCGACATCGTGGTTGATGGGAGAGTCGACCAACATCGTTGAATCGTTTTCTCTCGGGATCATGTCCGCCCTGTTAATGGACGGTTACGGTTCGCCACTTTACAAGAACCTCATTGAGGCTGGACTAGGCACGGAATGGAGTCCAAATGCCGGCTTTGACAACTCAGGGCGCATTGGCATTTTCTCGATTGGCCTGACTGGCGTCAAGGAGGCAGATGTACCGAAGGTGAAGGAGGCCATTCACAAGACCCTCCAGGATGTACAAAAGACTGGGTTTGAGCAGAGCAAGATTGAGGGGTATCTTCATCAACTGGAGCTCACATTAAAGCACAAGTCTGCGAGTTTCGGAATGGGCCTTATGCAAAGGATCAAGCCTAAGTGGTTCGAGGGTGTCGACCCCTTCGAGTCTCTCGCGTGGAATGATACCGTCGCTGCGTTCCAGGCTGAACTAGCCAAGGGCCAATACCTAGAAGGGCTATTGGAAAAGTACCTGCTCAACGATAAAACGTTGACATTTACCATGACTCCTTCTGCTACATACGGCGAGGAACTCGTATCCGAGGAAGCCGAGCGTCTCTCGCGCAAAATTGAAGAGGCATCCAAAGCAGCGGGCAGCGAAGCCAAAGCTCGCGAACAGCTTGAAAAGCAGGAATTGGAGTTGCTGGAGGAGCAAGGCAAATCCAACACGCAGGATTTGAGCTGCCTGCCGAGTGTCCACGTTGCAGACATCCCTCGCCAGAAGGAATTCGTTAGTTTCTCGGAGAGAAATCTCCAAGGCGTGAAGTTACAGCTGAGAGATGCGCCAACGAACGGACTCACGTATTTCAAGGCTATCAACACTTTCGAGAACCTCCCCGAAGAGTTGAGGCAGTTGATCCCCCTATTCACCGACGCCATCATGCGACTAGGCACGAAGGACATGTCAATGGAGCAAATCGAAGATCTCATCAAGCTCAAGACCGGCGGCATATCAACCGGATACCACACCTCCTCCTCCCCCCTAGACTTCCACTCCGCCTCCGAAGGCATGATCTTCTCCGGCACAGCCCTCGACCGCAACGTCACCGACATGTACCGCATCCTGCGCATGCTCATCCTCGACACCAACTTCGACAGCCCGTCCGCCGAGTTACGCATCCGCCAACTCCTCCAAGGCTCCGCCGACGGCGTCGTAAACAACATCGCCTCCTCCGGCCACGCCTACGCCCGCGGCGTCGCTGAAGCAGGCCTCTCCCCCGCCGCCCGCCTCCGCCAACAAGTTAGCGGCCTCTCGCAGGTCCAACTAATCACCTCTCTCGCCTCGCGCCCTGAGTCCCAAGGCCTCGCAGACGTCATCGCAAAGCTGAAAGCTATCCAGCAACTCGCCCTCTCCGGGACCAGCACCTTCCGCACCTCGCTAATCTGCGGTTCCGAGAGCGTAACCTCCAACGAGGCAGCGCTGCAATCTTTCCTCTCCTCCCTCCCCCAAGACTCCGCGGCTCCCACCACCCACAAACCCGCGCCGGTATTCGCGCGGAATACGAAAACCTTCTACCCCCTACCTTACCAAGTCTACTACGGTGCCCTCGCCCTCCCAGCAGTCTCCTACACCTCCCCCTCCGGCGCCCCGCTGCAGATCCTCGCCCAGCTGCTGACGCACAAGCATCTGCACCACGAGATTCGCGAAAAAGGTGGTGCTTATGGCGGCGGTGCTTACTCGCGCGGCTTGGACGGGATCTTCGGGTTCTACTCGTACCGCGACCCTAATCCAGTTAATACGATGAGTATCATGCGTAACGCCGGCAGATGGGCGACGGAGAGGGAGTGGACGGCCCAGGATCTGGAGGAGGCGAAGTTATCGGTCTTTCAGAGTCTGGATGCGCCGGTGTCGATTAATTCTGAGGGGATGGATGGGTTTGTGTCCGGGATGACTGAGGAGATGATTCAGCAGCGCAGGGAGAGGTTGTTGGATGTGACGAAGGAGGAGGTGAGGGAGGTGGCGCAGAAGTATATTGTTGAGAATCTCGAAAAGGAAGAGGCGAGGATGGTGTTTTTGGGTGAGAAGAAGGCGTGGGCGGATGAGACGTGGGATATTCAGAATATGGGGATTGCGCAGGAGGCGGAGGTGGTGGCGGAGGAGGGGATGAAGGAGGCTAGTGCGCAAGGGGCATGATGTTGAAAATTTCGTTGGCATGTATGTATGATTCCCACTCCCCTCTGCTTTGATATCGATGGATATAGATGGTATGGGCATTTCAGCGACATATATGTATAGATATGTACTTATATAATGTACGATTATTCTAACCGGGTGGTGGTTGGCCCTGTCTTGGAAAGTCTTTTGGCTTCTTGTGAGATGTGGGCAATGCGGATAGACATACAAAAGCGCTTCCGAACAGAATACACAAACGTCTCCAGCTTCATCCACTATAGCTGGGAGATCACGGCTTGGCGCAAGAATGAAACAACCCCCTCGAGGTAACCTGCTGTTAAAAGGCGTGTGTTGCTGTTGATGAGGGGGTCACGCTTTTTCAGACCTGTTTTTGCAGAGAGATGTGAAGACTGACTAAAGTGTTGAAGACATTCTATATACTGTTTACCTATTACCTGTATTTCCTAGATAGGAATTAATATTTAACGTGGTTTACCACCAAACGGAACATCCTACCAAATGAAACACTTTCCGACTGCATCGCAACCTCAAACCCAATTACTCCACCCTAATACATTAAAATTAACTATACTCAATCAAACTCTCTTCTCCTAATATCTCTTCAACCTCTTGACAGGTTCGTACATTATGCCTAGTCTTGCCGCACCTCCTATAGTGCCGCGAAGTTACCGGACTAGCCTCTGTAGACCGTCCTCATTGACCTTCTCTGTCGTTTCAACCCTTTATCCTCTTTTTCAGCAATTAGTTTTTGAGCATCTTCTATAGTAAGTTACCCTCTATCTACACGTGTACGCTTAGCTTTCTGACGCTTTGAAAGTGCTGTGTTGGCCTTTCGAAGGGTACGGACCTCCTCTTCTATAAGGGTCATTTAGTGTGTAAGGCGGTCTGTACCCTTCACTAGCTGCTTTACAGCTGAAAAAATCATTGTTAGGGAGCTTCCTTAATGAATTCCAATTCTATTCTGTATAAACTTAGACTGCAAAATTGCATTAGCTGGGTTTTGTGGTGTTTGAGGGACCTAAGGGTCAGCCTCTAGTAGGGGGGATCTAGTTTGTGTTAGCGCCTATAACTTAATATTAAGCTTCAAGAGGACTGCTTCTAGGTTGTACAGGACTAGGCCGTACCTCGAAAGCTAGCTAGGATATTTTCAGTTGTTATTGTATAGTTGTAGGCAGCCTTAAATGCAAGAAAGAACTCAATCTTAGTGATAAGGGTAATAGAGGCCTTAATGAAGATCTTAAGTTCTCGACCATACATTCGCTTTAGTACACTAAAATATCTAACATTAAGAGGCTAGGTAAGATGTGAGGAGTGTGAGACAGAGCATAATAATGTTGTCCTTCTTGTAGTACATATTAAAAACTAGGCAGATAGGTGGCTCTCATGGCCATCTAGGACAATCATCTGCTAGACCCCTTGTGTTCGTACACGTGTATGCTGATTAAAGTATTTTATCTAGTCTAGACCTATATCATTGTCAGTCTAGCCATTTGGTGAGGTCTTACTGGCATAAGTAGGTAGAAGGCTGTACTCTGTATACTAAGGCATAAGGTGATTGTAATGGTGGGTGCACCAGATGTGAGAATCTAGCCACCCAAGGAAGGGGTGATTTTACTAAGACAACACACTGTCTTAGGAAACAGAGCCAAAGGGTCATAGCTTAGACTATTCCACAATGCAGCAATCAGGTGTATGATGTAGTGGAGTGGTTTAGACAAGTTGTAACAAATGTTGAGTCTGAGAACTCAGGGATAAGTCAGAGGTTAGCACCTCACTGACTTTTCAGAAACAAGGAGTAACAAGATCAATGCTTGGAAGCTTGGAAAAGACTTGGAAGTATGTGATAGTCGATTTACTGTATTGTCTGCTTGCCCTTTCTTAAGGAAAGGGCAATCCTATTTATGCTAAAGGAGTGTAGTTCTCTCATTTTCCAAGACTTCCCATGACTTACCAGGCTTGGTAACTGTAGTTGACGTAAGAGAATCCCATAGAACCATCTCTTAGGTTCGTAGCCTATAGGAAGTAAAAGGAGGTCCAAGGTCAGAGTACCCCTATAGACAAATTATGTCATAACTTAACCAATCTTGTGGGTAACTAAAGAGCGATGACGTGTAATGAATCATAGAGGTTCATAGGAGCTTTTAGAGCTATCGTTCATGCTCCTAGGCCTCTAGTTGGTAGAGATATGTCATATGGTAGTATGAGTGATGTCATGTAATGAATCATAGAGGGTTGTAGAGATATGCTATGTGGTAACATCGGCCCAGTAACTAAGGAGCGATGATGTGTAATGAATCATAGATGGTTGTAGCAATCGTTGAGTAGTATTGCTCTTGTTGTTGGTGTGATAAGCCAAAATATGTATAGTGACTTGTAGGTTTGAGGAGGAGATTTTCCAAGTTTGCTCTTGAGTTTGATAGCAAACTGAGTGCAACGAATGTCAGTATGACACTTTAGCATAAATAGGATTGCCCTTTCCTTAAGAAAGGGCAAGCAGACAATACAGTAAATTGACTATCACATACTTCCACGTCTTTTCCAAGCTTCCAAGCATTGATCTTGTTACTCCTTGTTTCTGAAAAGTCAGTGAGGTGCTAACTGTAATGGTGGGTGCACCAGATATGAGAATCTAGCCACCCAAGGAAGGGATGAATTTACTAAGACAACACACTGTCTTAGGAAACAGAGCCAAAGGGTTGTAGCTTAGACTATTCCACAACGCAGCAATCAGGTGTATGATGTGGTGAAGTGGTTTAGACAAGTTGCAACAGATGTTGAGTCTGAGAACTCAGGGGTAAGTCAGAGGTTAGCACCTCACTGACTTTTCAAAAACAGAGAATAACAAGATCAATGCTTGGAAGCTTGGAAAAGACGTAGAAGTATGTGCTAGTCGATTTACTGTATTGCCTGCTTGCCCTTTCTTAAGGAAAGGGCAATCCTATTTATGCCAAAGGAGTGTAGTTCTCTCATTTTCCAAGACTTTCCATGACTAACCAGGCTTGGTAAATGTATTAGAAATCAAGTGCGACCCACAACTAGCTTGCTAATCATGTAGTGAACGTAAGAGAATCCCATAGAACCATCTCTTGGGTTCCTAGCCTATAGGAAGTGAAAAGGAAGTCCAAGGTCAGAGTACCCCTATAGACAAATTATGTCATAACTTAACCAATCTTGTGGGTAACTAAGGAGCGATGACGTGTAATGAATCATAGAGGGTTGTAGAAGCTTTTGGAGCTATCGTTCATGTTCCTAGGCCTCTAGTTGGTAGAGATATGCCATGTGGTAGTATTGGCCCACCCCCTTAAGGAGGAGATTTTCTTAATAACTTGTTCAATGAGTGTCCAAATGATATGCCGTGATGTATGTAGCATAAACAGATGTAGTAGAAGAGTTTGCAGCAATCGTTGAGTAGTATTGCTTCTGTTGTTGGTGTGATAAGCCAAGATATGTATGGTGACTTGTAGGTTTGAGGAGGAGATTTCTAAGTTTGCTCTTGAGTTTGATAGCAAACTGAGTGCAACGAATGTCAGTATGACACTAACCTCTGACTTATCCCTGAGTTCTCAGACTCAACATTTGTTATAACTTGTCTAAACCACTCCACTACATCATACACCTGATTGCTGCATTGTGGAATAGTCTAAGCTACGACCCTTTGGCTCTGTTTCCTAAGACAGTGTGTTGTCTTAGTAAAATCACCCCTTCCTTGGGTGGCTAGATTCTCACATCTGGTGCACCCACCATTACACTTTGCTTGGCCTTTTCGATCTAAGCTTGTAACAACCATATTCCTATAGATAACACCTATCATAAAGCCCGTCTCATCAAAGTTGTAGAAGTTAGCATCCTAGATGCTGTACTTTGCCTACATGTTCTTTACTAGCTTAAACCACTTTGTTATACAGTTAGGATCTTCGCAGAGGACCTTCAGTGTGTTGGACCGTTCAGTGTACGTTAAGGTGTGCGTGCCGATCCATGAAAATCGCTAGAGGTTGTATGCACAAGAGAGACATGTCTTAAGCTTTGGTTCATTGTGTACAAAGCAGTAGGGCTAGTTTTTTCCAACTAGGGGTTCATGATGCGTCATATAGAGAAGATTCACTATATCTTGTACATCCTTAATTTAAGGTGGAAATCCTCACAAATCTAGGTCAAGTATGTGTTACGATGGTCACAGAGGTCAAGAAGCCAGTCCAGAGAATAATAAGCTAGATTGGATCTAAAGAGAGAAGAAGAAGAAAGGAAGGAAATAAGTAAGGCTATCCCTCATTATATACAGCTGTACGCTTAGTGGTTCCCTGTAACCTTAGTGGCTACTATGGGTACTTGTTGCCCTAATTGCTAGCAGCCGTAAGCAGCGATCATAACAGTATGTATTGTATGAGCTCCTCTTCCTTAATTAGGGTCAATGGACATTTGTCACGTCTACTAGCTCATGGTTAGCTTCTATGTATGTAGTAGGTAAGTGTTATATATAGGACCTTGTATAGCTACACAGCATGTTGGATAGACAGTTTGTAGGGTGGTTTGGTAGCTTAAATGGCTAATAAAACTTAGCCTTCATTAACTTTCTAAGGCATCTTTTTGTTGTAGTGTAGTGGAGTAATTAGGTTTGAGGTTGCGATGTAGTTAGAAAGTGTTTCATTTAGTAGGATGTTCTGTTTGGTAGTAAACCACGTTAGACATTTTATTTAACGTAATTCACAAGCAAGTTAGGGACACAAGCGAGTTAGGCACAAAAACACCTAGATGCGTCAACTTAACAAAAGTCAATATGCCACAACTAACACAAGCCTAATCCTCTAATAAAGACAGTAGGGTATTACTAGCTATCTAGCAATTAAGCAAGGCTACATTTAAAGTGTCTAGGGTGCTACAATATCGTATGATATAAACCAAGAAACCCTTTGTTGATGAATTCACAGTATGCCTTCCTAACGCGACTATACTCCCAACTTACATAAGTTGACTCTATATAGAGAGTCAGCTCTTGTTTAGTATATCCTCAGATTCATGTGGATTTCTGCCCTAGCTATAAGCTGTGCAAGAAATGGCAGACCTACTACTGTCTGAACTGTTACGATCACAGCTTACAGCTGCTAGCAACTATAGGAACAGGCAGCTATAGTAGCCACTAAGGTTATAAGGGATCGCTAAGCAAACAGCTGTATATAATAGGGGATAGCCTTATCTTCCTTCCTTTCTTCTTCTTCTCTCTTTAGATTCAATCTAGCTTACTTTACCTAGACTAGCATCATGACCTCCGTGACCATCATAACAATAATGTTGTTGTCCTTATAATACTCTTAGAATGCAGCCAACTCATGACTCTTATGCCTATCTAAAACCAACATCTAATAGGGTCCTTTTACACAACTATAAGTATGTTTATTGAAGTGTTGAAGCCATTCTAGACCTGTCTCATTATTAGTCTATCCGTTGCTTGTTGGTTTAATCACCTAGTTGTAAGGAAGGCCGCTTTTAGTATACTAACTAGAAAGGTGACATTTCCCTTAAACTACCAAAAATGGAGGGATACTCCTGCCTTTAGCATTAACACATACAATCGCTATAGCCCACTCCTAATTACTAGGTTGAATAGCTTTGCCCCTACTACATTAATTAGCATGTGTAACAACCATAGCTAGGCAAATAACACCTATCATGAAGCCTGTTTTGTTGAAGTTGTAGAAATCACAGTCTTAAATGCTGTATTTTGTCTGTATATTCTCTACTAGTTGCAACCATGCTCAAATTTTTTTAGGATCTTCACATAAGGCCCTTTGAAAGTTGTAGGTGGGATTAAAATGCGTCTTTAACTCTAGACGTTGTTGTACAAATCGATGTGCCTAGATCTTGCTAACGCGTTACGTAAACCCTCTTGCATCTAGCTTAAGTATATGTTGAGTAATTACTCCCTCAACGCGTGTTGAAGTTGGTAGGTAGTGAGGTGGGAAAAAGTGATCGACTGGGTGTCGTGGTAACGTGGTTTTCTTTAAACCCTTCAAGCCATCCTTGACTCTATGTCGGGCAATCTTGTCTGTAGTATTGTGGTAGCTGTGTCTAGAATTCAGTTGCTTTTATCTATAGAAGATCTGCTGTGACAATGCCATAAGTAGCATCAAATTGTCAAGCCTTAACTCGCTAGTGTGCCTAACTTGCTTGTGTGCCTAACTCGCTTGTGTGCCCAACTCGCTTGTGTGCCTAACCCGCTTGTGAATTACGTTACCATTTATTTACTATTTACTATTTACGCTTCCTTAGTTTCCAACGCCTAGGTCAAATAGGGATCCTCCCACGAAAACCGGCACACAACCCGCTTTTCCTCTTCTAGATGCGGTTCTGTTTAGAATAGGTGTAGAGCGTGGCAGTGTGTGCTTGTTTGTGAGGGGGAGGGGATTTCTCATATACTCTGTCTACCTCGAGTTGTAGGAATCTGTCTACCTCGAGTTGTAGAGTACTTCCACCATATTCTGCGGTACTCTACTCCATCTCTACACCCCCCTTTTCATGCATCTACTCTCCAGACACCCTAATTCAACGACACGTTATTTGCCAGGCGATCCGACTTTTTTCAATCCATCCTGTACCCATTTTGCTTTTTTGCCCTATCCACCTACACTCACCCTACACTCACCCTACACTCACCCTACACTTACCCTAAACTCACCCTAAACTTACCCTAAACTCACCCTAAACTTACCCTAAACTCACCCCCCCTCCCCCCTCCCCCCTCCCATCCCTTCAAAACTCTGAGCGACTTTCCAATACAAAAAATTCACTCTCCACACTCTTCTCTCTAACACAAAACCCACAACAGTTCGTGTGAGAGGCTTTTACCCAACGCACTACACGATCGCCTTTGGTCGGAATCAAAGGCAGAAATTGATACCACGGATCATATCCTATCGACACCAATCGCCCGAGTACCAACTTTCAACAACACACCTCGCCCGACCCCGAGAACCCCACTGCTGAACGTCCTCGATCAACTTGAGCGGTTTCTTCTTGATCCCCCTCAAACCGACCCCATTCCGTCCCCGACCCTTCAGCTGCCGCATAGGACGGGTTTAGAGGTTCTTCCTCTCGCGGAGGAAGAGTCGAGCAGACCTCGTCAGATCACTTCGGGATCAGATAGATACAAACCTCCTTAATAACCCTTTCGGAGCCAACCGTACGTGTCTTGCCCCAAATCCAATCAATAGCTGTTTTGCCAGTTGCTGACTTCGATCTGCAGAAACCCACCAAACTACTACCCCTTGGAACTTCTGAGGGTTATGGCACCTTCCGCTGTCACAACTACTGAAACAACATCCAACTTTCATACAAAGTTTGAGGCAGCCCCTCACCTTGATCTTCATGGCGTCTCTTCTCCGAAGGGTCTAGTGGGCGATGCCCTCAAGAACAGGGTCGAGAACATTGATCACGAAACATGCGAATCTGGCGAGGAGGATGCCTTCTTCGTCGCTGACCTGGGCGATGTCTACAGGCAGCACATGAGATGGAAACTGAACCTTCCACGCGTCAAGCCGTTCTATGGTACGTTCCCTCATTACTTTTTTAAGGGTAACAGAACTAACATTGGAATAGCGGTCAAGTGCAACCCCGACCCCGAAATCGTCCGCCTCCTCGCCGAGCTGGGAACCGGCTTTGACTGTGCCTCCAAGGCCGAGATCGAGCAGATCCTCAAGATGGGCGTCGACCCCGCCCGCATCATCTACGCCCAGCCCTGCAAGACCAAGTCATACGTGCGCTACGCCGCCGACAGCGGCGTCAAGAAGATGACCTTCGATAACACCGACGAGCTCTACAAGATCAAAAGGTTCTTCCCCGACGCCGAGCTCTTCCTCCGCATCATCACCGACGATGCCTCCAGCCTGTGCCGCTTCAGCATGAAGTTCGGAGCTTCTTTGGATACCACCGTCGAGCTCCTCGCCCTCGCCAAGGAACTAGGCCTCAACGTCGTCGGCGTAAGCTTCCACGTCGGCTCCGGCGCCGGCGACCCTCTCGCCTTCCTCAAAGCCGTCCGCGACGCCCGCACCGTCATGGACCAAGCCGCCACCCAAGGCTTCTCCCTCAAAACCGTCGACGTCGGCGGGGGCTTCTCAGGGGAGAACTTCGAAGCCATGGCAGCTGTCCTGCGCGAGGCACTGGATGAATACATCCCCGCGCACGTCGCCGTCATCGCCGAGCCGGGCCGCTACTACGTCTCCTCCGCCTTTACGCTCGCCTGCAACATCATCGCGCGCCGCACCGTGACCAACCCCGACACGGCCGAGAACAGCTACATGGTCTACCTCAACGACGGCGTCTACGGCAACTTCAGCAGCATCATGTTCGACCACCAGAACCCGATTGCGCAGGTCCTTCGCGCCGGCGACGTCTCGCTGCATGGCACTGCCGCTGCGCAATCCGCGGCGGGGGGGACGGAGTACTCGATCTTCGGCCCGACGTGTGATGGGATCGATCATATCACCAAGAGCATCCGCTTTGAGCAGACCCTGGATGTGGGGGATTGGTTGTACTTTGAGGATATGGGCGCGTATACCAAGTGCTCTGCTACCCGCTTCAATGGGTTTACCGATGCGCATGAGGTTATTTATGTTTCCAGCGAGCCGGGGGCGAAGGCGCTGCTAGGCATGAAGTAGATGCGTGGGGTGCGACAGGGCAGGATAGGGCGGGATAGACTAATGGTTCGATCACCTGAACCCGGTAGCCATCGTATCTTCCTCGCGATCTCACACCAACTCAACTTGACATCCCAAACTCTTTTCAACATGCACGCTCTATCTGATAGACATCCAAGTTATCTGTACTTCTGAATTAATCAATATGTCTGATGATTAGACACCCAATCGTGACTCGGTACCTCTTCAGCGACTGGATATACGCCAGAGATCCTCAAACCGCATCTCACGCTCGCCAGATGCCCAACATAAAGTACCATGGCATAGTCGGACCTTCTTGGAGCCTCCTCAACTGTCCTCAGCACGTATCCGGACCGTGTCAGATCCTGCGCCGCGGTCATCAGAGCGATTTCAATTTCCACGAGAATCTCCTCGACTTCCACAAGAATCTCTTAAACTTGTACGAATACCTCCTCGTCAAAACCCTCTCGAATCATGGCACATCCGTTTCGGTCAACAATCTGATAATGTGTCCTACGTTCTCAAGAAGTCAGGATACAGCCTTCAGTTTCTGGGATTGTTCCTCATCGCAGTGGCATTTATCATATATATTTACATGTGTGTGATATGTCATGAGCCACTCTTCCCGCTGTAATATATCTCCACATACTTAACTTATACATAGCTAACATGTTATAGACTGTATCAGATCATAGGGTATTTTCTGCAGTGAGGAGATAGGAGGAGCTTGGAAAGAACGAAAGGTTGTTAAATACAGGGAGGTAGTTTGTTGCAAACAGAGCGATTTGTACACTTTGGAACTTGGAGTTTAAGCGTTATGAAATGGATGGGGCGGAATGGTACTTTAGTTGGCATAATGATACTTTGGTGGCCCATGGGCCTGAGCATCCTGATATCCTGCGCCAGCTTCTCGACAACGAAGCCGATGTGGTGCTCGAACTCCTTCCTCTCATAGTACCCCACGCCATCAATCAGGCAGAACAACACAACCGACTGCGGCAGCTTCCCAACAAGCCACTGGAAGAGCCTGCACAGCTCGCCCACGTCGCCGAGCTTGATGAGGTGCTCGTCCAGCTTCTCGCTAGCGAACGACCGCGTGTCAAAGTCAAATTGGCACAGCAGCTGGCATATGAAGTTCTGGATGATCGTGCGGCCGCCGGTGTGCCGGTCCGTGTCGGGATCCGTATGCAGACGGCAAAAGATGAGGGGGGTGAAGCGCGGAGCTCTTGCCTCGAGGGACTGCGCGAAGGAGGAGCAGAAGAGCGAGAGCCCGGAGACGTAGCGTTGGTCGTCGTACTTGCCGTGTACGAGTAGCTGGGATGAGATACGGCTACTACCCACTCCTTGAACTGGGTCGATCGGATGAGTTGCTCGGCCTGTGCTTGCTCGTTGAGAGGGACTCGCATTTGCCACCTTTCGTTGATGAGCTTCCGGTCACGTTGGGAACGCTGAGAAGCTCTTGCGGTTTTATGTACTGATCTGGCTCCACGGTGCTGTATGGTGGAGCGACTGGCGAAGCTGGGCGCGAGAATGTGTAAATAACCTTGAGTAAATCGGATCGATCTTCACAGGCACGCCTTAAGTGTCAGTCTTTCCTGCAAATAAAATGAGATAACCTGGCTATTCTCACCTTTCTCTCTCCTAGCATCTAGTTCGTCTAGTAAAGGGTCAAACAGTGACAAGATCATGTCCTTAATATGGCTCGTTTCTTTGTTGAAATTCACTTGTAAGCTTTTCTGGACACGACGTGGTAGGAAGGAGGTGGATTAGAGCTGAAGAAGGTCATTTCCTTCACTAACCTTTGATCGTCTGGAATCCTTGCCTAACCATCCACATCTGCGAATTCTTCGCCTGGCGAATAAGCAGATCGCCCTTAGACTGGACCGTATCCAGTGTGGCAAGGGCCTCTTTCTCATAGTCGCCCCTCTTGAGGATGGAGCCACCTATTCGGTTTACTATCGGATATCAGTAATGGCGACAATTTCAGAAATACGAAGAGAAAGAAACTGGCAGAACTCACGAACAGACTGGATGAGAAATCCATGACGGACTCAATCGCGGCGAATGCGGCCACAACAAGATCAATCGAGGCTTCGTCGATATTATCATCATCTGTAAAAGTTTGGAGGAAAAGCTCAATCTCCTGAAACATCATATCAATATTATCGAATGAGCCCTCCATGGCTTTTCTGACTTCTGCGGCTTTCTTGACTGCCTAAATCCGAACAATTATCTGTGAGTACAGCTTCTCTAGGCATCTAACTTTCCCCAGGGAGAGGACAAGGAAGCCAATGAAGCCAATGAAGCCCTTAAACAGCCCACGACGTCTGCCCCTCCCTTACTTCTTGAGATTCGAGCTTTGCAAGAGAGACTGTTCCAGCTAGAACAGCAGGCGAGCCAACAGCCGAACATCCACGGTGCGAATTTTGCGACTGATGCAGATGCAGATGCAGATGGGGAAATTGAGGGCGAGGAGGATAAACGGCTCCGAAAAGTTATAAGGAGAGCTCGCTGGGCTAAGAAGTCAGTGGAAGCGGCCGAAAAAAAAGCTGGGGAAACCGAATAGGACAGGGCCGAGTATGCATACACAGGCCCGTTATTAGCCACAGAACCCTCCGCGTACCAGGTGCCAAAGATAGAAGATCATGCGTTTCGTGATTTTTTTACTTATAGAGAACTTCGTTTGTGGGCCATTAACGACGTTAAGCCAGACAAAGTCAATAAGCCGGCACGTGCGATCCGTCCACTAACATCACTTCAACCCATATACTCTCGCAAACTCGGTCCGCCGACTCAGTGGGATACTTCTGACAACGATGAGTGGAGAGTGATGGCTCAACTCGCTCAATAGACTTTGACTACTTCCGTGCAAGACTGAGGGGTGACTTCGAATGGGAGCTCGACCGCCTTCGTGCCCAGAGAAGCAGATATATAAAGCACAAGGAAAGTAAGAAAGCCAAAGAGGAACGAGAGAAGGAAGAACAAGAAGTGAAACTCGGACAGGAGGTACTGGCCGAAGCGCTGTTGGCGGAGAGCCAGCTTCCCCAGAAGCTGCATAGTCGGCCTTTTGCAAAGCTACACCCTGCTAAGTGGGAGGTATTCAGAGCTCTTCGATGCGTCGGAGGCGTCGTGTTTTGTTATCGATATTCTCATCGACGAGCCCAAGATTTCAGACAAAACTGGGGGAAGACACTTGAAGCCGAACCCCATAAGCGCCGATGTCCAACAGACATCTGGAACGGGTCCTCCGGGAGAACTAGATGGGCAAGGTCTTCTACCCGAACGCATAAGAATCCACTCAAGGCATCTCATCATGATTCTTGCCCGTATTCATGGCTCCAAATTGGTTTCTGAAGACAATGATAAAAACACGTCGCTTGTCTTGCTCCGACCCTTCAGCTGCTAAGCTATTACGACGAGCAAATACGGGAGTGGCACTCCAAGTTGATACATGACCATAGCACACCGAAGTCCGGCACTGAAGGCGGCAAGAAGTACGACCTCAAGGCCAAGTCGACCACACAGGTAAAGCTTAAGGCCGAGCATCTGAATATCGTCTCCGACGCGTACCTTGAATTCATTCAGTATCCCAAGGTGGTCCACTGCACTGACGCCGACACCCACGCTAAAGAGTCAGGCATTCGCGCGCTCGAGTCCGTCATCGCAACCATCAAAGCCAGCAGAGGCATCGCCACGGGTAAAGATGGGGAGGAAGAGGAGAAACCACTAAGAAAGTTCAGGCTACTGGCGTCGCAGAGTTCCTCGGGAGGGTCGAAGGGGCAAGATGAATAATCGTGGCGATAGGCATTCTTGAGAAGAAATTGGACGGTATAGTTGGTGGTTTGGCTGGAACATCTATCAGTCTATTTTGCTATTACAGTAGGAATATAATATAGGGCAGTAGCAACAACGGTCTTTTCTAACAGCCGCCGTATAACCCGTGTTTGAGGCTGGCGACTATGTGAGGACCGCAAGTAAGGCTAGACTGTCTTACAACGGCTGTACGACGGCTACCAATGTGTATGGTGGGCCGATAAGGTATTGTCGATATGTTACGTAGTTATTGTTGACGCAAAATCTTCAATTACTAAGCTAAATGCACCAAATAACTTCGAGAATTAATTTCACCTCCATAATTTAAGCTTATCTCTTACTAACCAATCAGCAATAGAGAATGACATATCTCGCAGAGTGCTTAATGCATTCTGTGCTCTACTCAACGATGGCTTCTCATATATATCTATAAATCAAGTCTACCATTATCTCATATATCCTTTTTACTATCTAGTCACTTATATGTCGTACTTAGTAGTTACACGATCACTAGTAAGTCGAAACCAAATTCCTTATCTTATAAAAACTGACTATCCACCTCGTCACAGCTACCATTACGAAAGCGATTCGTGCGTGCCACTATTCTGATAACATCTACATTTACCTATAAATTACCACGACGCCGATTAATTAGTTCCATTCCCGGAACCATGCGTACAAATGGGGATCTGAATAACACCTCAGCAGCGCGAGAAGTCGCACGAATCGACATCGATGCAGCATACTCCTACCGGTCCCTCGCTATCAGCGAAGCAGAAGACGACGCGGCGATACGCAAGTCGTACCGTCCATTTCTTCTCAGCCCAGATATCACATCTACCGACTGGATTAGCAAACTCGAGCTCAGCACTGTAGTGAAGCTAGCCGGGGAGGATTTCCACAAGGCTGGCGAGCGCCTCAAGGTTCTCGTCCTGTATGGAAGTCTACGTGAACGGTAAGCACTTTTGCCCACCTAACTTCCTTTCCGCTATCATAGGTGCTGCTTTTCAGTTACCTAAAATATTAACTTTTATGCCGCACTTAGTTCCTACTCCCGGCTACTCGCCTTCGAAGCCTCCCGCATCCTCTTCCGACTCGGCTGCGACGTCCGCATCTTCGACTCAACTGGCCTCCCCATAAAAGACGACGTCCAGCACAACCACCCCAAAGTCCAAGAGCTTCGCGACCTCAGCCGCTGGAGCGACGGACATGTCTGGGTCTCTGCCGAGCAACACGGGAATCTCGTAAGCACCCCTCCCCCCCAACTCCACCCTACATCCACGCCACTACGGCGAATACATACTAACACACACCGCCAGACCGCCGTCTTCAAAAACCAAATCGACTGGATCCCCCTCTCCGTCGGCTCCGTGCGCCCCACACAAGGCCGAACCCTAGCGATCGCCCAGGTATCAGGGGGCTCGCAATCTTTTAACGCGGTGAACTCTCTTCGTCTCCTCGGGCGCTGGATGCGCATGTTCGTCATCCCGAATCAGTCCTCTGTGCCGATGGCTTATACGCAGTTTACCGATGAGAGCCCGGCTGATCCCGTCGAGGGCGGTAGTCGGATGATTCCGAGCGGGAATCGGATGCGGATTGTGGATTGTATGGAGGAGTTTGTGAAGTATACGATCTTGATGAAGCCGCATTTTGCGTTGTTTGGGGATAGGTGTAGTGAGAGGGAGGAGCGGGTGGAGAAGGAGAGGAAGGCGACGGAGAAGGCGAGGAAAGAGGCGGAAGAGAAGAGGGTGGAGGTGGATGATGCTGTGGCAGACAGCGTAGAGTAGGGGTCGGGGTCATTCAAGGTATTGATTAATGAAACTATAGACTATAGACTATGTAGTATAGGTAGATTTATTGAGTACGAAACATTGTAAAGTTTTTGCAGCTTTAGAATTAATCCCATTTAGTAAAAATATATTTTTATAATTATTATTATATTTTGTATTGCAATGAACAGAGGTGACAAGTATTGCTCTATTCTAACTACAATAGTTTCTAAATTATTTATCGAGATTATCCATTAAATTTATATGCTACATTTTTAATCCTTCCATGCTCTTCTCTGAGCGTACCATTTCACAACATAAACAAGCCCAAGGAGTACAGGAACCTCGATCAGAGGGCCAACCGTTGCAGCTAGTGCTTGGTCACTATCCGCACCGAAAGTTGCCACAGCCACCGCAATCGCGAGCTCAAAGTAGTTGCTTGCAGCTGTAAAACTCTGTGTCGCCGCCAACTTATATCCAAAGCCAAGTTTATGCGTGACCAGCAACGTCAGGAAAAAGATAACGGCGAAGTACACAACTAACGGCGCAGCAACTCGCACAACGGAGACAATCTGGTGGACTACCTGGTGGCCTTGCGACGCGAAGAGAACGAGGATAGTGAAGAGAAGACCGATGAGCGACCAGGGCGCGGCGAATTGAAGGAAGACCTGGTTGTAGAACTTTTCGCCGCCAATCTTGAGGAGTGTAAAACGTGTGAGGATGGCTGCACCAAGGGGGATGCCGAGGAAGGCCGCTACACTGGTTGCTACTGTCGAATATGAGACGCTGACGCCTGGTCCGCCGTGGCTGATAACCTTTATGAAGAGGAGGGCGAGCGGCGCGAAGAGGACGATTTGGAGAAAAGAGTTTACTGCGACCAGAATAGCACAGTATTCGTTATCGCCACCAGCCTACAGAGGTTGGTGGTTAGCTTGTATCGTTGCATGAGGTAGATTGAGGCTTACCAGTCCAGTCCATATCAACACCATGGCTATACATCTTGCGATACCGACAAGAATGAGTCCTTCTCGGAGGCCCTGCTTATCGGGCAAGAAAGCCCACGCAAGAGCCATCTATGGCCGTTAGAAGTTACAACTATAACATGGGCTCGGACGTACCATAACAAGGGGTGCAACGATCCAATTTACGATAATGCTGAAGCCGATCTGGACCCAGATTTCTCGCTTCCGAAAGACGTGGTGTAGAGCTTCGTATTGGACTTTGCAGAGGATGGGATACATCATGACGAGCAGACCGATTGCTTCCAAGGTTATTAGTCTAACTTCTTAAATGTTGGAGGTCGGATCTTACCGATAGGAACAGACACTCCTACAAACTTTCCTTTTTGTAGTGCAGGCCCTACATTCTCGACGAAGTTTCCGAGCAGGATTCCGATGAGCATGGCGAGGAAAATCCATAGGGCTAAGAAGCGGTCGAGGAGGCCGAGAGATTTAAAAGCCGAATCTTTCTGTTGTTGAGGATCTTCTATACTTCCAGGGCCTGCCCTTTTCTCGATATCGGGAAAAATGCCGTTAACACCAGGGTCGGTACATGGAATCTCATCTGATGCAAGCGGACTGGCTGGGCTCGCTTTCAAATCTGCCATTTTAAAAGACAGCTCCCGCAAACCCTGAGCCTGATAAGGCGTGGTAGATCTGCAATAAAAAATAAGAATAATATAAATGAATCTGAGGAAAATTGGCCCTTAAGTTGCGAAGTGTATATTGAAATATAGAGAAAACATGATATCTAAATGATAGCAATCCCAATCGAGCTATATGAGGCAACCAATCAAAGGGGAGCAGCGACATTCACGACGGGGTGGCTAGCCGCGTTTTAGCGCGTTCGAGCTTACGATTTTTCGATTTTTCAAAAGCGGCTCGACCACCTAAAAGTGAGTCCATTTTTGACAACGCGGTTGCACCGCGACAGTGTGTTGAGAGTGATTGATGGGGTGCGGGGATACACAGCCAATTTAGTATACAGTATGTAAAATATAGATCAAATTGAATTACTACACTATCCTACGGGCCTACGTATCCTACTTATAAGCCCTGGGGGAAGCCCCGAACCCCGGCAGTCTGAGGGCTCTTCAGCTTCAGCTGTGATGGAATTCAGCAGCTGCATGAGATCTGCGAGCCACCGGAGCTTCCGAGCCAATCCGGGAGTCGGACTTTACGCCGGGGAAAACTTTCGGTTTCAGGCTCCTCCAACACAGTGGACGTCCACGGGTGAGGAGGTACGACGCGCGCGAGCGACAAGCGGGTTACAGGGTGGAGACGCAGCGACTCTTTGATTACTGCTTGCAGATAAGGCATCTTCTGAGCCTCTTGGAATGTGATAGGACTGGAGACGGTTCCCCGTTGTGTTTCTCCTTCGATTTCTGCCCGCAGTTTGCAAAGTGTGAGAGGATTCCGTACAAGATAGTTAGGATGGAACTTAAACTTATGCCCGTGGTATCACTTCCGGCACCAGCGGTACAGGTGGAGATGACATCATCCATGGAGAATCTATCTGGCGCAGCTCGATATAGAGCAAGAGCTTTGGAGAGAAAATCTTCTTCTAGCTCACCCTCTCCTTTATCTTGGTCATTGTTTCTCTTTACCCGATCCAGGGAGAATGCAACAATATTTTTAGGGGATGATAGTAAACACGCTCTAAAGAGCCTATAGTAGATAGCAAGCCCCCTTTGGTAGTGCTTGCAGCTAACAAATCCCCATTCCAGAGAAACTTGCCAGTGCAGACGCAGCACCAATGCTTTGCGCCGGGTTGACAACCTATTCGGCCCTGCGGAAATGCAAAGCCAGAAGCGGTGAATGGGTCGTGATTTCTGGCCGGTGGGGGGTTAGGCCATCTCGCCGTTCAGATCGCAACACACGCCAGGGCATATCGAGTGATTGGAATCGACCATGGGTCAAAGGAAGTATTCGTCAAAGATTGCGGCGCCGAAGTGTTTATTGACATGCCAAATTTCAGCGATGAGGATATCGCCAAGGAAGTCAAACGAGTGACAGGCGGTCTCAAGCGCCTAGTCCAGACCGGGCGCTGGACCCTGAGATTAGCGAGGCACAAACCCTGCATTACTCGCGCCAAGCCAGCCAATAACCGTGGTACCCGCGACTAGTACAGGGAAAGAGAAGACCCTCCCAGGTTTGTGGGTAAATAAGAATGGGAATTTCGCATCCGTATCCAACCTCTCACCAGCCCACCGCGCCTGTTCATCGTTGGAGATTCGTCTTCTCCCTCCTCGTTCCTTCACCCGCTGAGGATTGAAATTTCTCAACCCCAAAGTCGAAATGTCCCACGCAATGGGTCCAGTTAGCCACGGCGGCTCCCTTGGAGCAAGAGGTACGTCGCAATGCGCCCAGATCACTCCTTCCCTTGCAGCAACCCCAATGCATTCCCCGCTTTCGCGAACCCGTTACTGACCCCTTGCGCAGCCTTCAACCACTCCCGCGCCGACGATGCCGAAGTCGAATACGACCGCCTCCGCGACCTCGCACGCGCCGAAGCCTCGAAGCGCTCCAACTGCTTTGCACGCTCCCACGACGCCTACTCTGCCGGCGATGGCGCCGCCGCCAAAAAGCTCTCCGAGGAGGGCAAAGAGCACGCTGCGAAGATGACCGCCTACAACAAGCAAGCCTCCGACTTCATCTTCCGGGAGAACAACGCCGATGGCAAGGTCCCCGCTGATACGATTGATCTGCATGGGCAGTTTGTGGAAGAGGCGGAGGATATTGTGGAGGAGAGGATTAAGTATGCGAGGAGTACGGGACAAACGCATCTCCATGTGATTGTGGGGAAGGGAAATCACTCCCCGGGGCATATTCAGAAGATTAAGCCGAGGGTCGAGAAGGTGTGCCAGGAGTTGGGGTTGCAGTATAATACGGAGCCCAATGAGGGCGTGTTGTATGTCAACCTCCAGGGCGGAGCGCCGGTCAGGCCTCCGCAGCAGCAGCCTTCGGGGGGGCAGGGAGGGTACCAGGGTGGACAGGGGGCATACCCGGGTGGTGGACAGCAGCAGCATGGTGGGCAGCAACAGCATGGTGGTCAACAGCAAGGTGGCCAGGGACAGCAGCAACAGGGCGGCCAGGGCGAGATCGAGAAGCTGGCTCTCAAGATGCTGCCAAAGATTCTCCAAAAGTTGGAGAAGGCATGCTGTGTTATGATGTAAATGCGGGATGGGACTTTGTTATTCGCGGATGCTGGAGGTGGGTGGGGTTGGGAGGGAGGGGATCTTTCGGTTGTATGTTTGGATATGTTTGGCTGGGAACTGGATAAGAAGTTCTGGGAACGTCGATCCTATGATTATACCCTGTAAGTTACACATCAGACTCAATTGAACGGAATATACGCACAAGAAGCAACTTTTACGTTGAAGACCTGGGCAGTGGTTATGGCTGGGGATTTATTTAGCTTGGGTCGTCATAAATAAAACTGTGTTATGCATGAATACATGATATTTTAAAACGTTGGTTGTCCCCATATATTTGAAATTGATAGTCGCGTTCAGTTAGGAAAAGCTATTTAGTAGTTCTTAAGATTAAGTTTAAGCACTGAAATTTAGACTAGGTCTTTATATTTTAATATCTACTAGTCTAATTGCTTTAAAGCTTAGTATAAATTAGGGGTGGTTGGGAAGCCTGGTCGCGTTCACTTATCTCGCTGTCAAAATTCTTATCAGCCAAGCAAACCACACAAACACCAAAAATCCACCCCACACCCCACCAAAGATCACCACCACCATCACATCCCAAATTCCTCACCACAACCCCCAAAGCCTTCACAATGCCTGTACGCACCCCGCTCCCCCTCCTCTCTACCTTCCCCAACTAACCCCTCCAGCTAATAATCATAACCGGTTACCCCACCGCCGGCAAAACCCACCGCGCCACCCAACTCGCCTCCTACTTCTCCTCCCTCCCCCTCCCCCCGCGCATCCACCACATCACCGACACCTCCCTCGCCATCCCGCACACAGTCTACGACCTCTCCTCCGCCGGCGCTCACGAGCGCTCCGCCAACGCTTCCGAAAAGGATGCTCGCGCCCGCGTGTATGCGGAGGTGAAACGCCATCTCAGTCCAAATGATCTTGTGATCTGCGATGCCGCGGGGGGGAACTACATAAAGGGATGGCGATACCAGTTATTCTGCGAAGCGAAAGCGCTGCGGACGCCGTGCTGTGTGGTTCATGTTGGGACGCCGGTGGAAACTGCGAGGGGTGTGAATGAAGCGCGGCTTGCGGCGCGGGAACGGGGGGAGGAAGGGGCGGGGGAGCCGTATGAGAAGGAGACGTGGGAGAATCTGGTGTTTAGGTATGAAGAGCCTAATGGGATGGTGAGGTGGGATAGTCCTCTTTTCACAGTAGGATGGGAGGATGCAGAGATTGATTTCGAGGCGATTAAGGAGGCTGTTTTGGGAGGGGGAGTAGTGAGGCCTAATGCCGCGACTGTGGCGACGAAGCATGTGGAGGAGGGGTATTTGTATAGGCTTGATCGCGAGACGCAGGCGGTTGTGAGTAAGATTCTGGAGTGGGTGAAGGATCATGAGGGGGAGGAGGGAGGGGTGATTGATATGGAGGAGGAGGCGCAAAGGAAGGTGAGGTTGGCGGGGAAGAAGGGACGGAGGGATGAGGATGAAGGGGAGGAGGGAGGGGGGTTGGAGTTGGCGCTTCCGCAGGTTAAATTGGGGGTGCCGGTGCTGCAGAGATTGAGGAGGCAGTATATTCAGCTGCAACGGCTTGAACCGAGCGGGGCGGGGAGAGTCAGAGAGGGATTTATTGGGTTTTTGAATGCGGCTTTTGAGGAGATGTAAGAGCGACTGAGGTTAAAAATAGCGTAGATTAGAAAGGATGAATTATGGGATAGAAAGAGATACCCAAGGCGTTTAAATGTGTCGGAGGTTAGCGAATACTATGAACTTACCCTTTGAAGCTATTCATCGCTGGCATTAGCACACAACCCACCGAACGTGGAACCATGTTGTAAAAACACAATAGTTACGCAATCTATCTAAAAATATCAAAACAAATACAAAAACATCAAAACAAATTTCGGCTCCGTCCATCTCATCCATCCTTCATCTCTCTCCAACACAGCTAACTATATAAGCAACAAACGGCTTTTAAGTCATGAGCACCTCTCCACGAATCGGCTCTGCGCGCTCTGTCGTAGTCTGGTTCCACTTTCATCCTTGGGCATACTCTATAATCCTGACAATGCAGTAAAAAGTAGATCCTCGTGGCTGACATCCTGAAAGTCTCCTTGTCCGGGTCTATTGTCCTCCCACGAGCAGACTGGTACTGACTCGTGGGATTTAGGTTTTCTTTCCATGGCTGTACCGTGTATTCCTGGGCATCCAATGGTCTTGTAGGTTTAGAACTGTTCTGTGCATGACTGGTAACATGACTGTAGATAGAATAGGGAACAAGGCAGATCATCTCCTGGCTGGCAATATCCATGCAAGGTCAAGAAAATCCTGCGGTCTGGCTCCGCTATTCACTGGAGTCTTTTGGTCTGTTGAACGAAGCATGGGTTAGAGATTGAAGCGCACCGAGCATAAGGTTATAAACATACCATTACGTGCATCCTGGGTGTTTGTTGTTCAACCTGTGGGGCTGTTGGTCCTGGCGATCTTCTGAGAGGTGGCTGCCATCTCCTTGAGGTAAGCATTGGCTTGGCGGAGCTTAACCAATGCCTCCGGATCACTTGGGTCATTGAGAAGTTCCATGGCAGACAGGAGCTGGCGGCGGTGCTCACGGAACTGGTCCTCCGGGCTGGGCCCATTCTTCACTGGTTGTGGCGCAGGAATATCCTTGGGAGGGGAGCTGGCAGAATTCTTCTTCCTCATCTTACCATCAACAGAGCTGGTCTTACGCTTGCGCGGCAGTCTGGTGGGTTGGTCCGAGTCAGTTGGCTCAGGTACGGTATTGTGTACTCTCTTCATGTGGTCACGAAGGTTCCAATGACGAGGGAATCCATTTCCAGGGATGGCTCGGTCACAGTTCTCTGCGGTGCAGAGGAATGGTTTTTCGCCGTGTCCGTGCATGGCATGGGCCTCACGCTCATGGCGAAGAAGGCAGGCGGTTGACGAAAAGCGGGTTTCTCCACAGGATTGGACCTTGCACCTGTAGGGCTTCAAGTGGGAATCGACACATTTGCTACGATAGTGGTATTAGTATAGAACATGCATGGGAGCGATAAAATAAAGTCGTACTCGTAGTTGCACTTGAGCTTTTCGGGCTTGTGGTTGCAAGGAGGGTTCATAGATTCCCATGGGCAGTGGTATAATGCATCCAGGCCAAGGACGGCAGTGTGGTAATAAGGGTGATCCCGAGCAACATTGTCCATTTCGGATGTTTCGCCATTGCGGCGACCTCGGTCACTGAAGCGGTCTTCGAGAAATTCCAAGGGTTCGGCGCCAAATTTGAGGTAGGGATCCTCGTCAATCCTGTTGTTGGGCACCATAGATTTCCTGGAGCTCCTAATGGCGGGGAATGTGTTAAGAGGTGAACGCAAGGCACAGGGCAAGGGGTGAACGAACCTGGGAGACTGGCCATTGTTGAAGGCTGGCAGGGCATCGAGTGCGCTGCTTCTCCTCGACATGGGAGTTGACAGGCCAGAAATTGAATATGTGGGCGATGAGACCTTTGGGCCGGCATGGTCACCAGACATCCAGGAAAACTCCGGGGTATAATCTCCAGTATGGGCTCCGGAAGTCACCACGGAATGTGGCATAATCTCTGACCCTGTGGTATAGATGCTCTCGTCCGTTCCCATGGCAAATATGTGCGAAGGAGATCCATTGGCAATTGGGACCATATGGCTTGGCGACCGGTGATCACTATTACTCGGCCCGGTATGAAAGTCTCCAGTTCTGGTATCCTCTTCGTCCAGAAACTGTAACTCACTGAATTCATTTTTCACAAAGTTTGTGTTGTCTGTATAAAGACCAGTATCGGATAGACTCGAAGAGCAATCAAGAGTGTCCAAGTGGTCTGAGAATACAGAGTAGGAAGAATCCAGTGTGCCGGGATGGTCACTTCCGGAAGTAAGGTCTGTGTTAGATACCATGATCTCCAAGGAAGTTTTTGAATATAGCGGCGCCATCTCGTCCATGGTATAGGGGGAGGGAGTCTGGTTCCACTGGTGCGAAATGTTGCCATAGAACGGGCTGTCATCTAATCCTGGAGGGGATCCATTTTGGGACGTACGGCTCCTTACACCAGATTGGGGATTCTGGTGGTATCCTTTGGAGATTCCGGACTGGTCATGTGGTGCGTGGAAGTTCTGTGGGCCTCCAACTGTCTGGGGTAACCATAAGGGTTCACTGTATTGATCCCTCGAGGGAACGTCTATATACCTGCCCGATCCGTCGTCGGTGTGATCTTGCAGTCTGTGTCTGGCCATCATATCAGGCAAAAATGAAGTCGCAACAAGAGTAGTCATGTCCTATGGGTCGACCTCCGGATTGTTTGGTGCTGGGTATCCCTGGCTGTAGTCACAAAGAACAAAATGGAATTCCAGGTGGTTAGAAGAGTGGTAGATGTCGTCCGTGGTATAAGGCTCCAGCTAAGTGTGGTGATATCCAGATGGGAATAATCGGTACAAAGGCCAATTGGGTATAGTATGTGTAGAATGGATGAATACTATCCAAATGGTGGGAATGCAGTGAGGTTTTCGTGGGAAAAGGACGGAGGGGGAACAAAATGGGAAATGCGCGACTTATGGGATGTGGGAAGGAATCTTTCGCTTGTGAACTCGGCGTGATGTGACACAAGATGGACGTGCGCTTTAATGAAGTGTGGGAGTGCGTTGTCCAACTTGCCGCAGGGTCCCCAAACTCCCACCTCACTCGCTCGAATTAGCCACGAATCAGGGAGGTTAAGCGGGAGCTCATTCGTTTCCCTTAATGTGACTGTGAGATGAACTGCATGAGGAACATACAGATGTCCATTCAGAAGGCAGAGGTGTTGATGTGTTGGTTTCACCGCGGTCGATATTCTACGGCCAGAGAAGTTCGGCGACTTGAGGACAGGCTAGCTACTGCTGGCATTGCATGGAGCTGGTCAGCCATTAGTGCAGCACATCAGCCAACCAGTTTGAAATAGCAGGCGCAAGGCGGTCTTCTCTGGTCAATCATACTCGACGCCAACCCGCTACTGCACTGGGAAAATGCCGCGGGCATTTGTGGCAGAGTGCGATCCCTCGCATAAGATGAGATTATTGCTTGGAAATGACCATATTGCGCATATATCCAGACTTTGATATACCAATATGCGCCCATATAACGTGTCTTGGAAATGTTCGTTTCGGTGGAACAGAGACAAAAACCCAGGAAAGGGAATCCTTCCGAAATGATGGGTTCTCCCGTCCACCCGCTTTCCCGCGGCGGTGATCCGTTCCGCGCGGATCCGTGATTCGTAGGGGACATTGTAGTTTTAGTGGGACTGAGTGGGACTGAGTGGGACTGAACCCTGTTGAAGGGTACAAGTGCAACAGGATGCAGAGTTGACTTCCGTTTTGTGCTCCACCCGTGCTCCGCTCTCTGCCAACCACAAGGAAAATGAAAAGGCGGTCTGAGGAGTGAAACCAGTGACAGCAGCGATATCAGCGAAACAATTACAACTGTTCCCACAACTTCGCACCGGGCGGAGACCTGTCGCCAATGGAAACAGTATGAGCCGTGTCTGATCGCCTCTTGTCAGCAATAATACTTCGTAAAAGACTGGCATGGTTCGGTCGAGTGGCCACCACCCCCTCTTTTCTCGCTCCTAGATTGAAAGCAATTGGCCGCGGTTGATGCGGCCCGTGTCAAAATGTGCTTCGAGGCTTTCACCAACCTCCAATGGAGAGGGACTTTTTCAGCTCGTGGGTTGAATGGGTGTCTTGCACACGTCGACAGAGTTACCAAGATGCCTACTCATGCGGATGGATCCGCATGGATCCGCATGAGTAGGCATCTTGGTAACTCTGCACATACTCAAATTTGTATTTTGGTGATTGAACCGGCGGTTGTCGCCATGTTGGCGTCTTGAGGTAGGTTGGGGGAGATGAAGAAACCATCCGCTGGACAAGGCTTGGCATGAATGCGTCGTCTGCTCCCACTTTCGAGCTTTCGCGCTTTCGTGACAACTCATCTCTTTCCACCAAGACAGTCAGGCGGGTTGAGCTCTTGCGCCTCGTGGCATCGCATGCACCTTCGTAACTGGACTCAATACTGCCTTCACCAGGGCTCATCGTGCGCTGTCGAGTCTTGTTGGTACTGTTGTAATGAGAGACGAGTGCTATGACGGTGATGATGATAATACAGTCAGTACCGTAAGTATCGGCAGTTAATGGGGGAGGGGAATGTGGGTCGGGAGCTCATGGAGCGTGCTTTTGTGTGGATGCCAGATCACGTGACCTACCACAGACATTCTGAGCCACAGCTCTCCAGCCACAACCCCAAGTAAGCCACATATGATGACAGCATAACCACCATGTCGACAACGCCTGTAGTTCCTGAGAAGATATAAACAGTATGGCGCGGCTTTCCACCCCAGGAGCAAGGGCTCCCGATCATACATCCTTAAACTTAACCCGTCTAATATCGCGGCTCCAAAATACTCTACTGGAACCGGATGCGGAAACGTCACGTCGTTTGCGAGCCTCGGGTTTTGAAAGGCGCAAGGTGGAAGCTGTAAGTTGCCGCGGCGGTAGAATGCTTTTTGGTCACGTTAATGATATGTTCTGTAGAATCTAGAATATGCTAAGACTTTGCTGTTGCGCCTGGGCCAGGAAAGCCCCAATGTAAAACCACAATCGAACAAGCTAGATGCGCAGAGCGATCTTGATGCGAAAAAACACCAGTTGGATGCACTTGATGCAAGGCTACACGAACTGAACGCAGTATGCTGTCCCAGTCCACCGGTATCCACGCACCAGAGCAAGGTTAACACTTCATCCGTCTAGGCTGGCCAAGAGTACGACGACAATGCTTCCTCTGAGGGAGAAGACCTCCTGGGCGAGGACACCACCCCATCCGAATCCATAGGCGACAGCCACACACCTGCCGCCGGCGATACGACTGATGACGACGATGCCGATTACCAACAGATTCTCTCAGAGCGCAGAGCCGCTGCCCAAGCTTCCCAGACCGAATCTCAACCGAAGAACGCCCGCGATGAATTATTCCCCTCATCTCTGCGCGCGCGGCATGGGGAAGCCACTACTGGCATCGATACCGCCCAAGCCACCTCCTCCTCTACCTCCGCCCCAATCACAGAATCCCTCATGAAGCACCACCGCGCTGAGCAGGAAGAGCTCACGACCTCCCTATTATCCATGGCACAGGCGTTAAAGGCTTCGACACAATCGTTTTCTCAAACCTTGGAATCGGAGAAAGAGACGGTGGATAGAGCAGGCGAGGGATTGGACAGGAACGTGACTGGACTAGAAGCTGCGAGCAAGCGCATGGGATATCTACGGCAGATGAGCGAGGGGAAGGGGTGGTGGGGACGGATGATGCTTTACGCATGGATTTTTGGACTAATGTTTGCGGCATTCTTTATAGTTGCATTTATGCCAAAACTAAGGTTTTAGATACCCGAGTTGCGGTTATGCCCGTGTCAATGATGTTTAGGCGTTCAGGGGCTAGAAATGGTAGGGGATGGAGGTTATGTACGGGAGATGGGCTTCCTCATTTGTAGCTGTGCAGTCCGCAACTGTATAACATTATTTTGGGCAAAGAAATGAATTGGCAATCAACACAACGAGTAGTGACGACCCCTGCTGATGCCTATTATTATGGATATATGGATTGAAAGCAGGATCTTGTCTCAAAAAATTGCTGAATAATCACGTTTCTTGATGTAACTTAGTGTCCTGCAAACACAACGTCTTATCTCCAAAGTCCGCGTTTGAAGCGACGATCAAGCAAGTATATTTTATTTAGCACGGGCTCCATAATTGGCATTATCGCTATAAGTAAGTTTCATTTTCTCAGTATCTTCAGGTTCAACCATCAGGCTTCATCTGGCCCATCTCAGCCCTCACTTGGCCCATCCCGCCATGTCTTCCATCTTGGTCATTGGTGCCGGCGAACTGGGCACCGAAGTCTTAAAGAGCCTCGCCGCCCACCCATCCAGCAAAAATACACAAATCAACGTCCTTCTGCGCCCCTCCACTATCAACTCCACCGACCCAAGCAAAGCCGCCGATGTCGCCGCCATCCAAGCCCTGGGAATCACCCTAGTTCCAGGCGACATCGTTCAATCCTCGCCCGCCGAGCTAGCCCAACTTTTTGCCCCCTGTCACACCGTCATCTCCTGCACTGGCTTCATCGCCGGACCAGGCACGCAGATGAAGATAGCCCAGGCCGCTCTGGAGGGAGGCGTGAAGCGCTTCTTCCCATGGCAATTCGGCGTCGACTATGACGTCCTTGGCCGTGGCTCGGCTCAGGATCTGTTCGATGAGCAGCTGGATGTGAGGGATTTGCTGCGCGGACAGAGCGCTACGGAATGGGTTATCGTTAGCACGGGGATGTTTACCAATTTCCTCTTTGAGCCGAGCATTGGGGCTGTTGTGCTCAATGCCGAGGATCGAGGGGGGACGGTTGTTAGGTGTTTGGGGAGTTGGGAGAATAAGGTTACTGTCACGACGGCGCAGGATATCGGGATTCTGACTGCGGACATTGTGTTTGCAGAGCCGAGGATTGCGAATAAAGTCGTCTATACGGCAGGGGAGACGATTAGCTACGGCCGGCTTGCAAATGTGGTTGAGAACATTGTGGGGAACCCAGTGAAGAGGGAAGAGTGGACTGTTGAGTTTATGGAAGGAGAGTTGCAGAAGGACCCGGGGAATGTGCTGTGGAAATATAGGGTTGTGTTTGGAAAGGGGAAGGGCATGAGTTGGAATGAGGGGCAGACGTTTAATATGCAGAAGGGCATCCAGACATCCGATGTTGAGGAGTGGGCGAGGGATATGGTGAATAAGAAACTCTGGAAGTAGAACCATAATGTTTTCGAACGAATTTATAGAATCTCTCGATATAGGCCCCGTCACAATGTTTTCTGGCCGAGACATCGAATCTGGCCAAGGCCCAATATCTTTGGATCAAGTCATGCAATCCCCCACCGTAGGCCCTGTCTCGATGGAACCCTCCCGTGGAAGACCCAAGTCGCAATGGCTTCGCATCAAGACACTGAGAGTCCAATTGAAGGCCAGGGCTCAGAATACTTTGGTCGGAGCGTGGAATATCTCACCGAAGACGTAGCCGCAAGATATTTCCGCAGTTTCATAGAAACTACACAAATACTCGTATGCCAGATATATGGACGGTTGTTAGAAGACCCAGGGGAGATGCTATACATTTTACTATTCTACTATTACACTTAGTTCTGTCAACACTGTTTATCTCAAGCCCAGCAAAAACTTGCCACCATCCTTGCCCTCTGCGCCACCTCCTGGTAGGTATGTAACGTTGGGGTTGCCCGCCAAAGTCTGAGCAATCTCCCTGCTGGCCTCAATCCTTCTGATCATAATAAGACCATCTCCTGCCTTCGCCACTGCCCTTGAAATAGTATCGGCAGACTCGGCTTCTCCCTCAGCACGGATAACGTTTGCTTGTCTCTCCTGCTCGGCCTTCTCGACGATGAATCGTGCCCTCTCAGCATCCTGCTGGGCGATCTGCTTCTGCTCGACTGCGCGGGTGAACTCCTTTCCGAAGGTCATGTGCGTGATGGAAACGTCTTCAAGAGCGATGTTGAACTCTTGGGCACGCTTGAGGAGGTCGCTGCGGATGCGGTTGGAGACGGCCTCACGCTGGGTGATGAGCTCTGCGGCGTCGAACTGGGCGACGATGGATTTGAGGACTTCGTTTCCGATGGATGGGAGGACACGCTCATCGTAATCTTGTCCGAGGTTCTGTAAAAAGTCAGATACAGTTCTATACGCGTCATAACGGAGTCTCATCATACCTGGTAAATCTTGGGCAGCTGCTTAACATCGGGCCTGCTCAGCACTCTCAGTGTCAAGCTGACCATCTGCAAATCCTTCGATCCCGTTGTCGTCGAGATGTTTCGTGGCTTCGTTCGCACATCGTAGAGAATGGCCTTTTGTAACCATGGAATCAAGAAGTGTGTTCCCTCACTGACAACATCCTCCTTTACACCAGCCAGCCTATCGAAGATGACGGCTCTGCTTCCACCCTTAACATCGTATATCGAGGCCTGGGCAAAAGAAACTCCCACTGCCAGAGGGATGGCAAGCTTATACAGCGTGTTGAGTGCTTGCGCCATCTTGAAGTATTATGCGGATAGGTCGTGGGAACTGGTAGTTGAACGCGTCCAGTATATCTTCGGAGCTATACTTTTGAGGTTGATCGTACTGGCATTGCTCGTTACAATTTCGATGGACCGCGCTAGTCCAAAATGGACTAGCGCATTTCGGCTTGGCGCGCCTCACAAGCGGTCGCAAGATCTTGACGCTCATCCATCCGAGAGCCGATGACCAAACTTCTTCAAGCCACTCCAACACACCAGTCACTATGCGCCCAACTCAAGCTCTTTTCGGCGGCGGCGGCCCTGAGGTCGGAAAGTACGGAAGGTGAGCATTGGTCCTTATCCCCATCAATTCAGGACAGCAGGGTGGTGGCTCTGGATTGACAAGCAGTCCTGCCCTGACTTGCACCTTGGATACGCAGTGGTTAAGATGACTTTGTATGCTAATAAATCTCTCTTGCAGGTACATTGGTGAATGGGGCAACTTCGGTATGGGACACTCTATCCTTTAATGATCTTGAGATGTGTAAATGGCGACGTCGGGGCATATCGGGATGCATCACAACGAGTTCCAATATATACAACTTAACCGTTGGGGGAATAACGGCCGTGCAATGAGACCAGGTGGCTAATACAGCGTTTTCTTAGGTAGCCCAAAGCAAAAGGGCATCGTCTACTACGGCCTGAGCGCCAACGCTCAGCGTCCTCTTGCCGGAGCTCTCCACGCCGCTTTCTTCAACACCTGGAGGCGATTCAGCGCCCAGGTCCTTTACGTCGCTCCTCCATTTATCGTTGCATACCTTGCTATGGACTGGGCTATCCAGAGGTTGGAAGATCCGTCTCGATATCCGTGATTATAACTAAGTGTTGACTAGGAACCACTACCTGAACTCGAAGCCAGGGCGTGCCGAGCATGGCGAGGAAGCATAAAGGGTGTCTGTCCCATGTGCGAGGGGTTGTAGATTGTGCTTGGGTGTGAATCTATGGGCTATATCAGGCTGGATCGTTTGAATGGTTCATATGGAGTAGCCAAAGAGCCCTCTGTATTGTATAGAAGTACGAAATAGAGCAAGTTTCAGCAGTGCCTAGTTTGAATATTCTTTTGAATGGTTATTTCAAGTCACATTGTGAGAAGCGTAATTGATGTTTGGCACATGATCGAGCTATTTACTATTTACGTAGAGCATGAGCCAGAGATTAGATAGAAGTTTATAAAGCCCACCTTGGGATTGTGGCTAATCACGAAGAAAATAGTAAATATTTGTATATTGTTCTTATTATGACAGTTCTTAGATTAAATTAGTGGTTGTTCCATAGTGGTCAATCGTTCAAGATTGGGTGGTGGTGTAGAGTTAGTTTGGCATAGCAAACTTTGCCGTTGTTCTGCCGAAGCGCATCATCCATCGGGAGTATATTGAAATTTAGACGCGCTCAACAGGGACCCTGCAGCGTTGTAAACAAACGAAGCAACGCAAACTCCAATAATCCAACCCACAACACACAGGAATAGCTCGCAAGCGAAATATACTGCATACCTTTCAGATATTGGCGTAGCTAAGGGTCATCGAGCGCCCGTTGCTTTTGCGCCATGCCTTCTTTCCGAGTGCCAGATTCATATTCTTCCAGCCCGCAGCCTTCAACACCAGAGAGGCGAAGGGATGGCGCATTTAATCCCTTTGGCGCCTCGAACCCTTCGACAACACCAGCTGGTCCTCCTCCCCCGTCGTCAGCAGGCTCCTTCACGCCAGTCGGTCCACCGCCTTCAAGCATGCTAGGGAGCTCTAGACTCGATTTTGGCGACAGCAACCAGCCCCTACAACCTCTCAATTTTGGCAGATCACCTGGTCCTCCTCAATTTGATAGCCCCGAACCATTACCCGCATTCAGCTCGTTTGGACAAGCTGCTGGGAACAAAAGATCTGGTCTTAGCAACGAATTCAGTGCTTCTGACCTTGGGATCGACCAAGACGCTGAATACACCTATGACGAAAGAAACAATGCATCTGAATATCAACTTGACGAAGGGGGCGATTATTCAATAGACGATATCTCGCGTATGGCTGATGAAATGGACGAAGACCGCTATGGAAACGAGCAAGACCTGCTTGGGTTCGACAATTCGTTTGCGGGATATGGGGCCAGGAATACCGGTTTTGGGCAGACCGGCTTTCGATCATCCGGATCTTTAGGGGGAGGCCCAAGCGACGAAATAGCAGACCTCCGCAGGTCCATTGAAGATTCTGGGCCGAACGGTCCTGAGCATTTCACGTTCGCACGCATAGCAAAGGTTTTCTATTCTCAAATGGATCCGCCTGAAATCCAAGAAGGAGACGATCTTGTTCTGAAATCGGAGGCCCTCATTGCGCGACTATATCGAGAAGGAATCAGAAGAAATGAGGATGAACAAGCGCACACTGAGGTGACTACGATTATTCCCACCGATATTTTGAAATTGTGGGATGATTACAACGAGCGAACAAAATCTCACAAGGCATCAGAATATCCAACTGCAATTGGACCTGGCCGAGGAGCAAAAGGTTTTGCCTATGCTTACTTTTTGAGCACCGTTCTCTTGAGTCTACATAATCCCTCGGAGGCAGAGGGTAAGCAAACACTGAAATCGGTCCCGCAAGTATTGCTGGAATGGATGGGCGAGCACCATGATCCGTACCCAAATCAGCTCTCGGTCATTTTAGGTTCAAGGCCTAGCCCTACCCATAACCGCTTGTTTTGGAATACAGTGGTTAATAGCCTTCTCCGAGGCCGTGTTGGCGGGGTAGTGAATGCCCTGCAAACCGCAGGATGGGAACATGCACGACAAGCTGTTGCCGATGTTAGGAACCCTGATTCGGGTGGGTACAGTGGCAGAGCCTTGATCAATGTTGAAAAGGTCACAGGAGACATGCTTGAAGTACTGTACCACTGCCCTGGAATACGAGAAGATTGGGAGACCACAAATAGCGAGTGGACATTGTTCCGCCTAAAGGCCAGTCAGGGATTGGAGAATCTCAGGAGATTTGCGGAAGGGAAAGACCAACCGGAAGAAGAGGAACCACCCGCATTTGAAGCTTCAAATTTCGGAATGTATTCCATGGCAAAATCATACACCGGAGCTGCTAGAAAGGCAGAGAGTCGAGTACCTTGGGAGGTTTATCAAAATCTCACATCCATGTACAATCTCATGCTTGGAGATGTCACCTCGATCGTTGAAAATGCTCAAGATTGGTGTGAGGCTACAGTTGGTCTCATGATCTGGTGGAGCCAACCTCAGAATGACCGTCGTGGTGCCCTTGGTCGTTCACACAGAAAACAGACCAAGGCACATTCCCCTTTAAGACAATTAACAGAAGCGTTCAACCTCGCGACTTCTGATTCTACAGACTTCCATGTCAATACTGCAGATATGATCGAGGTAGGATTAGCAGCTATATTCGAATCCGACGTTGAATCCGCGTTTGGAATCCTTGGGTCACTATCGTCCCCGGTTTCCTCAGCACTTGTCGAAGTTGCCTCTGTTACAGGTTGGCTACCGTCCACTGCAGCCCAGAACCGCGTTGGCATGAGCGATAGCCTTGATCAGGATGATATGGACCTTCTTGGGCTTAACCAGCTACCACCGCAACAATCTGAAGATACCAAAACCAAAATTCTGGTTGCTTATGCCGAAGCTCTCTACGAGCAAAGTCGGACTTTAGAATATACGGATAATAACAAGCCTAGGGTTGCCCGTGAAAGCTGGGAGGTTGCTATCGAGGTCCTTGCAAGATTGGACTCTGCTGAGCGCTCTGAAAAAGAGGTTGGTCGCCTGATTGGAGATTTGCCGCTCGAGGATGGCCCTACTGTCGACAAGCTCTGGAGACTCCTCAACGACATTGGAATGACCGTCCATTCCGAGAATGTGGCCGAGGTAAGACAAACTTCCCAACTATTGTATATCGATTTCTAATGATGTTTAGGAATACGCCAACTCTCTCAGTGACCATACGCACAAATATGGTGAAGCTATCTGGTATTATTCCTTGGCGCACAAGCAGAACAAGGTCAAGGATGTCCTCGACCTGCTTATTTCACTTTCACTACTTCACTCCGTGGCTTATCCACCGGAAAACGAACTAGACGATCACTTGCAACGCCTCATCTCCTCGCCAAAGGCCGCCTTAACCGAGATATCGCGACTCGACTATGAGGCTGCAAAACTAATCCACACGATGCTGAGCGGTTATGCAACGCTTCGACAATTCTACACTCTTCGTGATGAAGAAGTTCGCAGCTCTAGCGGACAAATCAAGCCGCTGGCACTTTCTACGAAGTCACAGGCTGCATCAGCCCTCATCGCCGTTATAACCAGCTCAGACGACAACATCAGAGGTGGACTGTACGACGAAGAACGTGGCGCCGTTGTTAGTGTCGATTTCTTACTTGCTTTACTCGGAGAATCCATGGTCTTCGTCAACCAGAAAGAGCGCCTCATCACCTCTTCTCAAATCGATTCTCTCTTGAAGGCAATCGAAGATCTGCAGACTGTTTCTGAACGTGTATATTCAGCATGCGACGAGTTCTTCCAGACCGTTGTTGCCTCGACCCAAGGGATGAAAGGGTCCACTCCCATGGATCTACTGAAAAAATCCACTTCTTCAATGAGTGGCACAAGCAGCTTCTCTATGGTCGGTAGTTCCATGATTGCTTCTCAACTACAGAAATCCATTGGAGGTAGCGGTGTTTTGGTGAAGGAGAACTTGCATAGGGGGTGGGATTGGCGAAAGGGTCTCACAGCAGGGATGACGAGTGGAGATGTATTAATGATATTGAGATATGGGCTGGCGAAGGAGTTGGCAAGATCATGTATTTTGGATGCCGATGGCCAGATATGAGAGCTGTAGTGTCCAGACGGATTAAGGGTGAGTATGCATGGATGGGCTGGCGTTGACTTTTGGGGACAGCACGGGAAATGGTATGCGGGAGTTAAAACGCGGCTCACGGGCCGAGACCTCGAATTAGTAGCATGTACATCACAGCTAAAAAGCTATTTAGTTGAAATTCCTCCTTTTAATAGAAGCTCTATTGCGCTCACTCTTCCGCGTATTTCTTGTCATGGTTCGATTATTTTCAAAACGTAGACCCCGGTTTTTGATATCTTCATAGGATATAAGAAAGTAGGATCACCATGCTATACGGCCATATTATGCGTCAGAATACGCCACTGAACTCATACCCAAGATCCTGAATGATTTGGGTAACTCTCTTGCTCCTCAATTGCAATGCTCCTATCTTGTCCTTAGTCCTATATAACGTGCAGCGTGGTGATGTCATCGGGGGCTTATTACATCAACCATATATATGACAAGTACAAGTCGATATAACATGTTCAATCCCTTCCAGCCTTAATCTCATCGAAAGAGCACAAAATATTGTTTTAAACTGCTCATTGTCCTAGCAATCATGTCGTTTATGGATAATGCACCAAACATAGAGGCGTCAACCCGCAACCCAGACCACCCAGGGGGTAAAAAGGTATATACCACCACCATTTCCTCTCTCTCTCTTCCCTCTCTACACATCAACTTCCAACACAACATCCCAACACCTTCACCACAAAATCCCATAATCGCAACACCCCTAACCAACCCCCCAGGTCCACGACACCCACGCCCCCCCCATCATCGAAAACCCCGGCTCTATCGCCTCCGACTCCCTCGCCGCCGAGTCCACCAACGCCCACGGCGCCTTCTCCCAAAACAAGAACGCAGAGCCCCTCGGCGTAACAGGCGCCCACTCCACATTCGCCAACAAAAACACCTCCGGCGCCGAGAAACTCCCGCCCACGCACCACGCCTCGTCGCGCGCTGACCCTACCATCTCCGCCGACGACTACACGCACAACAACAACAAGATGAATCTGCAGCCACAGCCCGCACCGGGGTATGATCGCGAGGACGAGCAGCTGCTGAAGGGGAATGCGGTCCCGGCCCCGGGGTATGTTGATCAGGTCCTAGAGGGCTCGGAGGGGAGTAGGCCGAAGGGGACGAATTTGACGGAGGTCCCGAGGGGAAAGAGGTTTGACGGGGGAGAGGGAGAGAATGCGAGTTTTAATGGGGAGATTGGGACGGGGATGGATCCGGCGAGGCAGGCGGAGCAGGGGATGAGGACGAGAGGGGCGCAGGGGGCGAGGGCGGGGGCGGCGGGGAGAAGAGGCGAGGGTGGTGGGGGAAGGGGGATGTATGATGATATTGGGGATGAGAATGCCTGAATTGGCCTGGGGAGATAGTTATTTGATGTAAGATGGAAAAAAGATGGAAAAAAAAAAATATTGTTTGCAAATGCGATTTTTTGGTCTTGGAACAGAATAGAGTATCAGAAACTCCCCAGCAATGCAGCTTGGTAACAATGATGTGGAATATCTTTTATAGCCATTTTTTATTTCCTGGCAGAACCCGTCCTCCCAACGCCGTATTGATATCCATGTATCTGGCTATGCAACTCTGCATATGATACAAGCACCCACGCAAAACTCTCCCTTCCAGCCGCGAAAAAAATCGTACCGAAACCCCACACAACACCCTCACCTAGACGCGCACATTCCTCGACTCCTTCTCCACCAGCTTGACCAGATCCTTATACACCTCAGCGAACTCGTCCTCGCCATCAATCTTCTCCTCCTTCTTGGCGCCCGTCCGCTTCTCCGACACCATGACGACGGATGTCGGCCTCTTGGTGTTGCCGGCGGCGCCGAGCTCCGCGCGCGAGTTCACGAAGATGTAGGGCACGTTGTGGTCCTCGCACAGAACGGGGATGTGGGAGATGACATCCATGGGCGAGATGTCAGCCGCGAGGATGACGACGCCGCAGCCGGTGACGTTGGCGGCGCCGGCGGGGGACTTGCGCAGGGACTTGACAACCTCCTTGACGCCTCTCTTGAGGGTCTTGTTCTTTGCGGCTGTTGGGAAGTTAGGTTGTGTTTCGATATTGAATTGTGGGAAGGGGGAATGGGGTGGATTGCACTTACCCTTCTTGACGCTCTTGAGCACCTTCTTTGCGACCTTGTCATCCGCCAGAGGGGCGGCGAAAGGTACCAAGGCACCGACAGGCTTGACGGCGAGCTCGGTATCCTCCTCGATGGTCTCGAGGCCCTCTTCCGCAGCTGGGGCGGCAGTCTCCATTAATTGCTCCTCGATAGCCTTCGCGACAGCATCACCATTGAGGGTGGACTTCTTGCCCTTCTTGGACTTCTTGACGCCGTCCTTGTCGCTGCGCTTTTCCTTCTTCTCCTTCTTCTCCTTCTTCTCGACGCGCTCTTTTCCCATCTTGTCGGTGGTTTTGTGTAGGTGGTGGGTGGTGGAGGGAGGGTTTGTTCGTTGGGGTGCGGTTTGAGTTTGGCTGGACCGACAACTTAAACTTCGAGGTTGTGGAGTGAATTTTCTTGTCTTGGGCCGGCTGGATTGGGGCTAGTTTGCGGTGTGGCGGGGAATAGTATTACCGACCGTTCCTCACTAGAATCGCTAAACTTGAAGGCGCGACCAACCGATGTCCAGTGATTTACTGTGCGTACATGGATGAAAATAAGTAAAATCAATACTGAAGAGTTCTCCTTCTTATTGGTGAGCATCGAGATCCCAAAAGTGGTATTTCTACAGATTATTTCGAAAATCACGATAAGTCACGTTAATTCACAAAAGTCAGGAGTGTATAGGTATAGTCTGGTAGACAGATTTTGATAGACAAGTCGCGCTATATTCTGCTCTTCTTCCTTTAGCTAAGATAGAGTAGTATGATTTGCAGCCCGCGTCCGTCACTGGCAGTATAGGGCCCCTTGCGCGCCCCCGTGCACCGTGTTCCCTCTTGTCCACGCATGCGCTTTCTTTCATCAGCGGCGCATGCCACTCTGTGCATTCCGCAACCCTCCCCTCATGCTTGGCCCGCCAGCCCCATTGGCAGCTGGCGGGTGCATGTACTTGGTAACGCAATAGCGAACTATGTTGCCGCGGATTCGGCTTCGTGATGGGCGTCAAAGACCGGCTTTAACGCCTGGTTAAACTTTCGGATCTGTCAAGTGCGCTCTTCTCCTTAAAAGAATGCTTAGGGGAGCTGCATCTTGGTCCTGTAGTCCTGGGGGTTGAGAAAGTCCCTTGCTGCGCTGCTCGCTCCGTCCCGATTAAGATACATGGGATGGCATGCGAGTTTGCGGCAAGTCTCAGCAGTGGTTGTCTATCGGCGGACGACGATGCCCTGGCGGCGGGCAGAGGAGGGTACCTCGTCGTCATCGGAGGAGGAGCAGCAGGAGTCCTCGTCGCTGTAGCCGCAGCGGGAGCCACCGCAGTCAAGCTTAATCCTGTCGCCAGTGCGGGTGATACCGTAGCGTTCACATGAGCACTGGGAGCTGTTGGAGTAGTCTGAGAGACCGCTGGAGACGGACGATGGGCTGGAAGAGTCTGAGCGAGAGCTGAGCGACGAGCCGACCGACGAGGGCGGTGTGCTGGAGTACTCGTAGTCGTCGAATGTGGACTCGGAAAAGCGGGAGGTGAGCTCCTCAATGGTGGTTGGGTTCATGGAACCGTACTCGGCCTCGAGGATGTGCTTTGTCGCGTGCGGTGAGCAAGGCTTTGGCGACTGGATCTGCGAGATGGAGAGTGGGCGGCCCTTTGGGATGTCGGCAGTGAGGGCGCGGGACTCGCGGCGGGACGAGGGTGGGTGTCTGCTGGAGCTCGAGTGCTTGGAGGAGGAGTTGGACTTTGAGGAGGAGGACTTGGATGATGAGGACTTGGAAGAAGACTTGGAAGACTTGGATTTGTCGGATGCAACATCGAGGATGTTCAGGATGCGACCGGTGGTTGGCTCGGTGGTGGAGTCTTCACCTGGGTTATGGGAGACATGGTAGCCATCGATAATGTACTTGGGAGGGTGTTAGTATGGTGGAAGCCAAATTAGACACGAGTTTCAACTTACGTAGTACCAGTATCGTTGACCAGACTGGAGCAGAGAACCTTGGAACTTGAATGTACCTTTCCATGCGCCGGACTTTGAGGAGTTCCTGTCCTTAGCAAGGGGAAGTTGGCCTGCGTAATTGTCCCATGACCCGAGAAGGTGGACTGTCTTGACAGTTGAGGAAGTGCGGAGATGGAAGCTGAGTTGAATAGCGGACATATTGACGATTTTCGAGATGCGTTAAAATGTGGATATATTTGATAAGCGTTCGGCTTAAATTTGAATGAGCAAGAAGAGCTAGTTATTAGAGTATATGGACGAGAGGCTTTGTGAGGATATAAATTAGAGGGTAGTTGACCAGCAACTGTAAGAATGAATATTAAGTAAAAAGAAGTTGTAGATTTGGAAGAGCACAGCTCTGAAGTATAACAAAAAGGACGAAAAAAGGACAACGGATTATTAGAAACTAGCTCTTGAGAATTGAGTGCTTGCTGAAGAAGAAAAAGAAGAAGAAGAAGAAGAAGAAGAGACGGCGGCTGTGGCCTCTTATGGTTCGGCCATCTTACCTTGGGACGACCTGGATAGATTGAAGATTGACTGGTGGTGTTGGTTGTGAGGTGGGTTGGTGGGTTTTGATCATGGCCAACCGGGTAGTGGATTCTGATTGGCTGATACGGCTGACTTATGGGCCACCTGCACGTCCGGCGCGTAGGCACAGTGAATCGCTGTGAGTCGCTGGGAATCGCTGGGAATCGCTAGGAATCGCTGGGAATCGCTGGGAATCGCCGGGAGCCAACATGTTTTGGGCGACCGGCGACTAGAACCCTGACGACGGCGACCACTCACACCGACGAAGATGCTCAATTGTTTCTCACCGGGGTCGGTTCGGCACCCACCTGTCCAATCGCCACGGTGAGGACCACATGCGGGCGACGGATAATAGACATCCATGTATCCATGTCCTACGGAACTTGCGGTGGGATCATCGCTCAATGAACAATGACCTGGGATTCGGAGTGACAGCGAAGGGTCCTATCACTTTATGGCCATTCTGGCCATTCTGGCCTTTCTACTTTCTGGCCTTTCTGGCCTTTCTGGCCTTTCTGGCCTCTTCAACGCAATCTTCTTGACGACATCCCGTCGGCACTTGTGATATGCATCTCATCGTCTTGATGACCCGTGTGAGCGCTTGGGAAAACACCCCATGGCTGAACAGCCAGCATCTTCGCTGTTATCGTGCCTAAGTCAGATGCTGCTTGCGATAGCGACCCCGCTAAGCTAGGCCGCTGACTGGGCCGCCGGTCTGGAAAACATCGACGACGCTGCGGTCTGTGAGTGGTTGATGTGTCAGAGGTTTGTCAATGGGGGACATGCAGATGCACCCGTGGACACGAACTCTATATCCCGTGTTCTATATTTTCGGTTCCTTGATCTGTCCGATGCCGTGTTAAGTCCCGTGCAGAATCGATCTTTCTATTTGTGGTCATCCTTGTCTTATGTCTTCAGCACGTGTAACGAATAGGTATGAGTGTCAGTTGCTGATCAGTCTGCTGGAGAATCGATCCATCCATTTGCGGACATCTTTGCCATATGTTTTCAACAAGCCTGCACTGACAACGTAGAAGAAGAATTTTACGTGACAATAGACCCCTGCAACCCGTCCAGACCATCACAACACTAGAATCGGGTGCTTCTCACCAGCAGAACTTCTGTCCGCAGCTGTCGTAGCAGCCCAAGCTGCAGTAACAGATTTGTGGGTTGTCATCAGCCTCGGCGTGCGGCACGGCGTTCGCGAGCGTGGTGCTGGTGAGGAGCAGAGCGACTGCGGTCATGAGAGTGGTGAACTTCATGGTGATCTTGATGCGGCTATTGGTTAATACTACTTCGGTTGATGCGGCTATGCAGCTAACTTCCAGGATAGGTGTAAAAGTGATTTTAACAACGCTTTTTGAGGCGATTTGTATGAATCTGTTAATGATAAAGTGCTGTAGAGGATAATCAGAATTTCACCATCATGTTAACAGACTGATGCTTTATATCATAATCCAAACTTCTCAAAGGATTGGCAGTGCATATCCAGAAAGGTCCGAAGTAAGCTTATGTGCCACCCTCACCGCTCTATCAACACGGAAATATAATAAAAACATACAAGGCCGTTTAGGCGGTTCTCCCGAGGATAAACTCTCTCTGGAGTGAGATCAGCACTACCCAAACTAGCTCATTCCACTCCTGGACCACATCATAAGAATTCTGTGGGGTGCGCATCTTGGCTTGGTGAGGCCAAGACGATATTATCTCGCTGAAAGAAGCGTTTGGAGCCAGGATCAAATCCCTTGCCACACCTTAATTACCACACAACTCGTGGCGGCGTAAGCCTCCCAAATCGGTTGGAGTAGACCAAACGGATGGAATAAGAGCAGTATTTATGCTTTATCTAGCTTTCAAAGGATTTGCTTTGCATAAGTATGTGGTGGGGTCTGCCTGTCTTTGCTTTATCATATCTGCGATACGACGATGACCACCTCCCATCAGCCAGATATCTCAGCCAGTTATCTCTCTCACGCCCTGTTTCAGTCCCTGAATCAGCTTGAGATAGCCATCAGCCAAGGTCGTGACTGCAGGGTAGTCGTTCGGTCCTATTGCGCGACTCACAGCCACGATTTTCCGGGTCCAGGCCCGACTGAGTAGTGTCGTGTATCATGGCCTCATATACCCCCCCCTTAGGATCATGTTAAGTTAGGCATAAGGCGTTTTGGTATCTATACTCGGGTCCCTAGAAATATGGTCAGCTGAGCCATTTGGAGGCGGGATGAAGCTGTCGAGGCATTGGTCGGAGATTTTTCCAAGTATTAAGCGTAAGTAAGCGGATCCGATGGAAGCAACTGGAGGATTATGATGATAGGATTAATGTCCTTTGTGCTCTAGATACAAGCTATAAGAATGATGGTATCAAATGTGACCTACATGGAACCATGTCTCCATCATACTCTGTTCTTCACACACATATGATGGATATCAAAAACGGACCAATGAAAAATAACCCTAGGACAGTTCGTGTTCACTGGTGATATACAGGCACGATAAAATACAAAATATTTTCTTTACGATACGGCGACATCTGATTTTAATAATGAGTCACTGCGACTCAAAATGTGGTGCTCTTCAGGACCCTTTGTTGGATGATGTGGAATCAAGCGACAAGCGGTGGTCTATTAAGACTTTTGGCATCCCCCATTTCATCTCGCTGTAACATCAATAATTCACTGGAGCCATCTCACCCACCTTTCAACAAGGAACTTGACGATGAAGCCAGAACACAAACATGCAGATGCGGTTGTTCGCACCTGTGCAGATCATCGACTGGACTTCGGCCTTGTCATGGTCCATTCTCGTCCCTATGTCACGGAAGCCGTCCAAGACTCGCTCCAAACAACCTTCGAGATCTCACCAGCATCAGGGCTTGGTGAAATGGATTGCCTACCTGCAGAACTGATGACAATGGTTCTCAAAAACTTGGACATTCTCTCATATTTTCGATTTCGTCGAGTTAATCGATACGCTCGCATCCTGTCAACATCGCCACAAGAATATCAGCTGGTTGCCAAATATGGGGTGGAGGGACTGAGAGCCCTACTACGCAGTGACTGTGCTCGTAGATTCACTATCATGGATCTATACCGCCTCCTTACCACCCAAAGCTGTGCTCTATGCGGAAAGTTTGGGGGCTACCTCTTCCTCTTGACAGCCACACGGTGCTGCTTTCCCTGTCTCCAAGCCTCACCAAATCTGCGTGTCATATCTACCACCAATTTTGCTCATAGGGCGGGGATATCTACGTACAAGCTAAGTGTGTTATATCGGTCAACATTGCGAACTGTGTCTGGCTATTATTCCATTTCAGGCGCACGAGCTAAACGGCCCAAAAAACTGATACTCATGGCGGAGGCTATCGCAGCACTGGACTCGCAGGGCGTCCTCAAGGAGTATTCGATCGGCAATCTATTGAGACGATATGAGGATGAGGAATACGAGCAACGTTTTATGGCAACTACTCCATTTCCATGGTACAACACGAGTACGGGCAAGGCAGAGCATGGTCTCAGCTGCAAAGGGTGTCATGTTCGTGTTACGACAGAACGTAAAGACTTTGATAATCATTCGGCGCTTTCTTCAGCGGAATTCCTGTCTCATTTTGCAACTTGCGTTGAAGCGTGGGATATATGGGCTAAGAGCCAGCAGGGGACGGTGCCTGTTGAGGACTCTGAGTTTGTACGTCGCGGTGGATTTTTTATCGGGAAGCAGTGACTGGCTGATGTCTGGTTGCCTTTTGCGCACGGCGAATATTTACTCTAGTATTAACATGGTCCAAGGATGTGACTGGTCTTCACAAACCAAAGAGAGTCCAAAAAGCATGGTCGTTCAGCGGTTCTCATCCATGTCATAAGACATGAATGGATGGAAACCAACAGCGCGTATATTTGCATATTTATTAGTTTTATGGAGACGCTGTCTACAAATCGTCCTTTTTAGACAATAATTAAACTTTATAACAACAAAAGCTTTCCTTTCTCATGATATTTAACAATGACAATGGCGTCTCCTCGCATCATGATGGACTTCTCCACGAATGGAAGGGACCACTGTTACTTCTGCATCCTGGCAGGAACCAACGTCAAATACATCTCGATGGGGAATCATTAATGGACATGCCGTTGGACTTCCAGAACATCATCTGTTCTGGAAGTCCAACGGCATGTCCATACGACAAGGACGACTGGAACTCAGCGTATATCTCCCGCAACGCGGTCACTGGCGAACTGGAACCGGCGCTGTCTCAAACTACGCTACCTAGAGTGCAAGCAGTCTGGCATCTAAAGATGATCAACTTTTTAGACCTCGAGAGGACTAAACTACTCAGCTCGCTAGCTCAAGAGTGCAAATGGAAGCAAGCTACGACGGGAGATGAAGCCGGGGACCAGAAACCTATGATAGCGAAGATGGCTCGATTCCCCTGGGAAATCCAATATATCGAGGCAGAGACGCGTATCTACCAGCTCTTGCAGCCGCTGGGGATTACACCAACGTTCCTCGGGCACATCCACGAGGCGGGCAGAGTCATCGGGTTCCTCCTCGAGAAAGTCGAGGGTCGTTCTGCCAACATCGGCGATCTGGAAATCTGCAAAGCGGCCTTGCAGCATCTTCAGGATCAGCGGATTCTGCATGGCTTGCACTTGAGCCCCTTGAGCCACAACTTTCAATGGGGTGAGCTAGGAAAATCCGATTTTCACCAGCCAAATTGGAGAAATTAGAGAAATTTGGAGACGCGAAGTCACGTGAAATCGTTTGTCAGCCACAATCCCGAGCGACCACCTTCCTCTTGAGGATCTCAGAGGTGTCAAATAATGTCGAATAGGGGCCGATGGAGAGTCGAGACTCGTATAGCTGACATGGTAAGTGATGGGGATGTGACTCTGATGTCTGTCTGGTCAACAGTTCAGGGTTTGAGACGGCGCAATTCATAAGCAGCGGAAGGAGCGATCAAGACGTACCATACACTTCAAGTGGCAGGAGCATTCAAGACGTACCTTCCATTCACATCATAGCAACGTCACAGTGTGAGCAAACACATGAGCAAACAACCGTAGGGACTATTCCATTAGAATATTGATATTCATACTCTGAGACCTACCAAGCTCCAACACTCTCTTTCTGTCCCACCAATACTCTCCTTCAAGCGCCGACACGTCGAAGGGGTGTTGAAAGGGCCGGCGTCTTGGGGGTCGTGGAGAGGGCAGTGTAGCAGCGTGGTTTTGGTGTGCCCGCAGGAATAGGTTGTTGTGGGTTTGTTGCACATTGTTGCGGTGGTGTTGGTGTGTTGTGGGGATCTGTGGTTGTTGTCAGCAGGTGCAAGGGTAATGCGGGTGGATAGGGGTTTCTGGAGAGGAAGATACCATCCATGGTGGTGGGAAGGAGGTGTATTTATGCAGCGCTGGAGGAGATGGATGAATAGATAGGTAGGTTTGGTTTCAGTATGTTGTTTTGTTCTTGGTGTTGATAGTAGTCCTGTTCGAACAATGTCGGTTTGTCTTTGAGGATAGTGGTCCTGTTCAGGAATGTTAGAGAAGTCATTATGGTCCCTTATTCATGCGGAAGTCTGCAACTTGTGAATGGTATCTTACAAAGACATTGTGTCTCAACCCATTCTTTATGCTCCGTGGCAGACAGTGCCCGACACAGACATTGTATCAGAATCTTCTTTGTGCTCTCGCAGCAGTCTGCGGATAGTGAGTGACGTCCTCCACACCAAGCAGCGCTCAATGATCCATCGCGTTGGGGATATTCACGGCCATACAATTGATTTCCTGGCCCAAAAAGAAGGTTCACCTCTCTACCAATCGCAAATATCAAGGCGAAGCAATAGATGAACAAAAGAAAGAAGAAGGCCGCGTGTGTATAGCTACATACAAAACATCAAGAGGTCAAAAGGTCAAAAGGCTAAAAAAGCAAAAGACTCATCAGATCTCTTTGGATCTGATGAGGAGAAAATCACTTGATTTTACTTTTTGATGTTTGTGAGAAGAGATATTTTATTTATTGATTATGATTTGTCGTTTGTTTGTTGTTGTCGGGAGTCGAATTGGTGACCTTCTTTATTCATCTCCTTGCCCTGGCCAGATTGTCCTGACAGTGGTTCTTCCACTGCGCCACTGTGCCGCTTGATTTAAAGATTGATAAAGTTGACTTATAAAGGTAGGTCGGGTCGGGGTGGGATGGAGATGGGGATGGGCAGCTGTTTTTGGCCGAGTTTCCCCTGCTCCTGGGTTTCTTGAGAACTCGAGTTTCCTTTGTGTTATTCCTTTGTGTTATTTATATTTTATATGAATAACAGCTTCCTCGCCATCTTTCACTATTGCCACAACAGAGTCTATTGTCGAAACAAGTCTACAATGGAGTCTCATTTTCAAACGCCTCCCAAATTAACCTTCCATCACTATCTTCAGTATAATAACCCCCTCTTTTCCTTCCTCCAGACTCCCATTCCTCATACAACAATTCCTCACTCACGCCGACACAACCACATGCATCACAACTCCACCACCAACTACCAATAACAACAACCACAACAACCACAACGACCACACCCATCACAACTAAACCACCACCACCACCACCACCGACACCATGTGCCTCATCCTCTCAACCTCCCACCTCTGCTGTGAAGTTTGGGCTTGATAGGGAGTTTGGGGAGAAAGGGACCAAGGTCCCGAAGAAGAAGATGAGAGACGCGGGAGACGTCTGGTTAATGACTAAAATGTAGTGTTTTTTGAAAGAGGAGGACTAATACCCTGGCGTAAGCGATGACTATATATCCATTTCCACGATACCCTTCTCGATCTGGATGATCGCGTGAGAGGGTTCTTATTTTTATTTTATCTTTTCCTTCTTTCTCTCGTCGCCTCGACTGAGGGAGTGAGGTTTGGGTTGGCGGAGGTTTGGATAGATTGTTACATGAATGAAACGAAACGAATGTAGAGGTGAAAAGACGAGAAGGGATAGAGGGTAGATCATAGATCATAGATAATAGGTGTGGATCCTGACACTTGACATTGTCCCATAAGTGAATATGATGAAGAGATCCAAACAAACGTGTCCTAGCCACTAAGCGTAAGGAAAATACTCACCTCATCCTGCCAGACTGACAGTGAGCCCAGAACATAGCAAAGGGTATTGACAGCAACAAACCAGACAAAACTCGACCTCAACGGCCCGCCCCGGACATCATGTGGAGCTTGTGGATACCTTAACTCACAACGGAAGCCTTTCGGCCTGGACCGCTCTCAAGCTTGTCAATTCGCCACCCTCGAGCCGTCCCTCAGCCCACATCGCGCAACCTGCCAGAATCGATCATTCAGCCATAGATACTCCTCCAGACTCCATGGTCAAATCAGGACACGGACCATCGTTCATCGACGCGGCGACTTCAGCTTCGCGATCCTTCCAAGGCGTCAACCCTTTTTGACGTCCCCGCGATCCTTTTGCCACAATGATGAAGCCTGTTTTGACGTCCCTGCGATCCTATCGCCACAACGATGAAGCCTATTTTGACGTTCTCGCGATCCTTTCACCCCCTTAACGGCCCGACAACCAAAGCACGAGGGACAACAAATGCCGCGCTGAGGTTCCACAAACCTCCCATCCTCCTAGCCACGATCCTCCACGCAGATGGGTGTGTGCGGCATTTCCACGCCGTGGCTGTGAAATATCGTGGCTATGGAGGATCGTGGCTGGAGGGATCGTTGAAGGGTTCCGTGGCTGGAGACTTCTCGGCCAACGGTGGTCTGGACCACGGAAGGTGACAGTGACAGGTGCCACGGGCGCGAAAGGGAGTGTGCGTGCCGTCTGGGGTGGTTCTATCTGGACTGAAGGAGCTCTGGTAGGATCAGTTGTGCAACCGTAACGATGCAATCCTTCTGACCGGTTGTAAGGCTGATGACATCACCATCCAGGGCAGTGTCGACGTGCAGTATGGCTGCATACAGCGCGGCCACGCCGGTGATCTAGACCCGTGGCTCACGCATGCGGCGTAAAATTGACGGCGCGGGTCACCGACGGCAGGATCACGGCGCGGCGGTGGTGGGGGGTTCGGTGTGTGCGAGATGATGTGAGGGGGAGTGAGGTTTGCACGTGCGGGGTGAAGAGGAGGGGGTTGAGGAGACCGGTGAGGAGGGGTGGTGATGACGGTGTCTGTTTTGAGAAGGGACGAGCGGGAGAACTGGGAAACTGGGCAGTGTAGGTAGAGAGAGTACAGACTCACAGTGGGATATCTCTGGGGAACTTATCGAACTATCGATACGCGGTGAGACTGGAGGTATAACGAGCCGATTAATGCTGCCGCAGCACGCACTCTAGGTAGCCAGCCATATCGAACTATCGATACCAGCCACAAGCAGCGATAAGATGGGAAATGGCGCATCAATCCGTCGGTTGAGAGGTTATCGATGGGAAATGGTGGAATTGTGCATGGGGCAAGATCACGACACGGCGACGCCGAGCCGCCGGCGCGGCTATTTGCCAGGGCTGTGCGAGAGGCAGACTGGTGCCTGGGTCGGGGGTGCTGGATTGGGATTAGGGCGGGGATTCGTTGGGAGGGAGTGGGATGAGTGGAGGGAGAGAGAAGCAGGCGAGTGGAGTAGGGTATTCTTGGGATCTCGGGATGCCATCAAGGTAGCACCACGGAATATTTCGGTGAGTGAGGGTGCTATGACTTGTCTCGGGACTGGCATATGTTTTGTCTCAGAGGTTGTCACTAACTAGACGTGTCACTGGACTCACCGCACGACTTTCCACGACTTTCAACGACATACTGCTCTGCTTACTCAGCCCGCGCTACTAAAGGCTATTGCATAGCACAGCCTCGCGCTTAACCTCAACTGCTGGCTGACATCGGACTCGCCTGCTCTCTTTGCTCCCCGGCTCACCTTTCCTACCTGCCCTAGAGTGCTGCGGCGACCCCTAAAAAGCAGATATATGCCGAAAAGAGCCTCCACAATCGGACGCCGGCCGACGAAGCTGCTGTTTCGAAGCACCGCTTTCCCAATGGAGCTCCATTCTTCAATGCAACACGGGGGAAGCTCACCGACTCACCAGAATCCATCCCAGTATTCCTAAGCCACAAGGGTTCCCCAAGGGATCTATTCCCATGTCAAATCTAAGCCTGGCCGCAGAGCTGAGGCCCTCCCGTGACACTTTCGTCCGAACTACCCGCATTGCCGCATTGCCGCATTGCAGATAGCTGGCACTTGCCTGCGCTGGTGCTCCACCATGAATCCCATCGACTCATTTTAGCATCTCCGGACGGACTGTTGAGGCCATGAAAAGCTGCATTGCATGCAGTGATCCCCGTCATGCATACTCCATGCATGCCATATTCCATACCTTCGCCCACTGCTGGTGCTGCTGCCTTATGCCATGAATAGGCCAAGGCTGCCATAAGCCTGCAGTCCTTAGTCGGCGAGTATAAGGCAGTCATGCTCCCTCGCAGATGGTGACTCTTTTTGGTTTGCCTTCTACCGTCATCTAGATTTCCATTCCGTCGTGCCTGTTCGTCGTCGTTGTTCTTATATTTCTCGCCTTGCGTTCCTTTTGTCCTTGGTCATCCAGAACCATTACCTGTATAATTTTCTTCGAGAATCACCGTCGAGCTCCAAAAACCTCGCTCAATTCTCATCGTCGCCTGATATTCTCAAACCACAAAACCTCAAATCCACTCTCACGCCCGTCATCATGTGTTACCGTCTCGTCGAGCGCTTCTCCGTCTGCCGCTGTGTCTACTACGAGCACAGCATCGACATGTGCGCTGCCGCCAACCAGCATGGCCACCGCATACAAGAGAAGACCATTCTCGTCGGCTACCTGTGCGGGCATCACTCCGACCAAGACACGCACCAGTCGAGCAGCTTCACCACCGGCTTCACAGACTCGGCCTACGCCAGCCGCGACTCCCACCACCGCTCGCCGCGTCACCACCGCAGATGATGGGTCCTGTCTTCCGTAGCCGGCGCGGCCGCCTGGCGCTCCTTCCCCCTCGCGCTGTTCGAGCTCAAAGCCTGGGCCGTCTACCTCTTCTCCTTCCGTCGCCGACACTCCAGCGTGCCGCCCTCGGGCCTGACGCGCTTGTTTGCCCCGTACCACGTGCCGGCTTCTATGCCATAGTCATGAGTGTTGCTGGCGTGTCGACGGTGGGGTGTATGGTACGATGGATGGCCTATTTCTTTGCTCGAGTTATCCTTTCAGAAGTCCTATCATGGATGGCGCCGCCAGGTTCGCCGCCACAGAAGACATACATGGAATGTTACGCATTGAGACAAAACACGTTAGAGACGAAACGCAAAACAACGCGCATGAGTAGTACTACTATGAGTACTACTACATGGGGCCTACTAGTGCCCACGACCACGGCCACGACCTATGATATCTGATCACGCGTCACGACAGTTCTTTCTTCAGTTCACTACTACGGACCCACGCAACATAGCGGCAGGAGGGAATGGCGTTCTGGATTTTATCTTCTCCGCCTCCTCCTTCTGTCCGCTTCTCGCGTGCGGTCCTCACCTTTTTTTATATCCCTTTTTCATGTGCGTTCATGTCTTGATGACTCTGTTACGGATGGATGTATAACCCTTACTCTTACAGGGGAAGACGGGGCTGGGAACTACGGGCATATGCGGCGTCTTTTTTTGGTCCTTCGTCTGCACTTCTTTTTAAAGACTTCTGACTAACGTTACCCATTTTATTTCTACCCCTTCCACACGAGAGACGCTTTTGGGCCGTTTCCTCGTTATTTGTTCTTCTATTTTTGGGTTTTTACATCGTCAGCGTTTTTGGTTTTTGCCAGGAGCGAGAGAGAGCTATCATGCCATAATGTTTTTTGTTTTATTTGTTCCCCTCACACAACACCTCCTCTCATCACAGCCTCCGAGAGGCCTCGACGATTGGAAAAAAACACACACACCGTCTTGCGCGAGCAAAAAAAGAAGGGCAACTGCGTTGCTCGATCCTGTATTGTTACTGTTTAATTTCCCCCAGGTGGCTCAGGAAGTCCCGTTGTTTTAGATAGACACGCGCGTGTGTACTGCCGTGGCTCCGTCAGATTGACTCCGTACGAGGGCATAGCACGGTTGGCTCCCACATGGCTCATGGGGCGTGGGGGGGAGTTGGTGGTGGAAGGGTGTGGAGGGGGTTGGGGTTGGGAATGCATGCTTGGTTTTTCCCCTGCGGGGAGGCTGGGTTTTCCTTGCGCTTTTGTTTGCGCTGCTGCTGCTGCGAGTATGCGTTGTTGTCGTTGTCACCTTGCAACTTCTCGGTTCCCTTCCCTCGCTCGGTCGGGGGAGGGGGTGGCCAGTTACTGCTAGCGGTATCTGACTCCTAGGCACACGGGATGGCTTGCCTTCTTGTGTGCTTTGATAGGGAGAGGAGGGTGGTTAGCCTACTGAGTAGGCTGGCAGCTGACAGCATCGTCGCATGCATGCATAGCCTGGCTGCTGTGCATGTATATGACTCACCGGCTCTGGATGGGGATAACTGTGACTCTGTCATCACGAGCCATTCTTCTTGCACCGCGAGCTTTGGGGGACTGACTGGTTTGGTTCTGTGAAGGGCGCGATAGGAGGGATGGTGGGGGGATGGAGGACTTGATGGATCTCTGGGGGTGGGTGGGGGTGGAGTAGCTAGCAGGCAGTGGGTGAATGGAAGAAACTGTACAATCTCATGGATTATTTGTGGTTGGTGTTTGTGACGCGTTTCTTCTGTTGTGATGCTTGCTTCTCAATAGTATGACAGGAGTCGTAACGTCTTATGTAGGGGTCGCCAAGTCCAGCAGCAGCAGGGGCCAAGTCCAGCAGCAGGGAGACACCCTGGCATTGTGGCTCAACGAGGTCCGTTTTGCGACAAAATGCTTTTAAGTTCAGCGGCTATGCGCAAATCTGCGCCAAAAGGTCCGGATTTACGCAAAACTGAGAGAGAGAGGCGCTAGGCCCCTGAAAATTAAATATTAATTGAATATTAACTGATTCTGAATAGATTCTAAACTACCTCTAGAAGCTCTAGGCGCCTCATAATTGAATAAGAATCGACTATGAAAGGCCTCTAAATAGATTCCGTACTGGCTCCTCCAAATAGCGTGCGTACGAGTAGACGTCGAACTGGTCCCAAACCGGTTCCTAATTCGTTTTGGGCATATTCATCAAGAAGGGGTCGAATTTGCGCTGAAATGGAACTGGGTGGCAACTAGTTACGAACCAGCCATCCCCTAAAGGCTTCGTTTTTCACAATACCATCTCTACGCCCCAAGACCTCTGTAATAAACAGTATAGGGAAACCTATTCTCTATCTACCAATCTATCCATAAGCTAAGACGTTTTTCTTTCCCATCTAGATTCAGATAACTCACTATCTCCTCTATCTAGTGCTGAACTACCCTCTTCCTCATGACTATGCAATTTTATCCTGTTTTGCCCTTCCATCTCTACCTTGCTCTCATGTCTCATAACATAATAGATGACGCGTAGGCGCCTTCTATGTCCATGCAGGCACACACCCACCCCACCACCATACCAGACCACATTTACGCCCAGATCTCCAAGAACTTGGCATCAAACCCCGCCTTCAGCTTCCTGAACGAGCGATACACCTTCAGCAACCTCTCATACTCCTCATCATCCGTCCCCCTCTCCTCCCACTCATCCTCCATCCTCTCCTCCTCCTGCAACTTATCCTCCGCCTCACCCCACTCCTCCGCAACACCCTTCTTCCCCTTCCTCGGCACCGCAGCCGGGCCTCCCGCCGCCGGAGCGCCAGCACCACCAATTCTCGTGTCCTCCTGTCCCATAAGCTCCTCCGCCTCCTTCTCATCCTGCTCATTCTCCGCTACATCACCCATACCCATAACACCGAACATCTCATCATCCGCATCGCGTCCCGCGACTACAACACCAAGGTACACCGCGAGCGCGGCGCATACGGTACCAAGGACGAGCGAAAAGTCGTTGAGCACGAACCACACGTCCTCGCGACGGATGCCGTTGGCGGCCTCGAGCGCCTTGACGTTGCCGTGCGCGAAGAAGTCGAGCAGGTACGCGTTGAGTGGCTGGCGCGTCTCGGTCGGGTGTAACGAGATGTGTGGGATCAGTGCGCTCTCAAGGAAGATACCTGCACGCGAGGAGGTGCAGAGGTCAGAGATGGTAGGGAAGGCGTCGCCGTGGCCCGAGAGTGCGACGAAGGGCGAGCGGGCGGTAGGTGCTGGGAGGGATGGGAGGAAGGAGAGGTCTGATGCTGCTGAGTTTGCATCAGGGGAGTTGGCGGAAAACTGCGTGAGTGGTAGGGTGGTCTCAGCGCCCTTGATGTATTGTTCCGCGAATGTCTTCACGTAGGTCGTGTAGATGGATAGGGTGTTCGCGTTGTGCGTCTCAAGGGTGGACAGGGCTGCCTTGGGCATTGGCGGTAGGTAGACCATCGAGGGAGACTTGTTGATCGCGTCGGCCATTGACTCACTGTCAGTTACGCGCGCGGCGCGGCGGCCGAAGATGTGACTTAGGACGAGCATGAGCTCGTTGATCACGGCGTCGGGTTCGGTGTCGATGTTAGCGCAGACGTTGGTGAAATATCCCTCCTTGAGGAGTGCTGAGTTGTGTTAGCTTCATTCAACAGAATGTTGTATATTACTTACCATGGAACGCCCAGGACGAGTTCTCTGTGAAGTACAGATGCGTAACTGGGCCGGAGAAGTTCACAGGCTCGCCCTTCGGGCCAAGTAGCCCTTGACGGCGGAGGTACTCGATCGTGAAGCGAAGGTGGTAAAGCACCTGCTCTTTGAAGCTCTTTCCACCGAGATACAGTCTCGGCTGTGACAGAAGACCATTAATAGACTTCGTCGCGTAAGGCGAATGCTTCGACTCATTCAGCAGCGTGAACAATCGGAGCACCAGATCAGTAGTGATAGGGAAGTGTCCTGTAAGGTCAGGCAATCTAGAGCTCAAAAGGTTGCACGCGCGGTCACGGTCGATGTTCTGGAAGACGATATTACCCAGGAGATCAAAACCACGACGACCCGCACGACCCGCAGCCTGTCTGAAGTTAAGAGCAGTCAAGTAGACGGAGTCACCCGAGAAGACCACTGTGGAACAGGGCATATTGATACCCAAGCTCAGCTCGCCAGTCGCGATAATGACGCGCAGAAAGCCCTTGCGGAAGAGGATCTCGACGCACTGTCTATACTTCTTGTTCATACCCGAGTGATGGACTCCGATACCGCGCTGGATGAGCTCGACAAGCTCCTCCTTGATGTGCTTCCACCTCAGCTGCTTGACGAAGCGGTCAATTTCGGACCGTTGGCATTTGCGCTTGTCGGCGAAGGAGTAGTCATCCTGTGGCTCTTCTGGGTCGAAGAGGTCCATTGCGCTGACCTCGCCGCTGGCATCGTCACGGGCTTGGTCTGCCTTTGACATTTTGTCTTCCTCATCATTGGTCTTCTTCTTCGACACCTTTGGAGCCTTCTTCGCTGCCTTCTTCTCCTTCAACTCCTTCCACTCAGTCCACTTCTCAATCTTGCGCTTCCACTCTTTACTCTCCTTAAACGCGTCCTCGGCTGTCTTGAGTTGGGTTAACAGTGATAGACCGATGTCTTCGCAAGTAGTGCGGTCATAGTTGAAGAAAATCGCCGGTAGGGCGCCTCTCTGATGCAATTGGTACAGAAGAGGCAGTGTAGTCTGTCGAAGATCATTCCTGTCGATCTCCTTCTCGCCCTCAGCAATAGGAGCCAGTTCCGTCTTCGTGGGGGTCAGCTCCTGCACGAGCTTCTCGAACGGCGACTTCTCGTCATTCATCCACGAAAGAAGCAAGATCTTCAATTTCTTCTCCCACTTGAAAATGTCAAATTTCTTGATGCACAGGGGGAGGGCCTTTGCAGGGTCGAGCTCGCTAGGGACCTTGTAGTTCTCGGTCTGCAGCTTGCACATAGCCTTCCACAGGATGAAGCAATCACGCGGCTCCAGTGCCAGATCGTCTGGCAAGCCACGGGACCTATACTGAAGACTCGCGACTGGGTGTAAGAACGATAAGCCGTAAAGGCCATCCAATCCAAGGCCGCCCTTGGTTGATTTCGGCAGGCCATTAAACTCAAAGCCCTTCGGTGGCATATACAAGAACTTTCTCAGATCAGAGTATCTCGTAGTGTGACGAATCATGCTGAGCTTGTTGCCCGACGACTTCTGCGTCTCCGCTAGCCAGTCGCTGAATTGCTCAGGGTTACCCACCGTTGCTGACAGGGCAATGATAGGGCACGGAGCCAAGAGAAGCAGTTGCTCCCAGACAACGCCATCCTCTGCCGTTCCGATAGAGTGGATTTCATCGAAGATGATGCGACGAACCAATGGTGACCAAGTCTTTGCATTTGTTGGGGACAACAGCATGGTCTGCAGAATATGCGGCACCGTGACGAGGATTTGACATCCGATTGGGTTGTTAATGCGGTATTCTCTCGTGTGGATAGCCCAGATAGACTTCCCAGCCTGCGGGTATTTCTTGGAGAAGCGCCCCTGGATTTCAGCAGCGATCTGGTTGACCAACGCCTTCGTTGGAGCGACGTAGATCAGGACCCCGTCGTTGTCGGAGCGCAGAATGTTCTCCATGGCGTAGAAACTGATGAATGTCTTACCGGCTGAGGTAGGTGCGACGACGAAAACGCTGTTGTCCGCGTCAAGCTCGTCGAGGACCTTCCTTTGCCAGCCATCAGGCACGAAGCTCGAGACACGTGGGTCGGCTTTGGCGTCCAAGTCACGGTCCATGTAGGGGCCGCAGTGGAGCAGCTGGAACTCCGTCTGGTTAAGGCTGATCTTCAATGGCTTGAGGTCACCGGGCAGCTTGAACTTGAATGAGAGTTTCCGGTCAGACGCAATTGGTGGCGTGGACGTGATGGCGTCGGTGATGCCTACGATAGTGGCAATTAACTCAGACTGCTGAACAATCTCCTTGGCCACTGGGGTCTTTGATGTGGAAATTGCCCTGATCACGGTCCAGAGCAAAGCAACGACATGGTAACCCTCTGGCTTCTTGTCTGCCTTGCAGTACTTTGCCCACCAGTTCAAGAGGCACTGACACAAATACATGTTGATATCCGCTTCGACGTGCACGGATCTGGCGGAGTCAAGACCGTCACGGTACAGCTTGGCACGATTGTAGCGTTCCTGCTCTCCAAGAATCTCCTCATACACCTTCATCACTCCCTGCCAAGCCGAGAACGCCTTATCCGACTCCGCATCTCCCTTCTTCTCTTTGTTCGCAGCAATGATCTGCTGTGCCTTGCTCAGGCCGCCAGCTCCACCCTTCTTACCACCTCCCTTCTTCGCAACCGGTCCAGAATCTTCCAAAGCTGGATATGCCTTTCCGGATTTCGACGCCGCCTTGACCTCAGCAGGTTTTGACTTTTTAGCGCCAACGGTGATAGTCTCTGGCTCCAGAACTCTGCCGTTTGAGCCCGTCAAACTCGCTGCGTAGGCGGTCATTTCGGCCATGTAGAATTGGTTCTTCCTCAGCGGGTTCTTCCACTTTGATACTTTCTCCTTCTCAATCGGCACGTGCTTCTTGGGGACAATAGGCTTGTGGGTCTGCCAGTATGAAGACTCGCGATACAGTTTCATCGCCGATAATTTTGCCGACAGAGATGTATCAACGTCAACGTGGATGGCGGAAAGGTGCTTATCGAAAACCGGCTCGGTCAAAGATAAAACGGTGCTGGCCGCAGCGTCAACCTCCTTTCCGTTATTCTCGGCGTCAGCATCCTTAATCTTACGATCCTTGGGCGCCTTCCCAATGAGAGACTTCCCGGAGAGGGAAAGGACTAGATCGAACGCCGTGGACCAGTCTTCTGAAAGAGAAGGTGGAGGTCCCCCCTTCAAAGGACCAGTCAACAGAGCTTGAACAGTTGTCCTGAATAACCTACCATCGATCATGTCGATGAGGTCGGACTTGACTCCCAATTTCTCCATGACGTTGACAAACGCGTCATTGTCCGCAATCTCGGTCACGACTTCTGAGAAGAGCTCTAAGAAGTTGTCGATCTTTTGGTCAAACTCGTCTTCGAATCTGATGAGAGGGAATCGTCTCTGTTCGAGAGAAAGTCGCTTCAGGATCACCAGGTGGAGCATATACGCCGAGGCAAGGAAGTTGTACTCCTGCGTCTGTTGGAGAATAACCGATGCGCCAACAGCACCCACAATCCAGCTTCCCGGTGTGTCCTCCTCCACCTCCGATGCCAGCTCGTTGAGGGTGCTGGGATCCTCCAACCATTTCCCGATGTCGAAAGTATTCCTGGAAGCATTGCTAGCATCCATCGCCTTGTGTGTGGCCGCCACTTCTTCGTCAAAGCCCACTTGCTCGTGGTCTTCTGCCTCCAGGATCATAGTAATAATCTAAACAACTCGTCAGCTTGTTTCCCAGTTAAGTCTCAGCCCAATGCAACATCATACCTTGCTATCCCGAATCTCATTCTGATTAATCAGCGCCACATTCAAGTTGCGCGCATTGAACGACGCCAGGATGCCTCGCAGCAGCACCTTCGCAGTCTTCTCTCTCGCGCCCTCCTGCACCTCTTTGCCCTCGGTCGGTAGTGCTCCATCGTGCGCCATGACGAAGTATACTGGAGAGTGTGCAAGGAATGTGTTGAACTCATCGCTACCGAGGGATGGGAAGACATGCACTTCCACTCCACAGGTGTCGGGGAGATGCACTTCGAGATGCTGAATGAGCAGCGTGCGGGTGAGGAGGTATCGCGAGCGCTGGGCGCTGGAGCCGGGGGGTATGCATAGTTCTTTGTGGTCTAGAGCGGGTTAGTATATATTGCAAGAGAAATTGGGTGACGTCGAGGACGGGGAGCTTACTTGCGAAGAAGGCGATGTGGAAATTGCAGTGTCGCTTGATGAGGTTATCGAGGAAGCGCTCGACTACAAATGCTGCGTGTAGTAGTTGGAATCCACCTGTTTCTGTCAGCGAGTGTCCTTAACAAGGTAGTAGCGCATCTGTAGCATCAGTAAATCCTCATCTTCCATCGAGGCGCCAGAGACATGTCAAGCACCATGGATACCACCCAAATAGCCCAATACAGTTGTGCTTGGCCACCATCTACTCTTAGATCAACAACCCGACGGATCGACCGCGCGGGTTGCGTTTATTAAAGCTCCACCTCGATAAAGTGTGGTGGGGTCCTATATGCGCGGGGTAGCTTACCCTCAAAATCGATTCTCCCATCCTCAAAGCAGGCGCGGAGCAACGAGTCTCCTTCGACGAGGAACAGCTCGTTTCCGGCATAGTCGCCGACGAGATCTAGAATCCGGGGTGTCCGCGCATCGTACCAGCTCAAGACCGACGTTGTCGATGCATCTGCTGCTGGTGGGCTTCCAGCCATATTCGTGGAAGGCGGGGTGGGCAGTCAGGTGACCAAGGAACCCTGATGAGGATGAGGGTCCTTGTAGATGGAAGCAAAGCCGTACAGTGATGTTGGTGATGGAATGAGCGAAAGGGGTGAAAGAATGTAAAATCGTAATTGGCCTCTCGGAGGTCTTGTTTGTTCTTGTATTTCAGTTTTTTGCAGCGTGTGATGTTTTGTTTTGTTTTGGGGATTGAGGTTGTGCGGCTCTCATGCACGCGAAATCCACAACCGTGATTTTTATCGACTGATTCAACTTATCAGCGGGGTCGTTCTGCCTTATCCAGAAAGGTGGGGCGCCAGCAAAAGCTATGCTGCACGTGACATTCTGTCATAATGATCTAGATGCAACCTCGGCTTTCAACCACTTCCAATAACTATCAAAAGGTGTTATATATATATATAGGTCTATGATGGATTTGATGTCTTCAATTATTATTGGGGACATCACCATAGTGTCATCGGTCTTGTCTACATATACATATGTTTTATTTGGAATCCAAGGGAAGCGGCCTTGGCTACAGTCAATCCTTCCAAAGCACCACTCAGACAAGGCTGTGGCAGTAATGGGAGCTGAAGAGGGGGGCTAATGGGTTTGGGCGCGTATTTTGCGGAATGCTGCCCAGTCACAATCTGCAGATGCCAGGTAACATCAGTCTGGGTAATCAGAAAGCTCTACATAAGTGGCGCAGCCTTGTCTAGGTGGTGGATAGAAAGTTTTCAATTGCATTCTGTCGCTTTCGTCCTTACATACATTTCTTAGCCACTACTTTCTATAAAGCTGCTGATCCAAACCTCCACATAAATCCTGTTGGAAAGATAACCCGCTGTCGTTCTTGCCGGCTACGGCGGGGTGACTGTCAAAATATAGGAAATGGCCGACGATGGCGAAAGGCCCATCCGGGTCCTAAGCCTTGGTCCGTAGCCACATATTCCACACTCTAATGCGTTGCCTAATTTGAGCATGTAGATGGAGGCGGGGTGAGAGGGCTATCAGCTATCCTCATCTAGATCATATCATGAGAAATATCAATACCTAGCGAAAAGCTGATGTAAAGGAGCCAGTGGACCATGGCAGTATTTCGATTTGATGGGAGGCACAAGTACTAGCGGGTATGCAGTATCTCTATGTTCTGAAGTCGCCTGCTAATTGTATTTTCTAGTATTATTGCAATCATGCTTGGAAGACTGCGATGACTATCCCGGAATGCATTGGAGCTTACGCGGGGCTCTCGAAAGCCATTTTCACGCCGAAACATTCCCGTGCAAGTCCTGCAAGAGGAGTAGATACCTGAACGGCGACGGGAAGTTTGATTCAAAAACCTTCGAGAAAGCAATCAAAGCTCAGACCAAGATATCAAAAGTTGCGGAAATTCTGCCTGCACTACCTCTAGTGATGACTTGTCTAGAGGCTATTTTTTCCAAATCAATGATAGACTCAGCTGTAGATACCTCATTCACTTGAGCTTTGAGCTTCTGGGGACAGTCTTGAGCTCGATGTCCATTTTGTTGGCATATAAAGCATTTCCCAAGTTTCATGAGCATTTCTTTTGCTGGATCTTGATGCGGTGGTCGATACAGCTTCTGTGTCTTGTTTTGCATGTTCGAATCCATTGTAGGTTGAGAGACTGAAGTTCAAAGTGCCTGGCCCTGATTTTGAGTTTGGCCCATGTTGTTCGAAAATGACTTTGGCTTCCTTTTGTCTTCTTGTTCCTTGATCCGCTGGATGTTCTGGTCGATGAGCATGCATTTATTTGCAAACTCGTAAAGTGTAGTAGCTCCAACTTCAGCCACTAAGGCTTTCTGCATCTGTTGGTTGACTTTGAAGCGCAAGTCATCTAGCAAAGTTTCTTCAGAGTAATCAAGTTCTGTCGTGAGCCTTTGGAACTCGGCCCAGAACACTGCAAAGGTGTTGTTTCTCTGATACAGCTTCCGATACTCAGTTTGAGCTGTATGCCTTCGATCAGGATCACAGAAGACTTTTTCCAAAAGTTCAAGAATTTCTTCTGCTGTCTGCAGTTTGTTTGTAGAGTTTGGTCGAAGCCTTGGATTGACATGTCGAACTGCCAATCCTCCCAGTCGACTCTGAATGTAGCTCATTTGTAAAGTCTGTGTTGGAAAATGATCAATGTTGGCTTCGAGCTTGAGGCAAATTTTCACAACCCAGTCTTCAAATGCTGGCTGTAAGGATGCCTCCTTACCTAGATACTCGAAGAACCTGTCTCAGAACTGTTATGGTCACTACAAGCATGAAATCCGATTCGGTGTGGTTTCGAACCAGTAGAGGAGCACATAGCGAGTTACACTATAGTGGGGGATGGTAAGGGTGTAGGGTTCAGGGTCGATGCTGACCTGTTGCGGTGGAAGGATCAGGGCTAGGGTTGGGATAACCGAGTCGGGCCCGTTTCGGGTACTCAAGGAAACAGACTCGACGGGGTTCCCCCTTCATCTTTTTTGTATCCTTCGTAGTAGACCTATAGGATAGCATCCGTTTAGCCTCCGACTCGCACTCTCATATGCTATTACTGTGAGCTGGGTGCCCTGTGTCCTTACACTGGCTCTATCCCATCTGTGAGGATTGGAGGGTCTGGAATCCGTGCTGACAGTCGACTGTGAGAGTGGTGTCCTGGTTCATTCTTCAGAGCTTGTTGGGTTTGCTTTTCAAGATATTTCTGAATTGTTTGTTGCTCTGTGGTTTGTTGCTCATTGCTCTGGTGTCATACTGACATTCGTTGCACTCAGTTTGCTATCAAACTCAAGAGCAAACTTAGAAATCTCCTCCTCAAACCTACAAGTCACTATACATATTTTGGCTTGTCACACCAACAACAAGAGCAATACTACTCAACGATTTCTACAACCCTCTATGATTCATTACACGTCATTGCTCCTTAGTTACTGGGCCGATATGACCACATAGCATATCTCTACAACCCTCTATGATTCATTACATGACATCACTCCTTAGTTACTGGGCTAATACTATACATGACATATCTCTATCAACTAGAGGCCTACGAACATGAACGATAGCTCCAAAAGCTTCTACAACTGTCTATGATTCATTACACGTCATCGCTCCTTAGTTACCCACAAGATTGGTTAAGTTATGACATAATCTGTCGATAGGGGTACTCTGACCTTGGACCTCCTTTCACTTCCTATAGGCTAGGAACCTAGGAGATGGTTCTATGGGATTCTCTTACGTCGACTACAGTTACCAAGCCTGGTTAGTCATGGAAAGTCTTGGAAAATGAGAGAACTACACTCCTTTAGCATAAATAGGATTGCCCTTTCCTTAAGAAATGGCAAGCAGACAATACAGTAAATCGACTATCACATACTTCCACATCTTTTCCAAGCTTCCAAGCATTGATCTTGTTACTCCTTGTTTCTGAAAAGTCAGTGAGGTGCTAACCTCTGACTTATCCCTGAGTTCTCAGACTCAACATTTGTTACAACTTGTCTAAACCACTCCATTACATCATACACCTGATGCTGCGTTGTGGAATAGTCTAAGCTAAGAACCTTTGGCTCTGTTTCCTAAGACAGTGTGTTGTCTTAGTAAAATCATCCCTTCCTTGGTGTCATACTGACATTCGTTGCACTCAGTTTGCTATCAAACTCAAGAGCAAACTTAGAAATCTCCTCCTCAAACCTACAAGTCACCATACATATCTGGGCTTATCACACCAACAACAGAAGCAATACTACTCAACGATTGCTGAAAACTCTTCTACTACATCTGTTTATGCTACATACATCACGGCATATCATTTGGACACTCATTGAACAAGTTATTAAGAAAATCTCCTCCTTAAGGGGGTGGGCCAATACTACCACATGGCATATCTCTACCAACTAGAGGCCTAGGAACATGAACGATAGCTCTAGAAGCTTCTACAACCCTCTATGATTCATTACACGTCATCGCTCCTTAGTTACCCACAAGATTGGTTAAGTTATGACATAATTTGTCTATAGGTACTCTGACCTTGGACCTCCTTTTCACTTCCTATAGGCTAGGAACCCAAGAGATGGTTCTATGGGATTCTCTTACGTTCACTACATGATTAGCAAGCTAGTTGTGGGTCGCACTTGATTTCTAATACATTTACCAAGCCTGGTTAGTCATGGAAAGTCATGGAAAATAAGAGAACTACACTCCTTTGGCATAAATAGGATTGCCCTTTCCTTAAGAAAGGGCAAGCAGGCAATACAGTAAATCGACTAGCACATACTTCTACGTCTTTTCCAAGCTTCCAAGCATTGATCTTGTTATTCTCTGTTTTTGAAAAGTCAGTGAGGTGCTAACCTCTGACTTACCCCTGAGTTCTCAGACTCAACATTTGTTGCAACTTGTCTAAACCACTTCACCACATCATACACCTGATTGCTGCGTTGTGGAATAGTCTAAGCTACAACCCTTTGGCTCTGTTTCCTAAGACAGTGTGTTGTCTTAGTAAATTCATCCCTTCCTTGGGTGGCTAGATTCTCATATCTGGTGCACCCACCATACACCTTGTCTGCTTCAAGCTTCAACTATTTCTATAGCAGCACTTCGATACTACAATGGAGGACGACCAAGCTCCTACAACTACTGCTGAACAGCAGATGCAACAACTGTTTGCCTTTATACAAACTATAGCAAACAAACTTGAGAATTTGGAAAACACCTTTCAAGCCAACACTTCAGCAACACAATCTTCAACTCAGACACATCATACAGAGCTTCCCACAGCTCCTCTGGCTATTTCGAGTACCCCAGGTGCACTTCCTAAAGTGCAAACACCAGATTTATACCATGGAGACAGGAGGAAGTTGAAGGGATTTCTTATGCAACTGGACATCTACTTCACCCTCAGGCCTCATCAGTTCACCTCAGACATTCAGAAGATCTATTTCGCTGCCAGCTACCTCCGTGGATCTGCATTCAACTTCTTTGAGCCATATCTTAGAAGACTTAGTGGCAACAACCAAAATACCACTACACCTTTGATTACCTCTTATGACCAGTTTCAAGAGGAACTTACCAGGACCTTTGGAGACATCAACGAAACTGCTACAGCAGAAAGAGAGCTACAGAAGCTATGTCAAAAGACCTCTGCTGCTCAGTATACAACAGAATTTAGGAGAATCACTTCTCACTTGACTTGGAATGAAGAAGCCTTAGTCTTCACTTACTACCAAGG